GGGGGGGGGATTGGGCAAGGAAGGACGAGGCGGAGGGGGCGTTGGGTGGCGTGGGTGCTGCATGAGGGTTGACGAGGGTTGACGAGGGTTGACGAGGGTTGACCAAGGTTGACGGGGCAATGACCGGGGTGAAATGAGATCGCAATGACGTGCAAGGGCGCACTTGATTCTCAGGGGTAATAGTACGGAGGTATAGTCCTCTTACCTTGAACCTTGGCTACTCTTCAAGGGAAAAGCTTCCATCGCCGTGGTTCAGGCGCTGCTCTCTGCCCGAGGCCGCAGGGCACAACAACCAAGGGCCCTGGCCACAGCGCACAATCGGCTCTCGATTCGAATCCAAATTATCGGTCGCCTCTCTCCTCCTCCTCCTCCTCTTCCTTCTAACTTGTCCAATTGACACCCCTCTCGCCCTCTGGCGCGTTCCTGGTTCATGCATACATGCGGCTCACCGCATGCCGCCCTCCAAAGCAGCCACTATTCCGCACCGCACCCAAGGCACCATTCCGAGTGACTACTGCCTTTGGCAGATTGGCAGATTGGCATCTGCACGGCGAGATGGGCAGGCACACACCTGCTTCTTTTCTCCTTGCGGCACTTGTCTGCGATCTCGTCGCATCAGGTGACACTGAGATCGGGGCCACCGTCTGTGCCCGTCGGACAGAGTAGGGCCGAGGCCGCGGCGGACGGTGGCGTTTCGCACGGACACACGACACGGACACATGGGGGTGGGGGGAGGCTGGAGGGACGGGGGGGGGGCACGGCGGAGGCGCAGGGGCGTCTCAGAACTGACGCTGACGCGCCGCGAGCATGTGCCCACTTTGCTTTGCACCCGCGCCCGGATCGCCGAGACAAGGGCCGCAGACGCGTCCGTGCCTCCGAGGAATGGATTCCGTGATCCATGATCCATCGGATCCATGGCTGGTGGCATGGCATGGGCCGCGCACACGTCTCCCGAGTCCTGAACAGTCGGTCCGGTGATCCGAGCCTCGTCGATCACGCATTGAGCTCTGCGCGGCCCGTCTGCGGACGCGTACGCAATGCTCGCCACAACGCCACGCACCGCACCGGCCACATCGCTCAGACCAGGCCAGGGCTTGTCTTTTCCCCTTCTCTATCTCCCCCACTCATTCTCCGCCAACAGATCTCCTGCACTCTCGCATTCCGGCAGGGCAAATGTGGCACTGCCACGCCACGATCTCAGATCCACGCTCGCTTGCACGGCCGCGTCAGCCACGGCGCACGCCGTGCATTTCCGCGCCGTGAGGGATACAGATCTCGCCTTTAGATCTCTGAGATGAAAGCTATTCAGCTATTCTGATATCAATTCAGCTTATGGCTGACGAGAGGCGGGGCGAGGGGGTGGGCAAGGAGGGGAGCGGAGGTCTGGCAGTGCCGAGGCTCGGCAGCGTCCATAGTCGAGTGGGGCAGACCGCGTGGAGACGGACATGATCTCCGCAATATACCTCCACTTGCCACCGAGAGAATTACGCACCACCCATACCATGACAGGACCGGACATGCAGGACGCAGAGGCGCGGGAGATTGACACCCGGCGCCGGCGGGACAGCGCGGCACGCGACGAGCGGCGGGAGCGCGAACGCCACCGCGACCGCTCGCGCGACGACGAGCGGCGGGAGCGCGAACGCCACCGCGACCGCTCGCGCGACGACGAGCGGCAGCGGCGCCGCGAGCGGGAGCGGGATCGCGAGCGCGAAGAGCGGCGCGAGAAGCGCGAGCAAAGGGACGACGACCGCGACCGCGACCGCGATCGGCGGCGGCGGGAGAAAGACGCGCGGCGCGCCCGGCGCCGAGAGTGAGTTTCCTACCTTTTGTCGCTGACACCAGCTCACGCTCTCCGCGCCGCGACCCCTCCACGTCCACCTCCACCTCCACCTCGGCTACCCTCGCCCTGCACTACGCCGACACGGGCAAGTTCGAGTGGCACAAGAAGCGGGAGAAGGAGAAGGCGCTCGGCATGACCCCCGAAGAGGTGGCGCGGCGGGACGCGGCGCGGCGGCGCGAAGCCGAGGCCGAGCTCGCCAAGCTGCAGCAGAAACGGGCGGAGCGGGAGGTGGAGCGCGCGCTGCGGGAGGAGGAGGCGGGGCGTGCGCGGCGCGACGCCGACGACGCCGCGATGGCCGGCTGGGTCGCGCGCGAAGACGCGTTCTTGCTCGAGCAGAGCCGGCGGCGGGCCGCCATCCGGCTGCGCGAGCAGCGCGCCAAAGCCATCGACTTTCTCGCTATCAACTTGCGGTTCGCGAGCGCCGGCCGGTCGGCCGCGAGCGTGCTGCGCCAAGCCGAAGCCGAAGCCGAAGCCGACGACGACGACGACGAGTGGGCGTGGGTCGACGCCTTCGAAATCGACGAGCCCTACAAGATCTTCGAGGTATGTCTAGGTGGGGCGGGCTGACGCAGAACCTCTCGTTGGAAGATATGACCGAGCTCGAGGCCGACATCGCAATGTACCGCTCGCTCGAGCGCGCCCCGACAAACCTCGCATTTTGGGACGCCATGGCCGTGCTCTGCGCCCACCATTTGCGGGGGTTGCGCGAGCCCGCGCGTGCCCACGACGCGCAGGTCGAGGATGAGGCGCGGCGCATCGTCGAGGGCCTGTCGTGGCGCCGCCTCGACGAGCTCGAGGCCAAGACGCGCGCGATGGGCGCCGCGGACGACTTTTGGCGCCTCGTGCTCCGCAAGATCGAGGTGCAGAAAGCCGTGGTGCGCCTGAACGCGATCCACGAGACCGTGCTCAAGAACCGCCTCGAGCTTTTCCGCAAGCGGCAGCGGGCGGAGGCTGCGCGCGCACAGGCCGAGATGGCCGACGCAGAGGAGAGTGATGGCGAGGCTGATCTCGATCCGGAGTGGCAGGAGGAGGAGGAGGAGGAGGAAGAGGACCAAGTGGAAGAATACGACGCATCCATGTCCCCGCCGCCCGGAGGCGGCGACCTCCCCGTCGTCGCGGCCGCCGACTACTTCGCCGCGCTGTATGCCGCGCGCCGCAGAGTCTCGGCGGCAGGATACGCGCCGCCCGTGCAGGACGTCGCGGACACGGACGAGGCGAACGCGCGGCACTGGCGCGCGCGCATCGCGGCCGAGACGGCCGACGACGACCTCGAAGACATGGGCGACGACGTCGACCTCGCCGACGGCCTCCCGGCCTCGTACGCTTGGGGCGACAAGTACCGCCCCCGCAAGCCGCGGTACTACAACCGCGTGCATACGGGGTACGAGTGGACGAGCTACAACAAGGGGCATTATGAGTGAGTTGGGCGACGGCGGGCGAAGGCGGGCGAGAGCAAGCTGACCGAAGCAAGGAAAACCCCCCACCCAAGGTCGTTATGGGGTACCGCTTCCACGTGTTCTACCCCGACCTCATCGACAAGAGCACACCGCCGACGTACGAGCGCGTGCGCACCGCAGACGAGGACACGGAGCTGCTCGTGTTCCGCGCGGGCCCGCCGTACGAGGACGTCGCGTTCCGCATCGTGCGCAAGCAGTGGGACTACTCGCACCGGCGCGGATTCAGGAGCCACTTTGACCGCGGCGTGCTGCAGCGTGAGTCGCGCGGAGGGCGGGCTGACTCCAGTGGCGTTCAAATTCCAGCGCGATACGTATCGCAAGTAGGCGTACGTTGGTTGTGTGGGCAGGAGGGCGATGGGGCGGAGGTGCTCAGAGCCTGGACAAGCGGCCTCCCACTGACATTCGCCGTCGAGCATCTCAGGTGGGCAGCAGTCACGTGCGTCGAGCTGGAGGGTGGAGAGGGAAGTAGGCGAGTTGGCGAGAGCCGCGGGAGGGAACGGCGGGGGGAGTGCTCGGCGTCAATCGGTCGAGTCGATTATGTCGGAGCGGAGACCGTGCTGCTCCAGCGAGATCCCAGACGCTGCGGTGAGCACTTGTCGGCGAGCACGGATGTCACCTGTCAGTTGGGTGGGCCAATCCATCTGCCGGATAATGCTTCCCATGCATGACACGATACCTCGAGCAATGCATCCTAACACGCGAGCGAGCCGCGGACTGGTGCGAATGACTTGACACAGCTACGAATCTTCTGCCGCCGAACCAAACAAATCTACGCAAACTCCACCTCCATCTCGCACTTGCCCTCCTCGAACGGCGGGAAGGCGAGATACGCGCCCCGTCCCGAGACGCCCGCGAGCGCCCCCGTCCCGCTTTCGGGCACGATCTCCCACTCGGCCGTGACGCGCTCGCCCATGCGTCCGCGCGTAGCAGCGATCACAAAGCCGCCGTCGCGCCCCGCCATCGTGCCTTCAAAGTAGATTTGGCCCTCTGGCGTCAGCGACAGGGGAAGAAGGAACGCACCGAACCGCTGCCAGCCCCCCGGCATCGCGACGGAGACGTACGCGCTCGCGCCGGTCCCCACTGCGTCCCCGACGAACGTGTTCGCCTTGGTCACCGTCATGATTTTCCAGCCCGTGCGGAGGGGCAGCGGCGTCATCGTCATCTCGTTTTTCAGGTGCAGGAGGACTGCGTTAGGCGGCGCGGGCGGCGCGGGCGGCGCGGGGAGGGCTCACCTTTCATGGTGCAGAGGTGAAGAGGCGAAGAGGTGGAGAGGTGGAGAGGTGGAAGAGGTAGCGAGGCAGTGTATATTTATCGCAAGATTCACTCGGGGGCCGGACGCAGATCGCGTCCGAGCGGAATGGGAGGAATGTAATGGTCATCTGACAATCATACATCTATCGTACACACTAGCATGTGACACCCGTGTCCGCCGCGGCGGGGCTCGACGCTCGACGCTCGACGCCCGACGCCCGCTACGCGCCTTCGATCACGCGTGTAGCCCCCTGTCGATGGGTTCGCTCGGGAGGGGGAAGGGGTGGATGGGATGGGGCGCGGCGAGGGGCGGGTGTGGGGGCGCGGCGAGCGGGGGACGCGAGGGATCGTGCCGCCTGCTGATGTCCGCGAGGATGCCGAGGAGCGTGGGCGAGGACGCGGTGGGCGAGGGGGAGGCGGGCGGGCTCGACGTCGTGGGGCTGGTGGGGCTCGAGGAGGTTGACATCGTGGGCGGTGGAGCAGAAAGTAGGCGCGTTGTTCAACTGACGCGCGGTGTCAAGGTGCTGGGCGCGGGACGTACGAGAGCGGCCTAGCTGCGAGGCGTAGTAGAGCGCAGACACGCACTGGGTGTATCTATAGCGAGCAAAAGTTGCGGAGCCTGACACGACAGCGAAGATCGACGGATTGTTTCCCGACGCAAGTGCGGGGCTCTGCGAGGGGCGGGCGAGCGGGGTAGAACTCGAAAGCTGGCGACGCTGGCTAAGCTGCCAAGGCCTAAAATGGTTGAGGCTGAGATGAGGGCCTCACACCCCAATGATATATGCTCGCAGGCGGCCAACGGGCCAGGATGCACGGCTGGTGGCGCGCGCCACTGACTCGGTGGCGACGCGGGGGTTGGCGCGAGCTTCTTTCCGCACCTCGCACCGCTCGCTTCGTCCGTGCGATCCGGAGATGCTATGTCTAAGCGATGCACGTCCGCACACGCGCCGCGCTGCACACGCCGCACACCGCGCACACCACCGCACGCGCGGCTAGCGAGAATGGCGCTACTTTGGCACGCACGGCGTCGGCCAGACCCGCACCATACCAACCCTCAAAGCCAAATTAGCAGTTTACCTCGCTTGAATACCAAGCCACAAATGTACATGTGACTGCATTACCAAGCTCTATTGTATTCTACAGTATAGGGTCTACTTGCTCGCGGTCTTGGTCGCCTTGGACCGCAGCTTGAGGAGGAGGAAGACGAAGGCGTACGACGTAATGACGAAGAGGAGCGTGATCAGCACGCCCTGCCACCCGTCGATCTTGCGCGTAATGTTCATCGACGCGAGGTACTCGGACCCCTTGGCGTATCCGCAGTACTCGCAGTTGCTCGTCGCGTCCGGGTTGTTGACGTACCCCGTCGCGTACTGCAAAAAGTTCTCAAAGTACTGCCCGCACGTCTGGCCGGCCGGCGGGTCGAGGTAGCCGTACTCGAAGCTCTTGCACTGCACGGGCTCGTTCCAGATCGGGAACGTCAGCAGGCCCTGCATGAGGTACGTGAACGGGTCGAGGTAGTAGAGCCAGTAGCGCCAGAACGCCGTGATGGCCGGGTAGGGGATCATGATGCCGGCAAAGGTCACGAGGATCGAGATGAAGAGCGGGAGGACCATGGCCGCGAACACGGCGTTCGGCGCGTATGCGGCAATGAACTGGCCCATGCCCGTGTACAGGAACTCGTACAGCACCATCGTGAGGAACACGGGCCCGGCGGCGCCAGCTGCAAGAGAGAAGCCGCTCGTAGGATACCACGTCGCCCAGTAGAGGAGGGCGCAGATGAGAAGGTACGGCCACTCGGCGATAATCTCGCCCAGCACGAAGACCTTCCACGAGTAGAGCATCGACTTGCGCTCGCGCTTCTCAAAGATGTCGCGGTTGGCGATGAACTTGGGCTGCGTCTGCACGATGACACCGGGGGCCACGAAGACGAATCTAGAGTTAGCGGGGACAGAGCGGGAGGGAGCTCACTGGAAAATCGAGAACACCTTGTCCTTCAGGCCCGCGTACGAGTTGTCAATCTTCCAGAATGTAAAGCCGACAATAAGACCCGTCGCGATGTGCAGCATAAATTTGTTAATGACGTACTCGGTGTCGCGGTACAGCTGGACGTTGCAGCGGTGGACGACGACACGGAGCTGGGTCCAGAACGACGCGGCGAAGCGGTGGTTGTCCTCGTCGGTGGCCGTGGCGAGAGCCGCGGCCTCCTCATTAACAATATCAATGTCGCGCATCATCTGCTCGCGCTCCGGGCTCGAGAGCCACACCTCGTGCCAGTCCCGGTCCTTGCTGAGGTCGCCGGACACGACGTCGATCATGAACTCGGCGGGGTTGACGTCCTTGGGCCACGTGATGCCGTTGCGCGAGAAGTAGTCGGGCACATCCTTGACGGCGCCGAAGAAGACGGTGCGCCCGCCAGCCTTGAGGAGGAGGAGGTTGTCGAAACCCGCGAAGAGCGCCGCCGACGGCTGGTGGATGACACACACGATCGACTGGCCGGCCGCCGCGAGCTTCTGCATGAACTGCACGATGAGGAAGGACGACTGGCCGTCGAGGCCCGACGTCGGCTCGTCGAGGAATAGGAGGGTGGGGCGGGCGACGAGCTCGACGCCAATCGTCAGACGCTTGCGCTGCTCCACGCCGAGCCCGGCGCCAGGCACACCGATGATCGCGTCCTCGAGGTCCTGGAGCTCGAGGAGCTCAATGATCGTGTCGACGTACGCGAGCTTCTCCTTGTCCGAGTAGTGGCGGGGCTGGCGGAGCAGGGCGGAGAACTCGAGTGCCTCGCGCACCGTCGACTGCGGGAGATGCACGTCCAGCTGCTCGCAGTAGCCCGTGGTGCGCTGGAACGAGAGGGGCAGCGGCGAGCCGTTGAGGAGCACCTCGCCTGTGATCTCGCCCTCCGACTTGCGCGCAGCCAACACGTCCATAAGCGTCGTCTTGCCGGCGCCCGAGGAGCCCATAAGCGCAGTAATTGTGCCTGCCTTGCAGTACCCGCTGACGTTGCGCAGCAGCTGCAAATCCTTGCCTTCGTGGCGCACAGTGTAGTTGATGTCCTTCCAGGTAAACGTGGTGCCGCCGGACGCGATGGTCTCGGTGTCGCCAGCGCCAGCGCCCGTGCCCGCGCCGCCGTGCGGCTTCTCAGACGTGACGGCGGCCTCGCCGCCCTCCTCCTCGTCACGGGGCAGGGTGCCGTTCTTTTCGGCCGCCTTGATGAACGCGCCGCCGCCGCCACGCTTGTACAGCGTCACGCCCTGGGTGCTGCCCGCGGCCGGCAGGCGCTCAAGGAAGATCATGCCAAGAACAAGGAATCCGAACCAGAGCGCGATCATGATGCCAAAGTTGCGCCAGCGGTGCGAGGTGAAGAACTCGAGGGCCTCGTGCACGTACACCGTGCCGCTGACGATCGTCGAGTCGGGCGTGCTGCCGACGATGGCGCACGACTGCGGGCCACCCTCGTATCCCGGACCGTAGGGGGCGAGCTGGGGCGGCGAGCACTGGAGGTCGAGGTTCTCGAGCTCGCCCGAGAGCAGGGGCTCGAGGGCGTAGTATGTCGGGTTGAGCCACCGGATCCAGCTGAACCAGGGGTGCATCGAGGGCTGGTAGACGACGAAGCCGCCGTACAGGACGAAGAGGGTGAAGACTGTGCCTGATATCTTGGACGCGTCGTTGTACGTGTTGAAGGCGTAGCCGATGGTGCGGAAGAGGGTGGTCATTGAGAGCGCGGAGAGCCAGGAGAAGAGGAAGGCGATCCAGAACAGGCCGCCGTCCATCTTGAGCTTGGCCATAAAGTAGGAGACGAGGACGTAGAGGAAGATCTGGACGAAGAAGATGGGCAGGTCGACGAGCGTCTGCGCCGCGAGCACGGCGCCGGCACGATACATCGAGTACGCCTTGTGCTTTGCGAGCACGGAGCGGCCCACAAAGGCGGACTGCACGTCCGCAAACGACAGGATGACGGGGAAGAGGACGAGCATGAACATGAGGCCGCCGCGGAGGAAGAGGCCCGCGGTCGTCTTGGGAATCGCGTAGTACACTGACCCGTTGAACAGGGCCTGAATAAGCGTGGTCGCTTGGCGCGCCCACAGCGACCACTGGTCGCCCCAGCGCTGCTGCGCGTCCTTGATGGCTGCGGCCTTGATCTGCGAGAGGAACGACACTTTCTGGGGCAGGCTCTTGATCGTGCCCTTTTCTTTGACGAGGGCGTCCCATTCGCGCGCGCTCGCAGTCTCGGCATCCCGCCGCGCCGTATCGGCGAGGTACGCGTCGACTTCGGCGCGCATGCGCCGCGCAACGTCCGAGTTCTGGTAGATGCGGGCGAACTCGGCGGGCGTGGACGGCACGCGGCCTTCGAAGCCCGGGATGATTTGGCGCTCGTTCAGCGCCGTCACGGCCGTGAGGTAGTCGGCCGTGTTGGCGCCCTCCATGTGCTCGAAGCCGAGTGCTTCGAAGTAGGCGCGCGCCTCGGCGCGCGGCCCGTAGTACAGTAGCCGGCCTTCGGCGATGACGGTCACCTTGTCGAAGAGGTCGTAGATGCCGTTGCCGGCTTGGTAGAGGGACACGACATTGATGCGGTTCGTGACGTCGCACAGGGTGCGGCAGACGCGGGCGAAGCCGAGCGCCGTGCTCGCGTCGAGGCCGCGCGTCGCGTTGTCCCAGCACTGGATTTGGGCGTTGGTCGTGAGGACTTCGGCGAGGGAGACGCGCTTGCGCTCGCCGCCCGAGACGCCGCGCACATACTGGTCTCCGACCTTGGTGTTGAGAGTGTGCTCAATGCCGAACGCGCGCAAGAGGTCGAGCTTTGTCTTCTCCTGGTACTCCTTCGCGGAGATGGGCTTGCCGTCCGCGCCGAGGGGGCGGGCAGCGGCCGCAGGCGTCTCGTTGCGCAGCGCAAAGTCCATCGTGCGTCCAACGAGGAGGTTGGGGTCGTGCAAGTCCTCCTCCGAGTTGAAGGACACGTCGCCGCGCAGTGGCCGCATCGCCTTTGACCCGGCCTCCAAGGCGCCGTAGTACACGCCGCCCTCCTTGCCCGCATAGCTAGATGTTAGCCCCGCGAGGGACTTGAGGAACGTGGTGCACCCCGATCCTGGGCGGCCGACGACGAGCATCATCTCTCCCGGCTTGAGCAGCCCCGAAAAGTCTTTGAGGAGGTATCGCTCGCCCTTGCGCAGGCCGGGCTCGCCCTTCTTCGGCACCGGCATGCCCTTCTGGTAGTTCATGGCGTCGGCGTCGGGCGCCGGCTGCTTCTCGCGCAGCGCGGCGGCGAGCCGCTCCGTCCGCTTCTTCTGCTTGGCCACGGTCCACGGCATGAAAATTGACCCGAGATCAGGCGCGAACACGACGTCGTCCGCGCCGCCGATCCCGCGGATCGACAGGTGGTCCCATGCAAGCGAGAGGTCGCGGGTGGGCGGGATGCCGCGCGCGCCAAGCGCGGCTTGGTAGGTCTAATGTCAGCCGGTGCGGCATGTGGTATGTAGGTGACATGTGACTCACTCTGAGATCTGCTTCAAACCCCGAGACTTCGGGGGCGATGGACGCCGGGCTAGTCTTCCGTTCCTTGGCCGAGAAACTGGGAGTGCGGGACGGCGCGGTGCTCACGACCGTCGAGCGCGACGCATCCGCGAACGCTGCGTTGCCGCTGGGTAGCGATATTTCGCTCATGTTTGGTGGCAGCTGGCGGGCCGTAGGTGGGGGGTGAGGAGGGTATGAATTTGCGCTCTGTTCATATAATATGGGTAGTCATCCCCGGCCGTATGCAGCAAACAGTTGCCATGCAGACCCTAGATAGCGTCACCCGCCCGAGGCAGCGAGGCAGAGGCGTCGCCGTCCCCGAGGCCCGAGGCCGGGGCAGGGGGTAGCTCCTGGGCTGCGGCGGCGCTGGCGGTCTGCAGATATGATGAATCCCGCACTGGTCCGCATCAGAGGTCGGGGAAAGAAATTGTCCTGCGCAGGCTAAAAATCGCCACACTCAGCCGCGGCTAGGGGGCAAGCTGGGCGGAAGGCTGCGGAAGAGTCATGACATCAGCCGAGTGGAGCGGGTTGGTGCGGATCGGGGCCGGAGATGGCCAATCACTACGCGCGTATGCGTAGGCCCGGTCGCGACCGGTCGCGCCTCATGTATCAAGCTTAATCAATGGTCGGCAGCAATGCGAGGGAGCGAGGGATGCGAGCAATGCGAGTGCTGCGCATGGCGTTGCTGCGGGGCATAGAGTTAGTGAGTTGGTGGAGTGGCGCGGAAAGCAAGCCGTGCCGCGCGCCCGGATGATTTGCAGCCGAGACCATGCTTGCTACCATGGATGCGGGTCCGGGTGAGATCATGAGAAATAGAGGAGCAGGCCTGGAAACCGGGGGTATGGAGCAGGAACGTAGGTACCAGGTGCAACCCAAAACAGAGGAGGATGATGAAGAGGATAATCATCATCATGTCGTTGCCAAGAAGTCAAACTCGGAACCGTCGTAGATCGTTGAGTGATCGAGAGCTCGGGACCAGGGGTAATACGTCGGATATACCATTCCTCCACTATGCCAAGCAGCGGTATCAGATTGGGATGGGTGATTGCTGTTGGTCGACGGTTCGAATCCGGCTCATGGACCGTGGCCAAGTGGTGGAGAAGGGGAGAGGTGAGACGCGTCTCACGCCATGCGCCTGTCTGCTATGACTGCATCCTCTGTCCACATCTGAACTCACAGCTGGGTCATCGTGAGCGCACACGAGAGCCATCAAGGAGCCAGAGCCTCGTTTCAACAAGGAAGCGAACTGCCTCACTTCATTCGACATCGACTTCGACATCGCCGGCTCCGGCTCCTCTTCCCACCATGGCTGGCGCCCTCGGAGCCGCATTACGTTGAGCGGAGACCATGGCCGAGGCCGAGGTCAAGGCCGAGGGTGCTTACAGCATAGTGAGTAGCGTGCAAGCATCGTGGGGGGAGCCTAGAGCGAGTGAGTTGGCGTGGTCTTTGACTGCACGGCGATGTGGCTGTGGCAGAGAGTAATCTGGTGGTTGAGATCGTGGAGAGCAGCGGGGACTGTGGAGGCGCCTCTGTCTTGAAGATCGACCCTGAGTGGCTACGTCCAATTCCTCCAAGGTGACAGTCTCCAACTCGAACAATCCATCTCAGCATCCATCTATCGCGACGAGACCACTACCAGCGACACGCTCCCAGCTGCAACTGGCATTGCACTGCTAATATCAAACAAAGTGTGCATAACACCAAGAGTATACAGTCTCTTCGGCGTTGATGGAAATACTCCCGCTGCGATCTGACACTTGTTTGTCTACTGAATTGGCCTAAGCCCTCACTGCCCTCGACATTGTGCCAGGCGCGGCCAGTCGATTCAATCCACGCCAAGGCAGCCCCCCAGCGCCATGGCATGCATGCTGATCTTTACTGCTCCTCTTTGCTCTCTCTCTCTTTCTCTCTCTCTCTCTTCTCTCACTCACTGCTCCCATCTCATCGCTCGCGCTCACCTGACTCTCTCCCCTCTCTCCCCTCTCCCCCCTCTCCCCTCCCCCGTCATGACACGCCGTCTATCGCGGCGCCAGTTCTGCTACGTCTTCGTGGTCGTACTAGTCCTCTTCCTCACCTTTGAGACACTAGCCACACCGCGTACACTCGACGTCCGCTTCCTCCGCCTCCGAGAGACACAGTGGACGGGGTATGCTGGCCCAGCGCGGCTCACCACTGTACTAGCTCATCAGCCAGGCTTTACAGTGTTTGAGAACTTGTGAGTCGTGCCGAAACTGTTCCTTCCTCCACTGCGCCGCTCTCATCTACTCCCTCATCTCCTCCCCCACTTCTCCCCTCCCCGCCACCTTACACCCCCCTCCTAACGATCCTAACCCCAGGTACTGGCAGAACGACACATTCTACGTCGTCACAGACCAGCCATGGACCGTCCCAAATGTCGATCACATCGCGATCAAGCCCACAGACAAGCATGACGGCGTCCCCACCGCCGATAAGGCGATCAAGATCCTCGCCATCCGCGAGCCAGGCATCAACGGCTTTGTGCGCGAAGACAGGCAACTCGGGACTAGCATCCTCCTCGAGGACGCCGTCGAGCTCACCTCGTCCGCTGAGGACTTGCCCTCACCCCTTGTGAGTTGTTTTGCCTCCTTCCATCTGACACCAGCTCATGAACTACGACGACATGTGTGCGTGCCTCATCTCCACCTTCTCCACCCCCGCCTCCACCCATCAGCACGCCCTCCACCCCCACTAATGCACAGTCGTTTCACACTACTACCACTGGATCGGTGAGACGTTCCTCGGCGCATGGCGCATCTGGAGCCACTACCGATATCGCGCCGGCGCCGTTCTCGACGACTTCAAGGTCGTCTCCTTCCGTCACATGTACGATCTGGACGACACACCCGCGCACCTCAACTACGACTCCCAGTGGGAGGACCATGCCGGCGCGAACCGCTTTTTCATGGAGAAGTGGTTGTGAGTCTCCCCACTCTGCGTCGCTAAAATCCAGCCCCGGCATCGCGATCGAGTCGCGTGCAATCTGGGACGCGCGCGCCGCCTCCAACACGCTGTACCGCATGCCCATCGTCGTCATCGCCAACCGCTGGGCGGGGCACCGCGGCCCCTCCGCCGCCTGGAAGCCCTGGGGCGATGTCCTCCGCATGCCCGTGCACCCGGGCTACCTTCTGAACCTGCGCCAGCGCGTGCTACGCAACTACCGGGGAAGCGTGAAACTGCGCCCCTCGCGCCGCCCACGCGTAAAGTACCTCACGCGGCAGGAGACGAACCGGCGCCTCACGGATGCGGCGCACGACGCGCTCGTCGCCGAGCTCATCCGCCTCGACGACGAGGGTCTCGTCGAGTTCAGCCTGCTGCACTTTGTCGACGGCGACTCGTTCGAAGACCAGGTCGCGCACATGGCCAGCACCGACTTCCTGATCGGCGTGCACGGAAACGGGCTCACGCACAGCCTGTGGATGACGCCTGGGCCATGCAAGGGTGTGTTTGAGCTGCAGCCCAAGCCGTGTTCGCTGGTGAGTTGCGGCTAGGGAACGTGGCAAATTGTGATGCTGACTTAAGAACGACTTCAGTCCGCTTGCGATCGCGGCGGGCGTCCAGCACTACCTTGTCACAGAGGACACGATGTGCACGCCCCTCGAGTGCCCCGACCGAGGATGCGGCGGACATCCGAGTGGGCCTAATCGCGACAACATTGTTGTGGACCCACTCATCATCACGCACCAGATTCGACGTATCATCGAACGCCATTGGCGTAACGGCGTAGAGGTCGAGTAGACGGGAGTAGAGAGGGAGTAGAGGCGAGGAGGACAGGGCGGGTGGGAGAGGGGCGGGAGATGGCTCTCCGGTTCTAGAAGCTCGTGAGTGTAGGCTGGTCCATGGATTGCGTAGCTTGTCTAGCTTGTATTGGAGCGCTGTGATGCTTGATGGCTTGGTGGAAGGCGCCCCCGCTCCGCAGCTTGTGTGTAGTGCTGTCCGCCGCCACCCCACCCCACATCCACCATACAGGTCACATTGTCAACAGTACAATCATCAAGTGATACACAATTCTTCCTTCTCCACCACCACTCATGCACCCTGCTTGTTTCGCTTCACAAGCGACATGAGTGTCTCCAGGTTGCCCTTGGCAACGGCAAGTTCACGCTCGAGCTCCTGTATACGCTTGTCGCGCTCGGCAACCATGCGCGACAGGTCCTCGAGCTCCTCCTTGCGGCGAAGACGGTGCTTCTGCGCCGAGCGGCGGTTGATCGAGCGGCGGTCTGATGTCAGTTGGGTCAAGGTGGGAACTCACGCTCAAGTCGCGCTTGGCGCTTGTTGTCATCTTCCTCCTCAGGGAAGCTGACGGCGTGCGAGCGACGGCGACTTGAGCTCGCGGTGGATGAAGGCGCGGAAGGGGGCGCATTGCGCGCGCTAGAGCCGAGCGCCTGCGCTGTTGGCGCGATGGTCTGCACGCCGCTCGAGGGCCCGACGCTCCAGTAAGTAGTGGAAGAGCTTATGTTGAGCGCGCCTATCTCGTTGAGAGGCGATGGCGAGGCCGCGGCGGACGCGGTGTGGTTCATCACGTCGTCCCCGTCGTCGTCGGTGGTGACGTAGCTTCCACTCCCCTCGGTCGTCGAGCACGAGAAGTTCGAGTGGTGTGATCTGTGAGAGGCGGCCGACGTGGGGCGCTCGAATGGCGAAGCGGAAGAGCCAGCAGAGGGGCCGGAGATGACAGCTGGGGAGATGGTCTGCGGCAAGGGAGCGGGCTGCTGGAACGCGAATGCCGAGCTGGTGGTCTCGAACTCGGAGTCGGCGAAGAAGTTGACGTCGGGCGCTGCAGGGTCCGCGATGAAAGAGAGAGGGTTGAAGGTCGTCGTGTCAGCGGGAGGATTGGAGAGGGAGATCTCGCCGGGAAGGGTGTGGGACTCGCGGAGGTAGCGCGAGAGGAGCTCGGCGTTGCCGAAGCCGTCGTCGTTCTGGAGGAGGCCGACGCGCCCGTTGATCAAGGCCTCGAACTCTCGCCCGACGCTGTCCTGTGGGCGGAGGGGGTTGGAGGAGGAAGGGTTGTTACGACGGTCGCGCGACGAGTCGGCGGTGTTGCCGGCCTTGATGGTGGCGGCGGACGAGTTGAAGCTGGTGTAAGTGCGAGCGAGAGAGGGGGAGGAGATGTTAAGTACTCACGAGTCTGCGGCTCCCAGAAGAGGAGGCATGGTGGTTACAAACTTGGGAGAGAGGTTGACTGGACTTGGGAGGAGGAGAATCGCGGCGGGTTATGAAGTGGAGAAGGTGATGAGTGACGCTTGCTGTCCCGAGCGCGAGGGGGAGGGGAGGAGGGGAGGAGGGGAGGAGGAGAAGTAGGAGGGAGTGATGCCAAAGAGCTTCTCGTGAGCCTCGCAGCGAGCGAGGAAAGGCGAGCGGCGTCAGCGGAAGGAGAGGAAGAGACAGGAACAATGCGAGAATTGCGCTCGGTCGTGGAAGAAGTGGAAGATGATGATGACGACGCGCGACGGGAGGGAGGAGAGGGGATCGGCGGTATCGGGTGGCGAGTAGAGCGGATAGTGATCGCGCGAGGTTGACGTGTTGGAGCGAGCGTTGGAAATGATGAGTGCAAGCAAGGTTCAAGGTGTTTGTGGATGTTGATGTCGACGAGAGCGAGTAAAAGGATGACGAGGAACGCGCGAATCGCGATATCGCGGGAACACGAGTCAGGCGCACGGTATGCAGTGCATCCCGAGCACAGCCAGGTTTCATCTTAATACCTGAAAGTCCTGAACGAGGCACTTGATGAACCTTGGCAGAAAGCTGACTGGACTCGTCTCTCGCGTGGTCCTCGGATGGCAAATTCTCCCACGGCTGCTTCAACTTTAAGGTTTCCCACGGTCAGCCTGATTGGACTTCCCTCCACCTTCCCACGGTTGACGTGTGTTTGGTTTCACCGTCCACCCCAGCGTGGCAACCAACCACGGGAGATGCGAGCGAGCCAGCTGAATGCAATCTGCGATCTGCGATGCATGCATTCACATCGCCAACATGCACATTCACATCACATGCACATCCACATGCGGCCACCATCCGTCTCGAGCTCACCGCTCTCGCCGCTTGCGCAGTCATCTCCCCCACCCCATTGGCTCACCATGGCCGAGTAATACCAAGGCACGGTCATGTCCGTTATCCGATCTCTGCCAACGCCGGCAGTTGCCGATCCTCGCTTGCGGGCGAGCCCGACCGTCGACCGCTGCATCCATCGGGGTGGGCAGCATGGGCAGCGCGTAGCCCGTAAATAACTACAGTCCATCCACATCGACTGTCACCTCCCTTCTGACATCACGCCAGCATGTTCGCACGTCCTCTAGCCCGCGCAGCCCGTGCGGGCCGCACTTCGGCGCGCCGCTTCGCCTCTTCTTCGACTTCAGTGGCCGGCTCGAGGCTCGCAACGCGCTTGACGCTCGCCGCGGCCGGCGCGGCAGTTATTGTGAGTGCACTCCGTATCCTGGCTGACAGCAGGCGGGCACAACGTACGCCTTCCTGCCCCAGGCACATGCGGATGCTTCGCGCATTACCAAGGCCGGCGAGCGGATCATCACTCTCGAAGAGCTCGGAAAGCACTGGCAGGCTGGGTCCCTCTGGGTCGCTGTCGACGGCAAGGTGTATGAGTAAGTACAATTGACGAGCTGACGAGCGTGCAGCTGACCTCAGCGTGTCTGAGTTTGCCAATGTACATGTGCGTTTGAATCGGGTTCTGTGCGTCGCCGCAGTGCTGACATGCAGCCTGGCGGACTCCGCATCCTGCTCGAGAATGGAGGGCGAGACGCTACAAAGCTCTTTCATGCCATTCACCCTCCCAATACGATCAAGAAGTACACCAAGCAGGTGCCTTGTGTCGGCGTGATTGACCCCGAAGGTGTGTAGGCAAGGATAGAGGCATGCTGATGGCAGAGCTTGCGGTGTTGGCTTCGCAGAGGAGTGCCGAGGACGACCGGATTGAGACGGCGCGCAGGTCCTTGTTTGGTGTCGACTCGGTGGTGGGGCTGTCAGACTTTGAGGTGAGTAGCGGGTCGCGCGCAGCTTAACGACGCTGACATTAGCGCTACGCCAAGGACCTTCTCCCCTTGCACGCGTGGGCTTACTACTCGACCGGCGCGGATACCGAGGGTGGTGAGTATATGGCCGTACATAACACACTTGCCTATTTGGATGTGACTAACCCCAGCCCTCGCCGAAAACACTGCGATCTTCAGACGAATCTTCTTCCGCCCTCGCATCATGCGTGATGTGCACGACGTCGACACGTCTACCGAGTTCCTCGGCGTCAAATCGAGCATCCCGGTGTACGTTGCGCCCACAGCACGTAATGGCCTGGGTCAGCCGGAGGGCGAGGTGGCCGTGACCCGCGGCGCTGGTGCGACAGGCATCTTCCAAGTGCTCTCTCATTATGCGTCGCGTTCGCTCGACGAGGTTAAGGCCGCGGCACGAGAGGGCCAGCAGATTGGGTGGCAGCTGTATCTGAACCCTGACCGGTGAGATTCTGTTCCATGCACCGCTGACAGCAGGGAGCGCAGTCGGGAGGCTATTGAGGATGCAGTTGCTGCGGGAGCACACTCCATCTGGATCACAGCCGATACGGTGACCGTGAGTTGACCGCCAAACCCAACCTACGCTCACGCCAGCTCGGGAAGCGTGAGACGGAGCGCCGGTTGAACGCCGAGGCCAACCCGGCTCCAAATGGCAAGCCGCTGAGCCGCGAGCGCCAGCGTTTCGGGTAAGCTCGTGGGGGAGTCACTGAAGCAAGCTTTAGTGCGCATGACACTCGCATGTCGTGGGACGACATTGCCTTCGTGCGGAAACACGCGCCGGGCTTGCCCGTGATCGTCAAGGGCGTCGGGGCGTGGGAGGATGTTGTGCTGGCATACAAGTATGGTGCGGACGCCGTGGTGCTCTCCAACCATGGCGGGCGGCAGCTCGACTTTGCACAGCCGCCGATGAAAGTGCTGTACGACGTGAACAAGAATGCGCCGCAGGTCCTGCACCGCAAGAACTTCAACATCTTCCTTGACGGCGGCGTGCGGACCGGCACTGACGTCCTCAAGGCGCTGTGCCTTGGTGCCACAGCCGTCGGCCTCGGCCGCCCCTTCATCTACGCCGCGACTGGATGGGGCTCAGACGGCGTGGAGAAGGCCGTGCAGCGTAAGTTTGCGTCAAACAAAGCTCACTCCAGTGCTCGAGGAGGAGATCACCATCGGGATGCAGCTGCTGGGCGTGACGCGCGTGGATCAGCTGGGCCCACAGTACCTCGACACATCCAAGATCTAGCCGTCTATATGCAGGTATACATTACACTCGTCCGGGTATGGCATTACACATAGTCTATCAGAAGCCCTTCTTGTGGATGATGTCCGGGTCCTCCTTATACTCGTCTGCGGTGATGAAGATCTTGCGTGCGCTCGAAAGGCCCGCGAGAATGGACCCCCCGATCCAGGTGGAGTACTTGCGCTCGGGCGGCGCATATATCTTGAGCTTGACGTCCTTGAGCGACAGCTTCTTGACCTCGTGCAGCAGCCGGTCGCCGAAGCCGGTACACAGCGTCGAGCCGCCCGAGAGCACGATATTCGCAAACAACGCCTTGCGCAGGTCCAAGTCGGCGCGGTTGATCGAGTCCACGATCACCTGGTGCACGCCCGGATACTCCTCGCCCACGAGGTCGGGGTTGAAGAGGATCTCGGGGGCCAGGAACCGCTCCGAGCCGAGCTGGATCACCTTGCCGTCCGGCAGCCGGAACTCCTCCCACGCGCCCCCGTTGTCCTTCTCCTCCTTCGTCGGGTTCAGCGAGAGGTAGCAGGTGCGCTCTTTGATCGTGCGCACGACCTCCTTCTCCGCGCTGGTGTGCAGGTAATGCCCTGCCTTGCGGAGGAGGAGCTGGAGGTGTTCGGTCACGTCGCTAGGGTTAGGGTGTGTTCTGCGCGTCGAAACTCTTGTTCCGCTCCCTCCGACCCACTCCCCTCCCACTCCTTTCTGTCCCGCCTCCCTCCCACCTCCCCTCCACCTCCCTCCCACCGCCCCCTCCCGCTCCTCCCGCCCTTCTTAACTCACCGCCCTGCAAGGTCTATCCGCTGGATGGCGTGCGGCAGCGCAAACCCCTCGAAGACGGGCACGGCGTGGGTTACGCCGTCTCCCGAGTCGAGCACAATCCCCGTCGTCCTTCCCGTCGAATAGAGCGACAAAATAGCCTGAATACTCGTGAAGAACGCGGGCACATTGAACGTCTCGAAGAAGATCTGTGCCGCAGTGTCCCTGTTCTGCCGCGGATTCAGCGGCGCCTCCGTGAGCAACACGGGGTGCTCCTCGGACAGCGCGGAAAGACCCTCGGTATACACCCAATTCCAGATACGCTCCATGTCGTCCCAGTCGGTGACGACGCCGTGCTCGATCGGATACTTGACCTTGAGGAGGCCGCGCAGCTCCTGCGCCCGCTTGCCGATGAAGTGCGTGTCCTGGATCGCGCCGGCCATCACGCGCGGGTGCTTGGGCCGCCCGACGCTGCGTGAGCCCCGCCGCGTGCGCAACTCACAAGCTCGGGATGTAGCATGTCGGCTGCTCCTGCCCCGCAAAACCGGCCTTGATCGTGCCCGAGCCCTGCTGTCAGCTGCTGCTGTCGCTGCGCTGCGCCGCCGCTAGGCGCTGCGCGGGGCACGCGAGGCGCGAGGCGTACATTGTCAATGACGACGGGCTGGTTCATAAGACTGCCGTCAGCGATGCCGCTGCACGCCTCACACGTCGTCGAATTCGGCGGCCATCGTGCGGCGGGCGGTGGGCCGTGGGTATACTTGATGTTGGCTGGAATGTCGAGATGGACGTCTGACGCGTGAGCAGCTCAGGCGCGACCGTGACCTGGCTGCCTGGCAGGTGGGGCCCATTTAAGGTGATAGCCACGTGGGTCCCACATCCTGTTCTGCATTTGACGTCTCGTTATCGCCCTCGTCGCCTTCACTGCCTCCGAGCCGCACGCCGACGCCGAGGCGACGTAGCAGCAAACTCTGATGCGGTATGCAGTTGCAGCATGCAGGAGAACGGGGAGCGTCCGCAAGCGAGCCACGCGTGTCGATCTCCATCAGCACGACCAGCACGACGTATGGCCCGCCATGCCCTGCACACCTAAATGGGCCGAGCCACCCATCTGCTTCGCCGCTTTGTTACTCGCGCAACTCGCCTGCCTCTTCCCGCGCCCTCCGGCCGCCGGCACTGCGTCGGCACCACTGCCACTGCCACTGCGATACTGTTCCACTGCGCGATTGTTTTACCAGCGCACATCGCTTCTGCGTCCGAGCAGCGCGACCGTTCGCGCCCCGTCTCGTTCCCACGTCTCCAAGACCCCCGCGCTCTCTCCGCTTCCGCGCCAGCTGCATGTGGCGTCCTGCACCTCTGCGGCCGTTTATCAGCTGCCAAGCCGCCCCGACCGCGTCTGACGCTTCCTGCGGGTGCGAGAAGATCTTCCGCTACACGGACCACGATCACCCGTCTCATGCACACTCACGCTTCCGCGCATCACCGTGCTCCGTTTCGCGTCTCATAAAATGTCAGAAACCGTCCCCAGCTGCCCAGCCCCCCATCCTCATCTTCACAACTCACTTACTCAAACTCACACTCAAATGTCCTTCTTCTCCTCGTGGTCCTCCTCCGCCGCGGAGTACGACGAGCAGCCGGCGTGGCAGCTGGCGGGCTGGGCGTCGATCCAGCTGAGCCGGGACGACCGTCTGCGCCTCATCAACTTCCCGGCGGCCATCACCGATGTCGTGCGCCAGGCCATCTACGCCAGCTGGCCCAAGGGCATCGACGGCGAAAAGGACCTGTCCGACTGGGGCGCCGGCTGCTGGGAGTTCAAGCTCGGCGGATACCCTTGTGCGTCCCCGTATCCCGGCGCTGACACAAGGGGAGGGGCAGGGCAGCGAAGCCGTGCCCTCGAAGCAGATGATGTGTGAGATCCTGCAGGAGCTCAGCCGCTACGGGTGGCACATTGCCGTCGCGACCGACCTCAGCAAGAAGGAGTACGACAAAGACACGCTGATCATGCGCGCCGGCCCGCCCGTCTATCGCGAGGTCTTCGCCGTCACCTTCAATGTAAAGTCCGCGGGGCCAGCGCTGACGACAGGAGTGGGACAAGATGCGCCTCATCGACGCGCCCAACGAGGACGTCCACAACGCCTACCTCAGCGCCGCTCACGTGCGTCCGGCGCCGCTGAAGCTGACGCCAGTTGTGGCCCCAGGGAATCCAGGACGCCAAGGAGAAGGACGGCTCGTACCAGTTCAAGCTGCGTGGCAACCCCTGGGCTACGAGCGACGGCATGGAAGTCGTGCATGCGCGCGTGCTCGCCATGCACATCATCGCCAAGTTTGACGCACTCGGATACGAGCTCATGACCACCATGGACATGAACTCGGGCTACGGCGACTCGGGCGACAGTGCGTGTGAGTGAGAGCTGGCTGATGGCAGTCGACACTTGGATCTTCGCGTCCAAGATCGAAACCACGTAGGTTGTAGGCGCGTTGTGTGCCCCGCAGAGTCCGAAGCGACTCAGGGCTTCTACTTGAGGCATGGGCATGCTCTGGACATCTGGATGGAACCAATGCTCTCCCTCACTTACAAGGATGCAATGCAGACAACTGCACTGGAGGCACATGCGCGCGCTTGTGATTGACACGCGGGCTCAGGCGACCGTTCGCATGTCGCACGAAAGAGAGATTGTCTGGCCCGACTGGTGATACCTGCGCGGTGGCGAGGGCGCCGTCGTCTTCGCTACAACGAGCGTACGCGCGGCCGAAGGCCAAAGGAGAATATGAGGCCTTGGAGGGCCTCAAGCATCACATGCAGGCCAAGCACTCCACGATCCCAAACTGCATGAAGGCTCTAGTACCTTGGACATGCCATGAACAAGGCACGGGCAATATGATGAGATTACGAAAGCCACCAACGCCACCACGGCCCAGCTTAGCTCCGCTCCGCTCATCTCCCACCCGCCGCAGCCGCCCGTGGCGCCCACCGGGCGTCTCCGATACGACGCATGATCACACGAGCAGGCGATGCCAAGCACCGACTAATATTGCCTCGTTCCTGCCTTCTGACAATCAACGCAATGGGCCATGGACAATGACAAGGCCCGCTACGACGAGCAGTCGGGCGACAAGGAGGTCGTTGTCGTGGGGTGGAACGAAGATGATCCGGAGGTGAGTTGCGATGGCGGGGAGCAGCCCTCACTCCAGAACCCGTTCAACTGGCCCCGCGGCCGCAAGTATACCAACGTCCTCATCCCGATCTACATCTGCCTGCTCACAGCGGCCAACTCGACTAGCACGGGCATCATGGGCTTCTGGGGGCCGGAGAGGTTCAACACAACCCGCCTCGGCTTCCAGTTCAGTGTGACGAGCTACCTCATCGCCTTCTCCTTCGCGAGCCTAGTCACAGCGCCGCTGAGCGAGCTATTCGGCCGCAAGCGAATTTACCAGGTCGCGACGGCCATGTATGTGTCTTCAAGTCCCGCCTGACGCCAGCTCCGCTGTCCTCTTTATCCCACAAGCACTAACGACCAACCTCGCCCTCCTGCTCTCGATGCGGGCGCTGCAGGGCATCGCGGCGAGCGCGGGGAACGCACTCATCGGTGGATCCATCGCCGACCTCTTCAACGCCCGCGAACGCTCTCTCAGCATGAACCTCTTCGTGCTCGCCAACCTCGTGGGGCAGGGCATCGCCGGCGTCACCCTTGGATGGGTTGGGATGTACGCCGGCATCGCATGGTGCTACTGGGTGCAGGCAATCGCGCTGTTCGCCGGTGCGGCCGCCTGCTTCGTGTTGAGCGAGACGCGTGCGGACGTCCTTCTCGCGCGCCGCGCCGCGAAGCTCACACGCGAGACGGGCGTCCTCCACGTCCCGCCCAACGTCAGCCACGAGAGCCTCTTTCACAAAATCAAAGTGTCATGCATCCGGCCCATCCGTGCGTCGCCGAGTATCGAAGGAACGCTCACACCAGAGTTCATGTTCACCGAACCCATCGTCACGGCCATCTGCCTGTGGATCGGCTTCAACTGGTCGTGCATCTACCTCGGGATGAGCAGCACGCTCCTCGTCTTCGGGCAGTACGGCTGGTCGCCCGGTTGGCTGGGCACGATAAACCTCACGACGATCCTCGGCGGCCTCCTGGGCTTCATAAGCAGCTACCACCAAGAGCGGCTGTACGCGCGCGCATGCGCGCGCTCGCCCACAGGCCAAGCCCGCCCCGAAGCGCGCCTGTACTGGGCGATGGGCGGCGCCCTCCTCTTCCCGGCGAGCATGTACGCGTTCGCATGGACGGGCGTGCCGGCCATCCCGTGGCCCGTCCCCGCGCTCTTCCTGACGCTTGCGTTCGCAGCCATCTCGGCGATGTATGCCGGCGTGTACAACTACCTCGCGGACGCGTACGAGACGTTCTCGGCCAGCGCGCAGGCGGCGCACGGGTACTCGCGCAGCATGTTCGCTGCATGCTTCCCCCTCCTCACGCACGCGATGTACCATAACCTCGGGTACCCGCTCGCGTCGACGCTCGTCGCGTCCATCGCCCTTGTGCTGGGCATAGCGCCGATCTTGATATATGTGTACGGCCCGCGGCTGCGCGCCGCGAGCAAGGTCACGAGCGCGCTGACGCACGGCGCGTTCTGAGTACGCATGGAAGTCGGAGTATGCATTGAATAGATATACTGCGTCCGAGATCGGAGACCCAGTTGCATCCGTATCATGTGGGGCGGAACTGGCTTCGGGACATCGTCGCGTCCGCCTTGTTCGGGTCGCATATGCCCTCCAACAGCGAGCATGTGCTCTTGCGAACACCGATCTCGAGATGTCGTCCACATGATCACATGTCCAGCACTAGCATGGACGCAGGAATGTGGTTGAGGTGGTGCCAGAAAGGAGAGGCGCGGTTGGCGGCGCACTTGGGCATCGCCTCGCACCGTATGACGCAGCGACTCACGCTTCTCTGCACCGGATTCCGCAATACCCGCCACCACCCACTCGGCCTCCGCCACCCCGTCCCCGCCGCCCCCGTCAACATGTGCGCCGAGCAAGCGCATTCCGCACACAGCCTATGCAGCAGTGGGCAGAGGGCACTCGCATTGGCGCTGGCGCGTGATGCCCTCCAGCGCACAGATCACCACTGACGCGTCTCATCCTCCCCCTCCTACCCCTCCCCTCTGCTACTTCCCTCATCTTCTCACACTCACCTTCGCACACTCACTCTCATGGACCACCGGCGGCATCACAGTGTTGACAGTCCGACCTCGCCGCTCTCGCGCGCCGGCAGCGGCCACGTCCGCAGTCCGCTGTCGCAGCTGCGCGCCCAGGCGACGCAGGAAGCCATCCTCAATGCGCTCGACGGGCCCAGTGAGAAGCCCCTCCCCTTTCCCCCCTTTGAGCCGCTGCTCTTCAAGACCCCCTTCCGCAACCGCAGTACACGCGCCACAGTCCCCGTCCACGTTACGCCGGGCAGCCTCAAGTCGCACGCGGCGAGCTTCGAAAACGAGAGCGAGGGGAGCAGCGACGAGACGGTATGCGAAAGCTATGCCACTGCGCGCGGCAGTGCTGCGCCACTCAGCCGTACTTGGTCCTCACCAGACATCGAATGGCCGGCCGTCAAAGAAAGCACTAGCGAGGCGCGCACACCGCCATCGCAAACCACTGCGCCGTCTCCAGCACCCAGCGATGCGGGACCATCGCGCGCAATCCGCCCTCCCCGGCGCCCCACCATTGCCACCCCACCAGTTGCCAATGTCGTCGCACCAACGCCCGTTAGCCTGAGTCCACTCACGCCCACCAGCCGTCCTGCTCCTCTGTCAATCATCGGCTTGCCACTCACCGAGGAGGCGCCAGTCCTCCCCCGCAGCGAACCCTCGCCACTGAGACGACAGCACGCGATCTCGCGCCGCCCCTCGCCGACCCAAATGGGACATACAAACAGCCAGGCGCACTCCGTCGCTCACTCGGCGCCTTGCCACACTCACTCCGTCTCCCTCTCCTCCATCCCCACGCTCTCCTCCCTTCTCCGGAACGCGGGCCTCCACGTCGAGGCCATGTCCAGGCCAACAGTAAGCAACTCGCCCCACTCGGGCTCACATCAAAGTCTGCCGCCGCCACCCCCGCGGCTACCCTCTACCCGCCGGCACTCCGACACGACATTGGGGCGTAGATCGCAGGCACCAAGTGCATCTGCGGCGTCGCCCGCGCGCCTAGACTCTTTCCCGCCATTACTCACCCCCGTAGCGAACACTACGAGAGTGGCAGCGACGTACACTCACGTTCTCCTCCGCGCCAGCGCGTTCGCCCAGCATCTCACAGACCGCAGCGTCAAGAGCGCCACGGTACGCGCGATGCTCGCCTTTCTCCACGGGCAGCCGGACGACCCGGCCCAGCTCGCCTCCCTCCTCGATCGACTGGGGGACGCTCTGGTCGGTGAGTCGAGGCGCGGCGGCTCTGACGGCAGAGGACCGCATCGCGGGCGACGACACCGGCCTGCTGGAACGCCTGCTCTCCCACCTCTCAACGTACCGCGGCTTCGACGCGCTCCTCACCACGACCTTTACGAACCGGTACACGTGCACGTCGTGTGGCGGGGACAGACACTCGGTGTCGACGAGCTGGGCGGCGCCGCACATAGGCGCCTCTGTCGCAGGCGTGCGCTCCATCTCGGCGAGCTGCCCCACGTGCGGGGATACGTAACACGTCAAGCGCTGGGCGCCGGGCGTGCATGCGCCCCTCCTCCTCATCCATCCGGACGGATATGTGCCGGAGATCATGTTCGATCGCATGGCGCGCGTGCAATGGGCGTTGGTTGGGGCGACGGTCCCTGTCGAGGCGGGATTGGGGGTCATTGCGATGCAGGATGGGTGGACACTGTTCCGGGGACGGGAGCAGGTGCCGGTGGACCTTGCCCAGCCCGTCCGGGCCTCCTTTGCGTTGTACGAGAGGGTTTAATGATTTATTATATTTGTATACATGTATCGCGCGAGGAAGCAGCCGACGGCACAAGTGCAAACTGATTTGGCGATCTTAATATGCCCGCCCAGATCTGAAAACTATCACAATCATCAACTATGTCGCGCGCTCCTTTCGTGTCCTCCCGTCACCCTCGTCTAAACACTCACAACCTGCAGCAGATCAGTAAGCTCGGAGGAGACGTGCAAGAAGGGCTCTCGGGTTGAGTGGTAGTTGGCAGCGTTCGTAAAGTCGCGGCCAGTCACAGCGTATACCTCCCTTACTCAATCTACAAAGCGTACACCTCGTCATGGAAGCCAATACCCCCAGCCCGCACGCGCTCAGCCACGCTAATCCCTGCGACGGCGTTCCGCGCCTGCGTGACGAGCGCCTCGGGCCCAGCGGCAATGACAGCGAGTCCGCGCGGGCCGTCGCCGAAGGCGCCGCCGCCCAGCGCCTCGCGCACGAGGCACGGCACCTCAGGCCGGGACGGGGTGAGCGTCGCAGACGGCACGAGGGACATGGTGGGGGGCAGTGTCGCGGGCGGGTCCGTGAGGAAGAGGGCGTACTCGATCTCGGTGTCGAGCGCGGCGGCGAGCTCGTGCAGCCTCGTCAATGTGGGCGCGAGCGCCTCGATCGTCGCTGGCGTCAGTGTACCAAGTCATCGGCTCACATAAGTCGCGCACCGCCCACGCGGCGGTCACTTTGCCTGGCCCCTGTCCCTTCTGTCGCCACGTGAGTATCTCCTCGATCGTGCCGAGGAGGAACGTGACTCCCGACCCGCCCGCGATGACCAGCGCGCGGCCGTACGCGCTAAAATCCATCTTGAGGCCGCCGTACGGCCCGTCGAGCATGACGGTGACGCGCCGGCCGGGGTGCTCCGCCCCGCACTTCCCCTCGATGAGCGCTTCGCGGAGCTCGTAGTCGTCGCCCTCTTCGAGCCCTGTCTCGCCCGCCATGCGGTGCACGCGCCGCGTCCAGTCGCCCGCGACTTTGACGTAGAGCACGATGCCGCGCGTGTTGCCGCGGAGCGCGGCGGGCGGCGCGTTCGTGATCGTGAACGGGTGGGCTTCGAATATGCCCGCGCCGCGCAGGACGCGGAGATGCACGTGTTGTGTAGGGAGCCAGCCGGCGTCGCAGTCGGGGATGTAGATCATCGTCAGCGTCGCGTCGATGGGAACCAGGGTTGCGTCTTTAAGCCTGTAGCGGAGGAGGCGGGCGAAGAGGCTGTGGGTCAGCAGAGCTAGGGCATGACCCACTCGTAGGCGTAGAGGCCCGCGCAGACGTAGACCCAAGACAGCGCGTGCGAGGTGTGGTAGCACAGCCCCGCGAAGAAGCCGACGAAGAAGATGACGCTGCGGTCAGCGACTGCAGACGGAAAACTCACTGGCTCGCCCAGAAAATCTGGTAGTACCTCCGCCGGACGGGCTTGATAGACGTCACCGCCACCATGCAGAGCATGGCGTACGCGACCATGCCGCGCACGCTTTTGCTCTTCCACACCTGGTCCCACTGCCCCGTCGAGATGTACTGGTTGAGCCAGCACGCCATGTGGACGGTGGCGGCGAGCCAGACGCTGCGCCCCGCCCAGCGGTGCAGGAAATTGTAGTGCTCGTAGCTCAGCGACGGCAGGAAGACGGGGAGGGGGAGCGGCGTCTTGAGCGCGAGCAAGATGAGGAGGGGGAGGTGCGCGAGCGCGAGATATCCCGCGCGGTTCGAGTTGGTCTTCAAGTCCGCGCCGGTTGTCCAGCACGCGATGGCGGCGGCTAGGAGGGCGGCGACGAGCGCCATCTGCGCGAGCGAGAGCGACGCGCGGCGCCACAGGCGCGGCGTGTACAGCGCCGCGGATTGGAGGAGGGCGAGCGCCGCCGTCACGGTGGATGAGGGGCGGGGTGGAGGCGGAGTCGGGACAGGAGTCTTCTCGGCGGGGCGCACGTCGCTCTCACGGATCGAGAGGCCGGCGTACAGCCGCCTCTGCCGGATCGCGCGTAGGATCCATGGGATCGAGCAGAGCGTGCTGAAGGCTATGACGGAGGCCCATATGATCGTAAACTTGCGCTGCCATGCATGGTCGGTGACGCTCGCGCTGGGGTTAGTCGCATGAGGGATGGTGGGTGAGAGCGGAAAGGGCGGACCTACTTGTGGATCTGCCGTCAGCTGGCCTCGGGCGTCAAGCAGGGTGAACTCACGACGAGATCTGGGGGCGGGGCCGTGGGCGGTCCTCGAGGCAGGAGGAGGTCCATTCTGAGCTGAGCGGAGAGTGTTATCAAGACATGTCTCGACGTCGAGGAGAGGACGGCGTGCGTCGACGCGGGACTGAGAATCGCTGGATGCGGATCAGCCCATGCCAGATAAAGTGGGGCGCCGAATAAGAAGTGACGCAAATAGCCGCATGTCAGGGACGATCTGCGCCTTTATCTGGTGGAGGAGGTCCACTCTACGCCAGTTGCACAACCTTTGAAGAACTCAAGTTGCGAGGATTTGCAGATGTCATGGGCTTTCGGTCGTATCGAAGGAGATGACTAGGTTAAACAGGCTTGTACCTCTCACAAAGCCGCCGCAGCTGCTCTCCACGCTGCTCTCACATCGCGTGCTCCTAACTGTCGACACCCCTCCACTTCAAACTGTATCCTTGACATGTCAACTATCTTCTATATGTTCCCTACCCCCAGCTCCCTACGACGAAAAGTACTGCTCCATGGCCGCCTTGCGCATGGCATGCTTTGGCGCAGGCTTGCCTGTCCAGAGCGTGAACTGCCTGAAACCTTGCAGGCAGAGGATCTCGATACCCGTGACGGCGGCCCACCCAGCCTCCTCGGCGGCGCAGAGCAACGCCGTCTTGTGCGGCTTGTACGCCATGTCGATGGCGACGCCGCCGCGCGCGGCGAGCACGGAGGGGGGGAGGAATATGCCCTCGCCGGGGGTGGTGCTGAGTGATGCGCCGGGCACCGTGGAGACCACAACGGCGGGCGGCGCGGGCAGCGACGCAAGGTCGTCGACGACCACGAGGCCGTACGAGGCCGGGAAGGAGGCCGCGACCTTCTCGGCGTTCGCGCGCGTCCGGTTGAACAGGAGGATGCAGCGCGAGCCGAGCGCGTGCAGTGCGTAAATCGCCGCGCGGCACGTGCCGCCCGCCCCGATGACGAGTGTCGTCAGGCCCTCCTTGCCCGCAGCAAGCGCCGGGTTCAGGTTAGCGCGCGCAGCCTCTTCAATCGCCATCCAGTCCGTGTTGTCGCCGTGCAGCTCGCGCTGCCCGTCTGCGCCTGTGCGCACAACCGCCGTGTTCACCGCCCCGATGGTGCGCGCGTGCTCGCTCACCTCCGACAGGAGGGGCATGATCTCAAGCTTGAGGGGGATGGTGACACTTGCACCGCCGAAGTCCGGGTCGGCAAGCGCCTGCTTCACTGCGTCCGTGATCGTGGCTGCCTCGCAGCGGCCGTACTCGTGCGGGAAGCCCAGCACCTTGAAGCCTGTGTTGTGCAGAGTCGGGCTGACTGACGCCGCAATCGGGGAGCCGAACAGCCAGAACTTGCGCGACGGCAGCAATCCAATCAGACTGCGCGCCTGCATCACCTCCTGGGCTGTAAGCTGGCCCGGCGCCGCACGGGAAGGAAGAGCCGAGTGCGTGATGGGCGTGAGGACAGGGTTGAGGACACGCGAGAGCTGGCCCATCGCGCCCATGTTGATCGCAAGGAGCGGCACACCACCCGCGCGACGCTTGCGCTCCGCGAAGATGGCGAGCGCGGCATTGTCCGCCTGGCTCTTGGCCGTACCGACGATCTTGACGACCTCAGCGAAGCGCGAGCCGTCGGCGTACTTGGCCGCAACCTCGGGCCCGTCCCACTTCATGTCGCCCGTCCAGTCGTGCCACGACGCAATGAGCGCGCTGTCGCGCTTGCCGGCGACGATGCGCGAGATTGTGTCGGCGGGCCACGCCAGCTCAACGTCGACGTACTCGGCACCCATGCGGCACCCCTGACGCACGAGGGTCTCGTAGCCCGCCGCGTCGTCTGATGGTGCCCATCCTCCCTGGTCCTTCGAGCGGACGGCAAACACCACGGGTAGCGACGACACAAGACGCATGTGTGCAAGCTGCTTCGCCACGTAGGCTGCGGGTGGGAGCTGGGGCTTGGTCGGCGGCTTGCCGTCCACGGTAAGAAGGTCGATGCGGAGCTCGATCGCGTCCGCGCCCTCCGTGAGCACGTCCATGTTCGCCAGCGCGGGAGTGACGTCCGGGAACGTGAGTGAAAGGAAAGCTGATGGCTTCGCATTCGGCCCCGAGACCTCAACGCGGTTGTTATTCCTCCCTGTGATGAACTTGAAGAAGCGGGAGCACTCGGCGCGCATGGCTCTGTGGTGCTGGTCCAGAGTCATGTCCGCGACGGGGTTGATGATGTTGACAAACTCGTGGCTGCTGCACTCGTGGTACCACGGCTCGCGGCGGCGGAAGACGGACGCAAAGTCCTCGCCCCACTTGGGCCGCTGCTGCGTGCCGCCGATCTGGTCGAGGTAGGCCTCGAGCTCCTCGAGGTCGCGCGTGACGTGAACCACGACTCCGCCGTCGGCGATGTGGTTCTGCAGCATCTTGCGAGCCGCCACGGACTCGACGACACCACCGCCGAGCCCGATAACGTGGTTGCCGCGCTTTTCGCGCAGGAACTTGGACAGAATAGTGGTCTCCGTCTCGCGGAACTTGGGCCAACCGTGCTCAGCGACGAACTCGGACACGTGCTGGCCCGTGGTCTCGATAAACACATCGTCGGCGTCGGTGTACTCGCCAGCCAAAGTCTCAGCGGCAATCTGGCCGATGTAGGTCTTGCCCGCGCCGCGCATGCCGATAAGCAGTACGGGATGCTCCATGGGCGAGGTGCCCGAGGTCGAGGCCTGCGCCTGCGAGTCCAGCTCAACGCCGTCGAACTCGATGCCGATCTTGGTCTGCAGGTCGTCCCAGAAGTTGGGCCACGTCTTCTCGACGCAGCGCTTCTCCTCGAGAATCGTGCCGTCCACGACACACGCAAGGACAGCGTGGGCCATAGCAACGCGGTGGTCGTCGTAGCAGTGTACGGACACGCCGGTCTTGAGCGAGTCGTACTTCTTGCCGTAGACGATGATGCCGTCTGCGAACTCGTCCGTCTCGACGCCAAACTTGGCGAGCTCGTCCCGCATCGCCTTGATGCGGTTGCACTCCTTGACGCGCTGGTTAGCGATGCCGTAGATGCGCGAGCCTTCGGGGCGGAGGCCCTCGACCTCGCGGCCAGGAAGAGGTGGAAGAGTTGCGACTGCGGCGAGGACTGAGGCAGTGAGGAACGCGTCCGTCATCGGCTCCATGTCGACGTTTCCGAGGGCGCGGAGCTGACCGATGGGCGGGCCAGTGACCTTGGTCGAGGTGGCGGTCTGCTCGACCGTGCAGCCCATGGGCTCCAGGACCTCCTTGGCGAAGCGTGCGTCGCCCTGGAGCGAGCTCGAGCCGATGTTGGGGATAGTGCACGTTGTGCCGGTGATCGCAGCAATAGCGAGCGGGTACGTTGCGCTTGAGGCGTCCGACTCGACGTTATACTCGGCGGGATTGATGTAGACGGCCTTGGGAATGACGTAGACGTCAAGAAGCTTGCCGCTGGCATCCTTCTTGCGCTCGACATTGACGCCGAACTCGGCCATCATGGCAATAGTCATGTCAATGTAAAGCTGGCTGATGACCTGACCGCCGATGAGCTCCAGGGTAACAGCCTCCTTGGCGTAGGGCGCGCAAAGGAGGATTGACGAGACGTACTGGCTCGAGACGGAGGCAGCGAGCTTGATGTGCCCACCACGCAGGCCGTCGGCGCCAATGTCGAGGGGCAGGCATCCCTCGGCCTCGTTGTACGTGATTTCGGTGCCGTTCTCGCGGAGGGCATCAACGAGCGGGCCGATGGGGCGCTGCTTCATGCGCGCGTTGCCCGTGATGACAGTTTGCTTGTCGTTTCCAGTCTGCGCAATCGCACAGACGGTAGTGAGAAAACGCGCGGCTGTGCCCGCGTTGCCGAGGTACAGCTCCTTGCCCTTCGGCGGGGGCGTGAGGTTGCCCGCACCACCCTCGACAACGATGGTCTCGCCGCCGTCCTCCCAAGAGAACTCGGCGCCCTTGAGCTCGGAGAGGGCGTTCATCATGACAGCCGTGTCGTCCGAGTGCAGAAGGTTCTTGATGCGACACATTCCCTTGCCGAGCGCGGCGAGGACGAGCGCACGGTTCGAGATTGACTTGGAGCCTGGCGTGGCCATGGTGACTGGCGACTTGGTGGGCACGCCCGCCTTGACGACAACAGCCTCCGCGAGGACTTTACGGATAATCACGTCGGGTACGACTGTCGCCTTCTCCTCGTACGTCTTGCCAATGCGCGAAAGAATGACGATCTTCTTCTGGTCGCCCGAGTTCTTCTTGTCGATGCGCATAATGTCGATGAGGCGGTCGACGGTAAGTTGTGTAGAAGCCGGGAGCTTGGCGATGCGCGGGTCGTGGACAGTCACGGGGAGCCCGTAGGCCTTAAGTGCGCGGGTGAGGCGGCCGACGGCGACCTGAGAGAGGACGCCCATGTGGCGCGCAATCTCAGCCTCGAGGATCATGCCAATCGACACGCACTCCCCGTGCAGAATCGTCGGGGTGAGTACGGCTTCGATGGCGTGGCCGACCGAGTGACCGAAGTTGACGAGGTTGCGGAGACCTGTCTCACGCTCGTCGATGGTGACAATGTGCGCCTTGACGTAGATAGAGCCGCACACAACGGTCAGGAGGAGGGTCTGGGGCACCGAACGATCCTTAGCAAAGCGGCCGGCGTGGCCGTCCGCCTTGGTGGATACGGCCGACGAGATCTCCTCGGCGCGCGATTCGAGAAGAGCAAAGTCGTCCGCCTTCCAGATAGCGGCCGTCTTGACGACCTCGGCCATGCCGTTGGAGAACTCGCGCTGGTTCAACGTAGACAAGAACGATAAGTCAACGAAAATGTAGCTCGGCTGCCAGAACGCGCCGATGAGGTTCTTGCCGTGGGGCGTGTCAATGGCTGTTTTTCCGCCAACGGCCGAGTCGACCATGGCCAGCAGCGTCGTAGGGATCTGCACGAACTTGACACCGCGCATGCTCTTGTCAGCGGCCTCCACATGGTGACTCACAAAGTCGCTGCGACGAAGCCGGTGAGGTCGCCGATGACGCCGCCGCCAAACGCTAGGATAACAGTGTCACGCGTACACTTTTGGTCGAGAAGCCAGTCCTCGATCTCGCCCTTGACTTCGCGCGACTTGGCGGTCTCGCCGGGCGCGACCTGGTACGTGAGGAAGCGGGACTTTGCGCCCGCCTCCTTTGCGGCGGTCTCATAGGCATCCTGCAGCGCCGGGAGGTAAAGACGAGCGAGGTTGGTGTCGGTGATCAGAGCATAGGTCGAGGATGGGAGGGTGGTGAGGATGGTGCGGAAGATGTAGGGAAGGAGGTGGAAGCCGACGTGGATCGACTCGTTTCCGAGAATGGAGATTTTGAGTACGTCGGCGAGGTCGGACATGGTGATGTCGCGTCCGTCGCGCGTCGTGGAGGAGGAAGAGAGAGGGGGGAGGGAGGGGGAGAGAGAGGAGTGGTGGGCAGAAAGAACAGAAGAACAAGGAGATTGCCTTGACTTTTGGGAAACTCGACTCGAAGACACGACAGAGAGCGCGGGCAACCGTCGGCATTGCTCTGATTGGTCCACTCATCCGGAACGGCCAGGCGGAGCGGAGGAGTCGGGCAAGTCACGTGGTTGAGGGCGGAGGTTGAGAGCCGCTGCGGAGTGCAGCAATCAGCATGGCAGCAATCCGCCTCGCCGGTGCTAGACGCCTCGAGCCCCTTCCCAAACCAGCAGTCTGCTTAGCTCTAGATCTATGCATACTCTACCCCCGTCTATCTCTACCCGCTCCAGCTGTCCCTCGCCCGCTCCCATGCTTCTCTCACTCTTCTACTGGTTCTCCTTGATCACCTGCTCCGTGCTCTTGCCCGCCACGACCTCCTTGACGAGCGTGAGCACCTTGCGGAAGTCGAGGAAGTTGACGTGCGGAATACCCTCGCGGTCGCAGAACGTTGCGAGGTCCGTGTTCCCCTCCGGCTTAACCTTAGTGAACAGAAGGTCGGCGTGGCGCGCCGCGCTGAGGTCGCTCACACCGTCGCCTGCGAAAAATAGCGTCGGCCGGGATGGGATCGAGCGGTACGGGATGATGCTTTGGCTCTTGTCGTGCCCGAACCCGCTCTCGGGGTGGCGGTAAACAATGTCCCATGTCGTGCCCTTGCCCTCGGGATCAGTGTACTTTACGTCGTTGGCGATAATCTCCATCTGCGACGCTTCGGCAACGCCCACGAGCTTCTCGAGCACAGCGCGAATAATCGGCGCCATGCCGGAAGACACGATGATCAGGGGGATTCCGTTCTCCTTGCACCAGGTGTAGAACTCGAGGAACCCGGGGTCGAGGTCGATGTCTGCGTGTGAGCGGATGGAAAGAGGGGACAGGCTGGTCAAGGAAGGCGAGAGGGAGGTTGCTGAGGATAATGCAGCGAAGAATACGCTGAGATCAGCGGGCGCAGGTGGTGACGCCTGTGACGCCGGGTCGCAGCGCGATCCACGGCATGTCACCATGCGCCCGCAGTGCCGAAGCGCCGACAGATCCACCGTCGTCGGTCATGTGCATCCCCATCCTTCGGGCTTTGCTTCTCTGTCGTCTGTGATCGCCTAGCCAAGCCCTTCGCATGTTCCACAATCCGAGGATCCACTCACTCTGCCGCAGGACCTCCTTGCACTCCTCATATGGCACCTTGACGCTCTGCATCATGGAACGGAACTCATCGCGGAAGTTGCTCTCGCCAGTGAGGACCTTGACGTTGTCCGCCTTGCTGAAGGTCAGCGGTGCCACGGTGCCACGGGAATGAAGGGAGGGGCCACGAGCGGGAGGATGGGGCGAGATGAGGTGCGAGCAGGCCCGGGAGCACTAGTCCTGGCGCACGGCATCGCACGGCCAGCCGGCTCGCCGGCCAGGCCCTGGCTTGTGATTGCTGCCGGCGCGGCACAGCGGCGAAGCAGCCTACGACCGAGTGCGCTCGGCGCATGAGGCTTCTGCCCGTCTATGGCCGTTTAAGCGGCGCCTGTGCAGCGCGGCCAGCTGCGCCCGCTGCAGCGATCGTGCGTTCATGAGTGCGATCGCGCAGCCTGACAAGAGTTTAGATCGCCTAGAGCGACATCGGCCGCGTCATGGTCTCTGGCCATGGGTACAGCTTGGCAGCTCCCAGAGCTAGCAGTACTCGACTCCGTCGAGAACGACGCACTGCCACTCCGACCGCTTGGACGTGGCGTGCCTTGCGATCGACGAGACAGCGCAACGCCCATCACCGGCCCATGCCCATCGCAATGAGTTCATAGCTCACAGCCAAGTCCGCCGCGGAGAGAACTCACCGCTGCTCAGCGCCGAAGCCGAGGTTGTCGACGAGGAAGTCGTTGCTGTCCTTGTCCGTGATAGTTCCGTCCTATCGTCAGCCGTGGAGTTCTCTCAACCCCGGGCCTGCCTTGGTCCGTCGCGCGTCATGGCAGCCCCATCCTAGCCTTCTCGCCTCCATCCACCGTCAAACAACTCACCCAGTCGGACAGGAAGACGAACTTTGCGTCCTTGTGGAGTTCGGGTTGGGGGAGGCCGGACATGTCGAGGAGAGGAGTGAGATGGAGAAATGCAATTGACAGGGTTCCCCAATGTGTTCCACTTGGACATCCGTGCCGGCGGCAAAATCAGCCCCCAAGCCACGCCACGTGGTATGAGAGGTGCCTGACATGGCGCGTCGCGACGCGTTCGTCATTTGCTCGACATCACCTTCATCCTCCATCCTCCAGCTACTCTCTGCGCGCCTGCATCATGCGCATTCATCTCCCTCTGCACCCGCACCACTTCGCAAAGCCTGCTGCCGGCGGGCCACTGGCCGAGATCGGCGGCGAGCTCGTCGTAATCGAACTGCAGGGGGAGCTGAGCTGGGAGGGCGAGCAGGCGGGCGGCGTTGTCGGCGTGTTGGGCCTGGACCGGCCAGTGAGTCTGCGCGTCGCGACATCGCGGCAGGTCAAGCTGCTTTATCCGCTGACATCAGGACCGCCCGACACTCCATATCGGCGCGCACCACCTTCTGCACGGCAAGATCGCTACGCTGCCGAAACCGTACGCCGTGATCCGACGTGCGGCAGCGCCCACGGCCGAGGGGACACTGGAGGGCGACGCGGAGGAAGAGGAAAGTGACGCCGAGCACGAGGAGGAGCGGGAGAAGCGGCCCGCAGTCGGCGGGGGGGCCGGAGGGGAGGAAGCGGAAGAGGAAGATGAGCCCCCACTCTTTCCCGAGGAAGATGAGCCACCGCTCTTCCCCGAACAAGTGGTGCCGCCGCTGCCACCCAGCTCGCCGCTCAGCTTCCATCCCTCGAGCGCGCACGACTACTCATCAGACCTGGAGAGCTCGCCCGTTGCGCGGCTGGGCATGCTCCCGTCCGAGGCTGACGATGCGGAGGAGACGGAGGAGGAGCGCAAGCGGGCGCGTGAGGAGGAGCGAGCTGCGCGCGAGCGGGAGGAGCGACACCGCGCACGGCGGCGGGCGGCCCGTCCGGAGCGTACGCGACACTATGAGGTCGTGGGGGTGGTGCGGAAGAAGATTGTGTTCGCACTACGGTCAGTCCTGATCATTCTCTCGCTGACGGCAGACCTGAACCGCTCGTCCAGCCCACACAGCTGCCTGAGTAGCATAATAGAGATCCATGACCGACACGCATCACTGTACTATATCATGTTTCATTTCACTATGGCCTGCCTGGTACAGGCCGATACCGAGACACTGAGTTTATGTTGAATCATCGTCCCCTGCCTCGCGCTTACTCCAGCCGCTCCGTTCCAACTGCTCTGCGAAGCTAATAGTAGCGATAGCCCTGCTGGGGATAGCCGTACGCCTGCGGCGAATAGTACCCCTGCGCGTACTGGACCTGATTGGGATCACGGTACTGCTGTTAGATGACAGAGAGACTCGGTTGGCGCCCACGAGCCCGTGCGGGTCACCCCGGCTGCCTCAAATCGCCTCACTCACCACATTGGGGTCCACCCCGGCATAGTACGCGCCACCCGCCGTGACGGGGTAATATCCCTGTGCACCGGCTTGGGCGACATACGCCGGCTGGACGTAGCCCGCATAGACCGGAGCACACTGGTACGAGCATGCGGCGTACGGCTGCGCGTATGCGTACTGCATGCCCGGCTGCATGCCGGGCTGCATGGGGACGCCGGATATCATCCCAGACTGCATGACGCCGGGCTGCATACCGGGCTGCATAACGCCAGCCTGCATAACGCCAGGCTGCATGCCGGGCTGCATCATCAGGTGGGGCTGTATGAACTCGTCGTATCGGCGGGAATGGCGGCGGTCGCGGCGCGAGTTGGACGAGGCCGAGCTCGAGTCCGAGTCGCGGCGGCGACGCGCGTACAGCGGGCGGAAGGTGGGCTGTGCGCCATACTGGGACTGGACAAAGTGCTGTCGTCAGCGCCCTCCACAGAATCACACACCCGGTCGTAAAGGTACCTGACGGTGGCGGCTGCGTACTCGCTCGCAGTGCTGAGTTTGGCGCGGGACGAGCGGGGATCAACAACGTCCCAGAGGCGGTGGACTGGCGTGAGTGGCGCGACGCAGACTCACGTTCCGCAACAGCCATGCCGGCAATCAGCATCATATTGCTCTCGTGCGAGTTCTGCGCGTACACGGGCCAATGGTCGCGGCACCACAGTCTGCGTGAGCGTGAGCGTGTACGTGCTTCTCACAAGTAAGCCTGGTACGCAGCGGCGCCGCCGAGCGAGCGGTTGCCCGCGTCCGCCCCGTCGCCTTTGTAGTACACGCGCACGAAGGACTGGTATGCCGCGTCCTCGCTCAGCTGGCGGGCGCCCACGAACTCGGAGATGCGCGAGATCTGGCGTCAAGACCCGTCGGCGGCCCACTCACGAGCTCGTTCAGCCATGTCCGCTCGAGGCGGGAGCCGGAGTAGTGGTGGCTCGCGAGGTCCCACGCGCCCCAGCCGCGGTCGGGCGTGTACGGGAGCCGCTGCAGCTCGTATCCCGGCGGAAGTTGGTACTGCATGCGGCCGTGTATCGGCACCATGCCTGGCGCGCCGGGGCCGGGCATGCCCATGGGCACCATGGACGGGGGCATCATGTTCGGTTTAGGCTGCATTGAGGTGTGGTGTGAGTGGGTGGAGAGGGGACGAGGGGACGGGTTCATCCAGTGCTTTATACCCCAGCGGCGGGCGGGGAGATGGCTACGCCGCGTGATGGGGCAGCGTGCGAGGTGCGAGAGACTAGAGTCGCCAGAGAGAGAGGTGGCGAAGTGGCGAAGTGGCGAAGTGGCAAAGAACAATGGAGGTGAGTACTTGTGTGGGGCAATGTTTGCCGTCGTTTAGCATGCACGACAGCGTCCGTCCGTGCGCGCACGGGCGTCAAGACGCAGAAGCATGTCGCCTCCCAGAGCTCCAGAAGCATCTCAGAAGGCAGAGACGTGCGCCGAAGCGCGGGGTCAGTCGCGAGACCGCGGTCTCCAGTGCGGCAAGGTGGAAGGGGGGCGCGTGGAACAACTCCAGCAGACACGCTTCTTCGATCTACTGATCAGCGGTCATATGCAGATAGCCGGCTGAACGGCTGCTCTCGCCGTTGCAATCCACGGCGATCCCAACGTCAGTGCAGATAAGTATCTGCGTGCCGTGCCAAGCCCCGCCAGCGCAGGCAATCGTGCATGCCTGCTCTATAGTGTACAACGTAATGTCCTGTGCGTTAGACGCGAGCCGGCGGCGCCACGGTCGGTGGTTTAGCGCCGGCGGGGATGGGGGAGGAAATGCCGAGACCCGTGACTTCCGAGTCGTACCACAGCCCGCGCTTGCGCGAAGACGTGGACGAGGTGGGCGAGCTCGGCGAGCTGGGCGAGCTGCTGCTCGAGCCGCCCTTTCTGTGTCCCGCCTTGTCGGGCCGTTTGCCGGAGACGACGCGCGCGCCGTGGCCTGCAATCGAGCTCGCGGGCGTCGAGTAGTGGCTGACCGAGGTCGGCGGGGTCGAAGCTGGCGGGGAGGAGGGCGACGCTGAGCCGGAGCGCGAGCCCGACGACGACAGGTTCTCACTGTACGCTTCCCGGCTCAGCACTTCCGGCGCATAGCCGTTGTGCGTGGGCGTGGGCGGGGACCGCGAGAAGCGGGACACGTAGCCTGGTGCCGTGGGCGCGCGCTTTGTCGTCGGAGACTGTGGGGGCGTGGAGAACTGTACGGGGGAGAAGGTCGATGGGCTGGGCGAGGGCGGGCTTGCCGATGCGGACGACAGCTTCGCGTGCGCCAAAGCGACGGGGTGCGTGGGCGGGTACGCGCCTTCGGGCAGTGGGGGAAAGTTGTCGGCGTGCTTCGATGGTCCGGACTCTGGGCTGAAGCCGGGCCCGTTCCACGACACGCGTGGGACGGACATGGGAATCGCCTCGTCCACGCCGCTGGCGCGCAGGAACTGCGGCAGTGGGGGGAGGGGCTCGAGCGGCTCGCCCGCGCCGGGCGGGAGAGAGCCTGAGGGGGCGGAGCGCGTGCTCGTCCGGCTCTGGGTGCGGGGAGGCGACGGCGTTGATGTGCTCTGCCGCCGCGAGTCGGGTTTCTCTGCGAAGCTCACGGTGCGCGACTTGCGCAAGTCTGGCCGCTGCGGCTTGCCGGTTTCGTGGGAGATTGTCGATTGTGCGAGCGGTGAAGGGATGCCCACGGCCGAGCCGACACTCTTGCGCACAAGGGAGCGCCGATTCGCTGCCGCCGCGGCTGGGGGGGTTGTCGCGGGCGACCGGCCATATGCCGAGTTAGCGGACAGGAGACCTGGCGAGGCAGGGCCGAAGTAGTCTGACTGCTGGGCGGCCCCGGTGCCGGGCGAGCGCTGCAACGGAGCGGAATGGGGAGCCTGAGCGGGGAGGCCGAAGAGAGGGTCCTGCGTCGCGAGGTAGGCCGCTTCTGGAAGCTCTGGGATGCTGAGGGCCGAGGCGGCGCCAAGGCTTGGTGGGCGGCGGCTTGCAGACACGCGCGAGGAGCGGTGGTCCTGGAGAGAAGTGCGCGAGTTGCGGTTGGACCGGGGAGCGCCGTTGATCGTTGTGGCAGTCGTGTATTTGCTGTCGTAGGAGTAGAGCGAGGCCGTGCGCTGGGGCCGGAGCGCATAATCCTTCTCATTTCCGTCCGCAGGAACTGGTGCTCCCTTGGGCACGGGGAAAAAGGCCTCTTTGCGGACAATCGTCTCGCGCCAGTGTGCGGGCCCGCGCGCGCCGAACTCGTCCGGAAATACATCACCCTCGACGTCCTTAGGCGCCGGAGGCGCCTTCTTGCGCTTGATGCATGGGAAGGCCTTGCGGTTGGGCCCCCGATAGAGCAGATAGACGCACGCAGCGGCGACGAGGGAAAAGACGATGGTGAAGCCTGCGATAGCACCTGCGAGGGGTAAGCGAATATGCATCGGCGGCCGGCGACCTGATTGCGGAATGGTGTTCGGCTCGCGGACTGATTAACTTACCTGGCGACTGCGCCCATTTGTTGTTGTTGCTCTCGTCCTGGCTTGCGCCCACGACACGGGGCTCAAGCGTGGCTCGCTCGCCGCGAAGCACTGCGCCGGCGCTGTTTATGAACATATCGGGCTTGGGGGAGGTGGGTCGGGCAGGGAGGGAGGTGAGGCTAGAGTGGGCGGGCAGGCGGGTAGTGTGGGGCGAGGTGGAAGAGTGGGGAGGTGGCGTGAGGGGACGAAGTGTGCGAGAAGACGTGTTAGGAGGAGAGCATGCCGGCCGGCGGTGCGAGGGTGAGAGAAGAGGAGGGTGAGAGGGGAGAGGGCGGAGGGGCGGAGGAGACTGGCTCGCTCAACGCCTAGTTGAAGAACAAGGATATGAGAGAGGGAGTAGAATGAAGAGACGAAGAGAGAGAGAGAGAGATCTAGAAGATGGGACAGTGTTTGGGGGCCGTGAGAGGGTGAGAGTTCTCTTGGTACCGTCAAGTAGGGAGTAGCTGAAACAAGAGTGAGGGCCGAGATGATGATGATGTGAGATGTGAGAATCAACAGGACCCAACGCAGGGAGGAGAGAGCGACGAGGGCGAGGGGGAGCACAGCTACCACTCTTTCTTCACGACAGAAATCAATACATACAGTGGCAGCTCGAGACTCATCATACGCCGCGCACCGTCGACAAGTTTAGAAGAGGGTTACAGGACAGGGGAGGGTGAGCCTGAACTTGTGATCGTACATGACGGTGCGGGAGCAGGAAGAACATGCATGCTTTGCGCTTGCTAGCCTGCGCTTACGAGCATGAAAGAGCAGGGACTGGGACTGGGACTGGGACTGGGACTGAGGCCCTCCGTTGGAGGAGTTGCATGGCCATGGCTTGCCAAGGCGAAGAGAGGAAGCGTGCTCGTGGGCTCATGAACCCTCGCGGGCATCGCGGGATACCTCGCTCTTCGCTCCTCTCCATGAGAATACAAGAAACTCCCACAAATCCACGAGCACGGGACTCTAAACTTTGGCTCGGATCAGGGGCCGACCGGCGGGTGGTCTGATCGGCAGCGCGTGTGCATGGTCTCGCCAATCGCAAAATAACAAACACTGTGGCATCACATCAGCAGCCGCAGCTGAGCTTGAGATCTGAGCTGAGAGAGCAGAACGAGGGCTGAGGCAAAAGGGAGGCGCGGCAAGACGAGGATTTCAGGAAGTGCGCGTAATCTAGTTAGGAGTATTGCCAGGGACGCTGATTTTCTTCCACCGCCACTTCTGCTCTTGAAGCTTTCCTGCTACGGCTCCCAGGTCCGCGTTCCACGGCGCCTGTTCCCTCCTTCTTCCGTTTACGGCACTCGCGCCGACGAGTCACACTGCGCGACCGCCGCGAGCCGACCAGAGCCTCCAGCGGCCCGGCGCGCGTCATTCGCGGCTCTGGTTGCGAGGTCGAAGCGACGTCGTCTTCCCGGAGCCCGGAACCGCTTCCGCCTGCCGTCTGCCGTTGGAGGACACCCTGCAGGACGGCATCAATGGTCAATAGCTAGCACTTGGCAACTCCAAACCATGTCGAGCTTGTCGGGGGCATCACGAGACGATGGCGCAGAAGCGCAGAAGAATGGTATGCGCTTGTCTCAGACCCTGTTCAATTGATCCGATAAGATGGAATGGGACGCCATGGCTTACGGCGCCAGGGTTGCTCGGAGCTGTGTTCTCTCGGCGGCGTCACTGTGCGTCTCCCACTGCGTCTTTGTACGTCTCTCTGAATTGTCTACATTGCCTTTCATGATGAGTTGATCATCTAAATACTGCTCGCCGTATTCTCATCGCGACATGTTCCTCTGTTCCTCTGGTATCCCTCTTCCCGCGCCGCACATGTTTCCATTCCCCCCCTCGCGCCCACTACAGTACATGTCCCATCTATTGCGCGCCTGGCAGCGTGAAACGTGCGCTCCCCCGTTCCTCGCGTTCCACGAGTGACACCCACTCCACCCCAATGGGCTGTGGGTAGCTGTGGGTCGTGGGTCCATACGTACGTGCCCTACTGTAGACGTGCATCGGTCCGTGGACGACGGAGGCGAATATTGCATTGCTGGGCTTGGCAGCATTGCAAGCGCAGCGGTGAGGCGCACGCACGCCGGCGGCCATCACCAACGGCCATCACCAACGGCCATCGCGCGACACCACCCGGTCCGTGCATTTCGGCTCCACCCCGCCGGTCGCGAACACGGCGCGAACAGCGTCCGCAGCGCGGCTGATATGTTTGATGGCCGATGGCACACGCTATCGTAGCTCCCGCCCCGGATAGGCTTTGGTCGTTGACGACGACCTGTTCCTCGTCAGTCTGCGGATCGGCGGCGGTACAGTAGAAGGTACCCGGCGCCGGCGCGCGCCGGCGCCGGCCGGATTGGCAGTGGCATACCGGCTCGGACGACGATCACACGACGAGCGCCGAACGTTAAACGTTACGCTTTGTGGAGCGGAGGCGGGGCTCGTGGGGCCTTGATACCTTGATGCACCAGCATGGAATGGGAGAGCCGAGTGCCATGCTTGCCAAGTCGTTCGCATGATCGCACCCTTGCTCGAGCCCAACGTCTTGGCAGCTGGAACCGACCATCTGTGGCTGACGTACGCTCTTTGACCTTTGCAGACGAACCGAAGCGAACCGAACTGGACTAGAACAGGACAGGACAGGCTGACAGCAGAGTTCTACAGGTAGTCAAACAGGAAAGCAGCAGGAACCTTCATCAGGAAACTGCTGCATGGGCGCGATACTGACATAAGACTCTTGCTATGCAAGTCCCTGGCGCCTCCATCAAGCTCGTCATCCGTACATGTATTACCATCCCTACACTCGCCATCCCCACCACCTGCAATAGTAGTGACTTCATAAACAAATGTATTGATATCTTCGCTCGGGTAAACACCAGTGGGCTCTCGCCCCCACTCTATGCAAACAATGCAAATGACTCCAACATCTCCGTCTGTCACGCTCGCGCTGATACATGGGCGCGTCGCGCGGAATCCCCTTCGTCTCATGCCGCTCACAAGTCGGCGTCGTCATCAAGCTGCGAGGGCTTGAGCATACCCGGAACGCGAAGCGCGTTCTCACGCTCGGCCGCAGCCTTGCGCTCCGCCTCAGCCTCCTTCTCGTCAAGGTAGAGGTCGGCGCTGTCCGCACTGTCGCCGCTGAACTCCTTGAGCGAGATCAGGAAGTCGCGCAATGTGAGCTTGAACTTGGCTGGGTCCGCCGCGTTCGCAAACATCTGGTTGACGAACTGAGTGATCTGCGCGGGCTGCATGTGACCGAAAGCGTTCGTGAGCAGGTTCGCCACATATCCCTTCAGGAACACGACGTTGGTCATGCCTGGCTCGTGCTCAGCGGGGTTGAACAACGGAGCCTGGACGCCGTCGTTCTCGACCAACGAGATGAGACGCGCGAGCAGGATGGTTTGCATCTTGAAGCCTAATGGTTAGTGCGTTCTGGGGCAAAGGAGAGGCATTGCGACTCACCACTCTTGTGGTCGGCGTCAGTGAGGACGTAGAACACGTCACCCAGCAGCGACAGCAAGTACTGCTGGTAGAACTGGCCGGAGATTTCCGGTGATGACGAAGCAAAGTTGTTGACAATCTCGAACGCAACTTATGTCAGCCAATATCCCACAAGTTAAACTCACTGCTCAGGCCAGTGTCGGCAATGTCGCGCATCGTGTGCTTGAACGCCCAAACCACCGAGTCCATGACGAGCTTGAACTGTTGTGGTGGCAGCTCGAGCAATGCAGGGAAGCATGTGAGGTTGATTGCACGCAAGAGCTTGAAGAAGCCGACCCGGTGCTCGGGGTACTCAGCAAAGTCCTTGTTGATCATGTCAAGTGTGGGCTCGAACACGGCGTCAAGGATGGGAGCAATCTGCGGGATGAGGAGATTGCTCAGCTTGGACACGATCGTAGCCATGACGTTCAGGACCTCGGCATCACGCGCGGCGGGCACGTTTCGGTTGTAGTCACCAAGGATGGCGTCAAGGAGACCAGGGATGAGGTTCTGGTTAACACCATCAAGGTCCTCCGCCTTGCGAACATAGGTCTCGACCAGCTTCAGGATCTCCTTCTTGATCGTGCGAAGGGAGCGAACCTTGGGCGTCTTCGTGGCGACCAGACCCATAGACGCCACCTGTTCCGAGATGATGCCGGACACGGCCTTGTAGAGGCCGAGCATGTCGAGCCATATGCGCCCAAGCTGGGGAAGGAAGAACGACCCAATGGACGTACACGCCGAGACATTGGTCTTGAGAATGTTGGACATGATCTTAACATTCTCGGGGTTGCCGAGAACGTCGACGCTGCTCGCTGCCTGCTGCATGAGGTTGTCCCATGCATTGTTGGGGAGCTCCATGAGCTTCTCGATCAGGCGCTCCTGGGTCGGCTTGTTAGGCTGCGCAGAGATCATGTAGCCGACTGCCTCGTAGAAGGTGTGGACCTGCTGGGGCTGCAAATCGACGGTGATCCTGTGCAGGGTGCGCAGAATCTCATCGATGAACGGCTCGTGCTCGCCTGCCTGCTGCATGACAAAGTGGCGACGGCACTTCTGAGCAATTTTGATAAAGGTGTCGCACGCCATGTCTTGCACACCCTCATGAGTCTCGTGCATGAATTCGAAGAGCTTGTTGACGACCGTCTTGAGGAACTTCCAGTGCGCCTTGAGGAAGCGAGGGTACTGGCCGACAATGTACATGATGTCAGAAGCACAGACGGCCTTGTTGTCCTTGCCACGCTTCATTTCCGTCAGTCCAAGCAGGTCCTTGATGACTGTGACCAGGAAGCGCTTTTCCGTCTCCTCGTTCATCGCGCCTGAAATCGAACCAATGGCCCAGCAGAGCGTGTTGAGGTTGTTCCACGACCATTCGGACCCATCTATCTGCTTAGCAAGCTTATCCGTCATGATTTGCTCCGTGTCCTGAACGTCGAGGTGAGTGAGGTAGACTAGCACCTCGCGCATGCTCTTGTACAGCACGATCGTGTCGCTCTCCTTCATGAACTCGCGGACAATCTCTCCCTCCTCGTTCTCGACAATGAGGACCTAAAGCAGTCAGTGCCTGTAACAATAAGGAATAAACTCACCTCCTCGGGTTTGACCATCTTCTCGATCGTAACCAGGCGAAGGTTGGAGAGGATTTCAGAGTAGGTGTTCTTCCGCAGCGGCGCTCCGTTAAGCCCGACCGACTGAGGACCGTTGACACCGCCCATGCCGCCGAGGTTGAGGTTCATCAAAGGGTTGATGTCGCCCATGGGCAGCGACTGGATCTCCTCGTAAAGCTCGGCGACGAGCTTGCCCCAATACTCGAGGCAGATTTTGAAGACCTCACGGTCGTCGACGGTGGAGATCTTTATAAGGTACAGGTGGGCGTTGATGAGGAGCTCGTTAGACTCGGGCGTCTCGATCAGACGCAAATGTGACTGAAGGAAGTTGGTCAAGAAAAGTGCAAGGTTCTTGATAAGCTGCTGGTCCTCGTCGTCGGACGACGCATAGGCAGCGGCGAGGTCGGTGCTTGGCGGGACCATACGGTTGACGCTTGTCATGACCATCTGGAAGAGAATGACGAATTTCGAGTTGTACTCCGGCCCAACGTTCAGGCCTCCAATCTCGCTCAAACACTTGAGTGTGACGTTACGGAACTCTGGCACCTCGAGGAACTGATCAAGTCAGCATGTTGCAACAACGGATTGTACTCACCCTGGTGACGAGGAAGTCAATGATCTGAGTCTCAAAGATGTAACCGAGCGGGATCCAGTTGAGGAATCGCAACAAGGTCTCGAGTGTGGCTTTGATGAGACTTGGCTTGTTGGCCTTCTCGAGTACTTCATTACAAAGGGTGAAGATGTCCGAGAACTCGCCGCACATGGTCTGCTTCAGAGCCTTGGTCTTAGCCTGGGTCATCTGTTCGGCGGAGAAGTCAAAGATCTCCTCAGACAAGAGCTTGAGGATGACCATGTTGTTCTCACACAGCGACAGGTTGTTGCGCGATGATGCAGTGATCTCGGGAATGAATGAAGGCCAATCCTTGGGCCATGCCTGCTTAAGGATCTTGGAGTCAGCGTGTTTCCCAAATGCACGCGTACCTGTACGAGGACGAGGTTGAGCTTGTTGAGGTAGCTCTTCTCCCGGCGCATCCGCGTCTCGTCACTCGAAACGTCCACGGTAACCTGGACGATAAAGTTGCGGATGCCGCCCTGCTGGTCGGCAGGAAGAGTCTTCCATCTGGTCTGAACAAGCTTCTCGAGGATCTGCAAGGCGATGAACTAAGTGTGAGCGCGGGCGCCATCCCAGTGCTCACCTTGGTGTTTATGTTACCTGAGGACTCAAGGATCGCCGGGACCCGCTGCCACGAGTCGGGGTTCTCTTGGAACTGGGTGAGGACCTGCTGGGCCTGCTGTTGCTGGACAAGTCAGCCATATTAGTCATGAGGGAAGCAGAAGGCGTTGAGACGTACCTGTGCTCCAGCGCCGGTGTAGAATGTTGTTACGACCTGGTCGAGCAGGCTGTGAGAGTCAGTGCTTGTGCGCATTAACATGGGGTTCGCTGCACGTACCCGACGTCGAGTTCCTTGGAAGGGTCGAGTATGGCCTATACACATGTTAGCGTCCGCATCTCGATAGGAAGCGCAGCGGGGCGCTGGCATGGAAGCTTACCTCCATCGTGCCGGGAGATGGTAAGGTAGATGTTGATGCTACAGTTGAGATGAGAAGGCTTAGATGGGCTGTGGGAACACGGGGTGATTCAATGACAGGTGGCGCATGTCAGGGCAGTAGCGAAACGGTTTCAGCTCGAGCTCAACGCAGCTTGCACAAGACTTACGAGGGGAGAAGAGAGCGAGATGTCAAGGACCTGTACGAGGTTGGTCGCGTCCTCTGAGTGATGGATGGATGGGGTTTGGAAAGAGAAGAGGAGAAGGGAGGTGGAAGATGGAAGAGGTGTTGACGAGATGCGAGACGAGTGAGGTGTGGTGTTGGTTGTGGGGTGGCTTCTCGATGACACTCTGGCTGCTAGGCGTGCGGCGCGTGCGGTGAATGCGGGGGGTGCCTTCTGGCGACCACCGTCAGCTACGGTGGTGCAGTGGGCGGGATTACGGCGTTAACGGATGCTTTCCCACGCGGCGGACACGCTCCTTTGTTATTACCTCTCAACCTCCACTTGCCACCCACCGGCTCTATCAACCTCCACTTCGGCTCGATCCTTCCAGCATCCCCCCCTTCCTTTCCGGCATCCCCCTTCCTACTACTCTCCATTTGACCATGGCCTCTTCAGCAGGGCCATCGACGCGCTCCGTGTCGCCTGTAGTCGACGATGACCTTCCAAAAGACTACAAGCCCTACGTGCCCGTAGCCAAGCGGCGTGCCCAGATGCTCTCAAAGCTTGGGCCAGGGCGGCACGTTTCGAAGAAGATTAAGACGACTGAGGATCTCGAGGAAGAGAAGGACGCGCTGCGTGCACTTGATGAGGCGAATGAGCGAGAACGCGAGAAGGCGCGGCAGCAACGCACCCTCCTCCAGGAGGCTCAAGAGCTAAAGCGACGAAAGGAACTGGAAGGTGAATCGGCGAGCTTGGTGTAGTCTGGAAGTTGCTGACCACAGACGCCAGCAAGTCGGAGGCGCAGAAGATGGCAGAGGAGGAGGCCGCCTTACTCGCACAAGTACAGCGGGGACAGAAAAAGCTCGCAAGCGTTCAGGAGATCGCTCATGGAAGGACGTATACTCAGAGCATGAAGTCGAATTGGCGGCCACCACGGTACATTCGTGACCTCGGCCCAGAAGGGCAGCAAGCAGTGCGAGACAAGCACGCGATTATTATCGAAGGGGAAGATCCACCACCAGCTATTGAACACTTTGCCGTAGGTGTCACATCCGAGGCACTTCGCTAACCACAGGATATGAAGATTCCTCCACCCCTTCTCGAGTATCTGTCCGACAAGGGTATTGCGCGTCCAACGCCCATTCAAATGCAGGGTTTGCCCACGGCGTAAGTGATGAGCTGCTGGCACACACGACCGAGCTGACACCAGGTTCGCCGGCCGCGACATGATTGGCATTGCTTTTACAGGCTCTGGCAAGACCCTTACTTTCACGCTCCCCGCCATCCTAAAGTCGCTTGAGATGGAAATGAAGCTGCCCCTTGTCAAGGGTGAAGGACCGGTCGGCCTTATTCTCTGTCCGTCTCGCGAGCTTGCGCGGCAAACGTACGAGGGTTGCGTGGCCATGTGCACCAAGCTCGCCGAAGGTGGCAAGTATCCGGAGTTGCGAAGTCTCTTGTGCATCGGCGGCATCAGTATGGCAGACCAGGCCGAGGTCCTCCAGCAAGGGGTACACGTGGTTGTGGCGACGCCCGGGCGTCTTATCGATATGCTCGAACGGGGGCGCCTCAACGCTGACAATTGCAAGTACATGTGCATGGACGAGGCGGACCGCATGATCGACATGGGCTTCGAGGAAGCTGTCCGCAGCATCATGGACCATTTCAAGTACCAGCGCCAGACACTGCTGTTCAGCGCGACAATGCCACGCAAGATTCAGGACTTCGCGCAGGCGTCACTCGTAAACCCACTTCTCGTCAACGTTGGCCGTGCGGGTGCGGCTAACATGGACGTCATCCAGGAGGTTGAGCACGTCAAGCCTGAGGCCAAGATGGTTTACTTGCTGGAGGTGCTGCAAAAGACGCCCCCGCCCGTCATCATATTTAGCGACAATAAAAACGAGGTCGACGACATTCAGGAGTACCTCCTCCTGAAAGGCGTCGAGGCGGTTGCTATCCACGGGTCGAAGAGTAAGCCTGAGTGATAGCGGCTGAGCTGACATTAAGCACAGGACGAGCGTGAATACGCTATCAAGTCCTTCAAGTCAGGCGCCAAGGACGTCATGGTAGCGTCGGGCGTCGCGTCAAAGGGACTCGACTTCAATGAGATCCAGCATGTCATCGTGTACACCATGCCCAAGGAGATTGAGGACTACGTGCACGAAATCGGGCGGACGGGGCGATCGGGAAAGACGGGTGTGGCGACGACGTTTGTCAACAATAGCACGAGTGAACAAACGCTCCTCGATCTCAAGTATCTGCTCATGGAAGCAAAGCAAAAGTGAGCTTTACCTTGTGCGCAGCAACTGATCTCAGAATCCCGCAGTTCCTCCTTGATATTGACGACCCCCGCGCGGCGGCCGGCGGTGTTCTTAAGGGTTGCCCGATCTGCGGCGGCCTGGGCCACGGTCTTTCAGACTGCCCGAAGCTGGCCGACGAAATGCGCCGCAAGGCTGCCGCCAGTGCAGCCTACGGTGATGGCTACTAGTGTCACATTACTGTTGTATGCATGGCAACGTGAGCGTTGTGCATGCAGGATCGGACCGAGCGCCCTTGCTCGGCATGATCCTCCGCGTTCCTGCGGATGTCTTCCGTTCAAGCTATGTGGTTGACTTGAGCGCTCGAGACGGTCAATGGCAGCTGACGGCTGAGCATGGGCGGATGAGTTCACGTGACTCGGCATCTTGCGGCTAACGATAAGCCGGTCGCCGGCTACTCTGTCCAATGATACAACTCGACGACACCCGAGGAGCAAGACAATGGGGCTGAAAGACACCGCAACGGCGGGGGCATGATGAGCACGAGCGGCATCTATGCAAGCGTGGGGCGTGATATAAGAATGACAAGAGAGCTGTCTCCATCGACGTCGTCAGACGTTGACCACACAGGCCGCCTCGGCTCCACAATCCGCACGCTTTCTCACGCACCCAGCATCTTGAACCGTGATCAACCTCACCTCCTCCCCGACTCTACTCGTCCCTCCTATTGCCCACCCCACTCCGACTCTCGTCATGACAAACGACACGATGCGTGCGGCGCGCTACTACGGACGTGGTGACATCCGGATTGACACGATTCCCCGCCCGGTGCTGCAGCCCGGCAGCGTCGCCATCGACGTGGCCTACTGCGGCATCTGCGGCTCCGACCTGCACGAGTATGTTGAGGGGCCAATCTTCGTGCCCACCTGCGGCCGCCCCCATCCTGTCAGCAAAGAGGCGGCCCCGGTGACGCTGGGCCACGAGATGTCCGGCGTGGTCGCTGAAGTGGGGGAGGGCGTCGACCACGTCAAGGTTGGCGACAGCGTTGTCGTCGAGCCGTACATCATCGATCCGAAGGTCGACACGGGCCCGGACAACGACGCATACCACATTTCCAAGGGGATGGGGTTCATCGGGCTGTGCGGGCGCGGCGGCGGGCTGTCTGAGCGCATCGTCGTCGAGAAGCGCTGGGTGCACCCCGTAGGCAATGTTCCGCTCGATGAGGCCGCGCTCATCGAGCCCCTCAGCGTGGGATACCACGCGTTCCAGCGCAGCGGGGGGAAGAAGGGCGACTTCGCCCTCGTCACGGGTGCCGGGCCTATCGGCCTCCTCACCGCGTCCGTCCTCAAGGCTGAGGGACTGACCGTCGCCATCTCCGAGCCGTCCAGCCTGCGCCGGCAGAAGGCGCAGGAGACGGGCGTCGCAGACCACATCTTCGACCCGCGCTCAGCGAACATCGTCGAGGAGATCTTGAAGCTGCGGCCTGGCGGCGCGGACATTGCGTTTGAGTGCACGTCCGTGCAGCCAGCGTTCGACACGCTCATTGATGCGGTGCGCCCGCGCGGCGTCGTCGTTGTCGTCAGCATCTGGGGACACAAGGCGGAGATGGACATGCAGAAGCTCGTGCTGAAGGAGATCGACGTGCGCGGCACCATTGCCTACGTCCACTCGCACCCCGAGACGATCAAGCTCGTACAGAGTGGCAAGATTAACCTCAAGCCGTTCATCACGAGCGTCATCGGTCTCGACCAGCTCGTGAGCGACGGCTTCGAGACACTCATCCACCGCAACGAGACGGCGGTCAAGATCCTCGTCGACCCGAAGAAGTAATGCCGAAGTAACCAGGTTGTAGTTGTATGCAGGAATTGCTGTTATAGGTGGTGGTGGTGGTGGTGGTGTGGCGGCTGCTCTCGGCCGTGTTTTCGGTCTCGCTCGCAACTGGGTTGAGTGGCACCACGTGGCACAGGGTGCGCCACATCACACTCGCGCCACGGTCGCTGTGTTGGGTGGCTCCAACTCCGAGGTTGCGCGGACCGCGCGCGGCGGGCACGCTAGAGCCGCAAGCGGGAGGGCCCAGAAAGCTTTGCCCCATGTGAACGTGCCATCGGTCCCCTGCAGTCCTGCAGAGCGGAGTTGGACACACCCATGTCCACCAAGCACGTGAGCCCACATTCCAATGCGGCCAGCCACTTGCTCCTATCATACGATTCCGCGGGAAAAAATGCCTCTCAGAGAACTGTGACGTTCTGAATGCGGCGAAGACGGCGGTGTGTGCCAGCGAGAGGACGAAGCGGTGGCGGGCTTCGGCACGCGCCACTAGCTCAGCTGGCTCAACGCGACTGGCTTTAGAGGCGCGCTGCTGCAGACGCGACTCGCGTCTTCGCAGACGCTAGGCGCGTCTCTGTATAGAAGTCACGGTAAATGAGGCGCAATAAATTACGAGAGCGAGGTCATGGCTCCCGGTGGAACGCGGAAGGTGACCTGCTCGGGGCGGCAGAGAGGCAAGGAGGCGACGAGTGCCTTTTCCCATGGTGCAATGGTGCAGGCCGACGGCGAACCTGGCCAGTACCGCATGCCGCCATTCTGCCGTTCGGGTTGGCGCAGTTATACGACCTACGGCGCGGCGGCGCGGCGACACGGCAGGAGCCACGGAGCGTTGGAGCCAGGGGTGCCACTGTTCAGCAGCGGCCCGTGTCACGGCCTCGAAATGGCAGCCTATGCAGCGGCTGCTGCCCACGGCTCAGAGTGCGCGATAATTGTCGCTCCGCGAGGCCTCTGCTTCGTCAGCGCAGATGCCAGTATTCCCCACGCTTTCGACGCCAGGTCTCCCACGGCCTCACATTCCTCCAGCCCTGCATTGACGTCGTCCGACGCGCTGCATGACGCGTTATCCGCTAGCGGTACTAACGGCGTTTCGGACAGCCGTGCCAATCGCAGTAGCCTGGTTCGGACTGAGCATCGCTCCGAGCCCCGTGTCGGCGGCAGCCTCGGCTGAGGAGCTCGGCGCCGTCAGCCTCATGCGGGCGCCGGTGGCTTGTGCACCATGCAGCGCCGACGTGCAGCACATCACATTCCGCTCGGCGCGGCCAGGGCGGCACGTGGGCCAGCTGACGGAGGCACGCAAGTTTGTTGTACGTCCAGCGGCACGACGCGCGAGGCCTGCGCGGAGTGGGGGAGGAACCGCCCTGCCGTAACAGTTAGGCTCATTCCTCGGAGGCTCCAACTCGGTCCGAGACAAGCCTAGGCTCGGTACTGCGGTACTGCGGATGCGCCTCGGATGTTATGCGTGCTGCCAAGCGCTTCGAAAGTGGGGGGAGGGAGCACATGTTGAGATCTGGGACGCTGGCGACGCGGACGTCATCGCAGTGCAGCAAAAAAGATGGAATGTGACCCGTGAGGCCTTGCTCCACGCAAAACGGGGGCATCGGGCGCGGGGGCGGCGGCGCAGGCGACGCGAGTGCATCGCCCTCTGTATAAGCGTATTGCCGCTGGACGGGCGGCGAGCCACCGGCATAATAAGATCGTTTTGCTGTTGCTCATGCGACCTCGCGCTTTGTGCATCTAGCACACGCACATCAGAAAGAGTAGAGTACAGCACGCACAGCACGCTTCGTCCCGTCTGGAAGCTGAATTGACCGCTGGAGAGTGAGAGAGAGCGAGAAAGTGACTCCCACACCGAGCGGTGCAGCCCCATTCCATAAAGCACGGGCCGCCCCACCCTCCCTCCGCCATCGACCACTCGCCCCTCTCATCCCTCCATTGTCCATCTGCGTCAAGCACTCCTCTCTCCACGCCGCCCACCACGCCGTCGCCCATCATATCACCCTCCGACCGGCCCGTCCGCCAGGGCTTGTCCGCAGCATTCGCGCTTCTCGACCTCTCCTCCCAGTTCAAGGAGACCGACCAGCCTGACCAAGTCGACCACTCGGGCAACGCACGCCCGCGCCGCCCCGGCCTCCCCCCCGGCGGCTCGTCTTACCGCTCCTCCACCCAGGGGACGCGCCGCCAGAACCAGCCCACTGGCAGCCAGCGCGGCATGGCGGACGTGTCGAGCGCCGCAGCGCTCACCGCCCATTTCCGCGCCTATGTCCGCCAGCTGAACCAGCGGCTGCCGAGCACTCTGCGCCTTTACCTCGCTCCGCGCGTCACCTATAATGGACGGCGCATGAGCGCAGAATCGTTTGCCGCACTCGCTAGCCCGCCGGGCGCAACGGTGGCGAGCGAAATGGTCGTTGCGGACGTCAGCAAACGCCTCCTCGCGGCCCGGATGGAAGTTGAGCTCAATCATCCCACTCCAAGCACTCCCGTGGTCAACAGCGCAGATGCGTCACCGCTCGAGAGTCCACAGAGTGACGAGGTACGGCGTGGGAGCAGCACATCTGTGGAGCACATTCGCGAACACGTTTTCTATCATTTCGACGAGCAGTGGCGCATCGACGAGGTGTGGAGCGTCGCTGAGCCCCGTCCCCCAAGCCCCAAAGGCCGTGCCGACAAGGGTCGCGAGAGGCAGGAGCGCAGGCGTCTGAGCATTCCATCGTCAGGTCTGGAGGAGTACCGCTTCTGAGAGAGGACGTTTTGTATTTACGCTCAACTAGAGTAGCAGTTGCCTTTCGGTGCTCTTCCAACCTGTATCTAGACTCAGCATAGTAGATAACGCGACGTCGAGCGTGTACTGATACTTGCGGATCCGTGTCAACTGCTCGCGTGAGTGCCGGGTGTAATGTTGCGCCACAAATGGAAAACACCGCGCTGCCTCTCGCTCGTCGCTATGGAGGTAGGATTGACCCATCACTGTCTGGAATATGACGACAAAAACTGTATAGGTACATGATACAACTCATCGGAAGTTCAGCTTGATGAGGAACATGAGAATGTTCATGGAGACGTGGACCGATGCCCAACCTGATGTCAGTGACAATCGAAGCCAGTAGGCTCACCGCATGCCGGCACCAGCTCGGGGTACTCGCGCATCTCATCGAGACCAATACCGCTGACATCGATATTGAAGCCGCGTGACATAATTTGTCGTGCGACAAACGAGCTTATGAGCTCGAGAGACTACGGTTAGCCGAGATCAAAGGGAACCCGACACGCACCCAAACGCCACACGACGCAATAAATGTAAGCGCGAACGTATACGGGTCATCCTCAGTCTGCGCAAACTTGAAAAACGGGTAGATCTGGGAGTTTGGGCCTAGATGAAGAATGCTAAGCCAGCCTGACGTCAGCTAGTGAAAACTGATCAAAGGTCTCGTCGCACTCACCAAGGAAGCCAACCATGGTGATGTTCTGCGCCAGGCCGCGGGTATAAAACGAGATGGCCACCGCCTCAGCGTGCTCGTTCCAGGGCTGGCTGTACCCTACAAAAAATTGTAGGATGCGGTGCCACAGCCGCGTAAGCTGAAATGGAAAGATGATGACAACGACGATTGAGGAGAGGAGCTGGACTGTCGCGAATTGTGACGGCGAGCGCAGCCGAGCAAACTGCCGTCAGCTTCTGCATTGTCGGCGGTTGCAACTGTGCGATGAAATTTACAAGATTACGATAGAACACATGGTATACCAGTTGGAAAAAGAGCTTGTACACAAAAAGGAGGGCCCGTGAGCGCACTTTTGAGGCGATGATGTAGTTGGATATTAAGGAGAGCAGCTGGACGGCTGTTGCAAGTCAGCGTAGCCCAAAGGGACTGAGCTGAGACATACTGATCACCCATGACCACACCCAGGTGCCGGCGTCTAATGAAGTGTGAGGGAGCGTGGAGAGGAACAGGCTTGCGTACGCTGTGGTGATGAGCTCTGGTTGAAGCCACGGCTGTCTCACCTTGCCCAACGATGAGAGAGAAGGCAGCGATGGCTAAACATGCCATGAACCACAGGAATCGAACCCATGAGCTGGGCACGCGGCGCAGCGAGGACCCAAAGAAGCTCCGATCAGCCAAGTTCACATCTGGACGAACGTGTACTGCACCACGGGTTGCGCGTGGCGGTAGACATGCCTCTTGTCCCGCTTAAGCTTGGAGAAGCACGCCACGGCCGGAAGGTGCATCGCTGCAAAGCTGAGCACGACCCAGAACGCTGTCGTCAGCCAAGAGGCAACACCGTCAGGCTCACTCTTGCGCTCCCAGTCGAACCCCTCGTCGGGCTTGTCTCGCCACCGAGCGTGCAGCCCGAACAGGTCAAGGTGATGCGCGAGGAGGCCGATGGCGAGCGTCGTCGACCACATCAGAAAGTACGTCGCCTTCCCTCCCAGCCGCGACGGCCACCAGTCTGGGATCAGCAGGTTACAGCAACGAAGCAGCCCACTCAAACGGTACAAGCTGAACAGATTGGTGATGAAGAAGAGCGCGACAGCAAGGTATGCCCTTAAATAAGCAGCGTCGTACAGCGTACGCACCCGAAGTACCTGTCCGTTAGCGAAAACTCGTTGGCCACCATGTGACGCACCAGATGAGGAAGAAGTAGAAGTTGACATCGATTGGCAGGTCCTCCTCGTCACCACCCTCTGTCCCATTGCTCTTGATTCTATGCGGCCACTCAGGCCACTCAGGCCAGTCGGGCAGCGGCGAGTCCTTGTACGGGTCACTGACGGGGAACGGCATCGCAACCCACAACCACACCGCGAGACAGGGCAGAAGCGTGAGGACGAGGTGTCGCTTCCAAAAAGATGCAAGCCACGTCTCAACTGTCGCGCGTGATGGCTGCTGTCAGCGAGATCTACTAGGAGCGACATGGGCCACACTCACCCGAAAGAACCAGTTCGTCCACCGCTCGTCGGCGAGTTGCACCTCGCTGACCCTCCGTGCTTGTCGTCGGGCTCGCGCACTTGGGAGTGTCGAGGTTGGAGACAGCGGCCGACCCGCGCGCGAGCGCGGGGATAATGGGGCAGGCCGTCGAGTCGCCGGGCGCAGCGGCGAGACCGTTCTGTCGCGGTCTATTTGGGTTTAAGTGTAGCGAGGAAGGAGGGCAAGGGCGGGAAATAGGGCGCGCAATGACGAGGCGAGGGCGTTACAGTCACGGTTGCACGCAAGGGCAGCAGTACCATAGGTGTAGAAGCGACAGCATATCGGAGTGTGCAGGAGGTAGGAGTGAATCGACAGAATGCAGTTGAGGATGTTGCGAACGGACGCCGGAACGGAGAGGCGCGGGAGGTACGGGCGATGACGAAAGATCAGTCGCGTCACAGAGCGCGTCAGCAACATTTGTTGACGACGGTGAAAGACGTACCCCACAGCCTGTCCTGCGCACGCTCTGATCCGGTGGAGAGAGGCGTGAACATGGCGCCGGCACGTTTGATTTGATAGATGTTGAAGAGAACGAACGAGAGTGAGTAAGAGAAAGAACGAGGTATCAAGACGACGAGGCCGTATGGATGGACGATCGTTTCGGGTGGCCAACTAGGGTCGAAACGCGTCGATCGTTATTTGGTTCCGTCCAACGTGTGCTCGCCGTCTCGGTGGATCGGTGGCCGGTGGGAGGCAAACCACTGCTGAACCTCTGTTGAACCTCTCCCTCAGACAGATTACATGACCCACTCAATCTTGATACTGCAGCAGCACGCGGGCCCACAGTGGAAATGCTCAGAGACCCCGAGAAGTGCGCTTGAGGTCATGGCAATTCGCAGCATACCCCTCGGCCTCAGCTCTGACGTGCGAACCTCCGACAGCGACATGCATGAGCTTGGAGCCTGAAGCGAATTGGCGCAACTCGAAACGCAGGCGTTCAGGTATATATGCTCTCAGTCCTGATCACACACGAGGCGGTGCCACACTGCCACACGCTGCTATCCCTTCTCGTGCGCGTCCGCTCCGGGGTACGGCTTATACCACTTCTCCGCGGATCGCAGCCATATCTCGCGATTAGGCCGAGGTATGGTGCCCGCTGGGAAGAGGCCTTCCGTGAGCTACGGGACTGTTGATGTGACTCACCCGCATGCACCGACACGTCCTTGAATCCGCTCGAGGTCTGGTACACCTTTCCACCGCACACCGGGCACCAATACCACTTGAGCTCGTTGCCGGCGTCGCTCGTCCCAGCGTACTCCGCCACTTCCCCTGTAACTAGCAGATCGGAGGGCGCGACGGAGAAAAACGTGCCCGTCCCGCACTGCCGGCGGCAGTGGGTGCAGTGGCACAGCTCGAGCCCCGGCTGCGATGGTATGCGGACTGTGACGCCGCCGCAGAGGCAGCTGCCTTGCATGTTGTGGGATGGGAAAGAGTGCAATTGTGAGTTGCGTCATCATCTTGAGTGATATTTCCATTCCTCGCCTCTTCATGTCAGCAACACACCGGACTGTGCACGAGCCGCTGATGGCTCATGCTTCACCCATGTCCAACCTCGACAGGAAAACATGTATCTGCGCATGGCAAGCGCTAAAGTGAGAGTGGAGATAGAGGCGCTGAAGCAGGAAGACGCAGGCCAATGCGTTGTGAGCATCAACTTCAAGCATCCGCCTCATCAGTATGACTCCCCATCGTTTCTAATGCCAGCATGGCATGCATTGTGCAGTATGCAAAAGAACTATCGAGCGCCTTACGGCCGCGCGCTCACGCTGAACAGCAGCTGCTTCTGCTTTCCCTTCTTCTTGCTCTGCGGCTTGGGTGCCTCGTCCTCAATGTTGAGGTTAGCCACGGCGTCAGCGGCATCGCTAGAGCCCCCCGCCCAGGCGCTGGCGTTGGGCGGCGTGGGGGCGGTGCCTCGGATGCGCGCGATCGACTCCTGGCGCGCCGTCGGCTTGCTGAACAGCGCAGCGCGCTCCTCCGCCCGCGACTTGCTGCTCGAGGGCAGCGAGGGGAACGACGCCTTGTTGATCGTGGGCTTCTTGGCGGCCACGGGGAAGTTGACAGAGCGGATCTGCGGGCCGGCGAGGGCCGAAGGCGTCTTGGAAGACGAGCCGGCTCCGCCACCCGCCCAAGGGGTGGAGTGAGTCGCTGAGCGAGAGGAGCTGCCCTCGCCCAGGGAGGGGAAATTGGATGTCGCCAGTCTCTGGGACGTGGCCCCAGGAACGTGGCGACCATTCACTCCAGTGGTGGCGCGAGGCTGTGCTGCGGCAGCCTCGACACGCGCCCACACGGCGTTCGAGTTTGAACTGCCACGGCCGGTGTGCGTCGCGCGCTTAGCCGACAGAATGCGACCGGACGAGACGCCCGCCCAGTTGGTCCCTACACCAGTGGGAGCGCCGCCTAGCGCCGGGAACTGCTCCTCTTGCTGGATGCGGAAAGTGTTGACCGCGGCGAGGATGGCCTGTTGCTTCTCCCGCTCCCCTTCAGAGTCGAAGAGGTTCGCGATTTCACGGCCCACACCGGCTGTCGCCTCGCGATCCTGATCCAGGACATAGAAGAATGTGTCAATCATGTCCTTGGCGCTTGACTCGTTGTTCTTGAACTGCCGGACTGCGGATCGGAATGAGGCCAGCTTGGTGGGAGAGTCGCCCACCAGCATGGACACGCGCGAAAGAAGCGCCGCGTGACGAGCAGCCGTGGCGTCGTCGACGTCTTCCCGCGGGGTAGCGAACCCACTGGCGCTCTCCAAAGGCGACTGCCTGCCCGAGGCCCTGCCCGAGGCTGGACCAGAGGCAGGAGCCGATGCCGCTGCAGACCCAATGCCGTCCGTCAGGCCAGTGACGAATGCTCGACGGCGGCGGCCCTCCTCCTGTCGGTCCGTCTGAATCTGGCGCCGCTGCTGAGCGGCCTGCGCGTCGTTCATGAGAGGAGCCGCAAGCTGTTGCGCCTGCGGTGCATCGCGTGTGCCCAGAGAGAATCCGCGACCTCCCGCGCGAGATGGCCCAGCCTCCGGGCGGGCTGAGAAATCGAGATGCACTTGACGTGCCTGAGCGCGGTCGCGCTGCGACATTTGCTCTCCATGCTGCAATCAGCTTCAATTCGCATCACTACCCTTCTCACCTCCTCCATCATGTGTGCGCGCAGGTCTAGCTCGCTGCCGAAGACCTGGAATTTCTTGTCAATGCAAATGGGGTTGGGGCAAGGGAAATGGTCGCGACTGCAGTTAGCTATTAGGCGCCCCTGAAGACTCACTTGAAGTGATTCTCCAGCTTGGCGTAGTTCTGGAAACTGGTTCGTCAGAAGTGCTCGCAGAATGACCGGTCGCTCCTACGCACTAGACGTCACGATTGCCCATTCCCTTGCACACGAAGCACTCCTCGTGCCGCTCACGCATGTGTTTGAACAGCTCGTCGGGACCAAAGAACGCCTCGTGGCAGAACTGCGGTCAGGCTGATCCTCTCTCAAGTACCTACCTCGCACATGGGGTGCGGCGTGTCCCAGGATTTCACCAGCTCCCTTTCCTTGTCCGACCTGGGACGCGGTGGCTTCTGACCGCGATGCAAGCGCGACGGGTCGTGCAAGGCAAGCAGGTGAGGAGGATACAACACCTGCTCGTGCGAGAATCGTGATAGTTGTCTAGTGCACAGTTTGCAGAACACTAGGCCGTGCTCAGCTAATGTGTGCTTCTCGAGCGCCTGCCATCCGTTTGACATGTGCGCGCAGTCGGGGTACGGGCAGTTGAAGCGGAGAAGTAGCAGCGATTGCTCCATCTGATATCAGTTCCGTCACAAGCGCTCATGACCTACCACTTCTTCGTCATCGAACACAACACCTAGTTTCTCGTCCTTGAACTCGAATTCCTTCAAGTCCAGCGTGCCCGGAAGAATGAGGCCCTGGTACCACTTCTTCCCCTTGTTCTCGGGCTTCTCAGACTCGGCTTGCGCGCGTTCAATTTTCTGCTCGCTGGACGGCTTGCGGAGAGGCCCGTCGGGGAAGGACTTCTGCTCACGCGCAAACAGGACGGAGGGGCACAATGTCTTGCAGTACGCACATTCTATCATCCTGTGGTTAGTGAGAAAACGTGATGCGACTCACTTGTAGAAGACGCGGAGACGGATGGCACATACGCTGCATGTCAGCCAATGTACCGCGCGATTCTCATGGCTCACTGGCAGACGTGGTGATTGCACGTGCCCACAGCCCAGTAGGTTACGGGCTCGGCGCAAATGAAGCAAATTGAGCTGTCGGCGTCCGGGGCAGCAGCTACCGTCTTGCCCACTTTAATAGGCTTGGGAGCGTGGATGTGATCGTCGTCACTGTGGTCGTGGTCCGGTTCATGTTTGTGGTTGTGACGCGACGCACTCGATGCGGGAGCCACCTGATTCTGGTTCTGGGTCGTCGTTGCCTTTCCGCCAGAAAGAGACGTCTCGAAAGCCTTGCGACGTGACATTGGTGAGGTTCGTGGGTGAGGGTGTTGCGATGACGATGGAGAGGTGGGGTATGATCGGGCGGCGCGGATGAAGCTGGTGAGTAGCTGAGTATCTGCTGAGGCTCCAGGTAGCTTGCAACTATTGTTCTGGGTATGGAGCGATGTCGAGGGACGCGAGAGGATGCTGAGAGCTGAGGCGGAGGTGGAGATGATGGTGAGTCGCTTTCAATGTTGGATGACCCATCATCTTGCAACTCGCCGATGGATGGAGTCGGATCCGAATCGCATTTATACGTGTCAAAAGATAAGGTGACGTTTGGAGAGTGATAACAGCCACGTGCTCTAGCACTCCAGGCACGACGCTCCCTGGAGTGTGCGCGGAGGGGGGCACAGACCACACCTTGACCCGTCATCATCACCTCTCCCTCCGTCCTCACCATCACTCTTTCTCTCGACGCTACTATCCCATCTCCAATCCCTACGGGGCATCTTCCCCACTTACTGGGAATTTTATCTGCTCCGAATTCAGCAGACATTCCCTCCCTTTACGATCCGAGCATTCAAATATCGGCAGACACCCCACATTTGCCTTCCTCGACGACATCTTGGCGATCGAGGTGAAGCAAGATGGCGACGGCTATGCGGGGGTTGACTCAGGTAAGTTTCTAGCACGCTCTTGGGGCATCGGCCAGTGGTCTGCTGCGCAGAGTCCCATGCCGAAACAGCGGCGCGCCCTCCACCACGCCCGTCTAACTCACAGTACATCTCGGACTTGCGGCAGTGCCGTGTCCGGGAGGCCGAAGAGAAGCGCGTCAACCGTGAGATGGCGCACATTCGACAAAAGTTCAAGGACGGTAACTTGGACGGGTATCAGAAGAAGAAGTATCTGTCTAAGGTCGTCTTCACGTATATTCTGGGGTACAAGGTTGACGTCGGCCATATGGAGGCCGTCAATCTCATCAGCAGCAACAAGTATTCAGAGAAGCAGATCGTGAGCTTACAGTACCGCAATCAGCAACTAACTTACAGGGCTACTTGGCTATCACGCTGTTGATGCACGAGAACTCCGATCTCGTGCGACTGGTGATCAACTCGATCCGAAAGGACCTTGAGGACCGGAACGAGATCAGCAACTGTCTGGCACTGCATGCCATTGCCAACCTCGGCGGCAAGGAGATGGCCGAGGCGCTCGCGGAGCCTGTATTCCGCTCGATGATTAGCCCGTGAGCCGTCAATTGGGTAGCGCAAGCTGACGTCCAGTACATCCACTACCTTCGTCAAGAAGAAGGCAGCCCTCACGCTGCTGCGGTTGTACCGCAAGCACCCCAGCGTGATGCCTGTTGAGGAGTGGGCCGAGCGCATTATCCCTCTCATTGGCGAACGCGACCAGGGTGTCGCAATGACCGTCGTCAGTGTCGTTACAGCGATGGCGCAGGACAACCTGGAGGTGTTCTCCGCATGCTACCAGCGTGCCGTGGACAGGCTAGACAAGGTTGGCAGATGAGTGCTGACGGTGGCTAACTACTAGATTGTGTTCGACTCGGAGACGCCAGCAACATACGTGTACTACAAGGTTCCCAACCCATGGCTTCAGATCAAGCTGCTTCGACTTCTTCAGTACTACCCTCCCCCAGGTTGGTCACTGTAATTGTCAAGCTGACGCCAGATAACCCAGAGGTGATCGAGATGGTCAACGGTGTGGTGCAAGCAATCATCGACATGTCGCAGGAAACTCCAAGAGTGCGTGATGTCAATGGCAACGTGCATCAAGCTGACTCAAAGAATGTCCAGCACAACAATGCTCAAAATTCGGTCCTTTTCGAGGCCATCAACCTTGCCATTCACCTCGACCCAGAATCCAAGGTAGTGTCCAACGCTTCCGTTCTGCTAGGCAAGTTTATTCTGGCCCGGGAAACCAACGTTCGTTATCTCGGTTTGGACGCGATGGCGCACTTGGCCGCGTGCTCGACCTCACTCGAGCCCGTCAAGAGACACCAAGACACGATTATCCTCAGTCTCAAAGACCGTGATATTTCCGTCCGGCGCCGCGCACTCGATCTCCTTTACTCCATGTGTGACACGTCCAACTCGAAGCGGATTGTGGGCGAGCTTCTGCGTTACCTCCAGGTTGCGGACTACAACCTGCGCGAGGAGATGGTGCTCAAGATCGCCATCTTAACCGAGCGGTTTGCAACAGAGGTAGGCTTCGCAGCATGCGGTCTGAAACTCACGCCAGTATGAGTGGTACATCGATACTATCCTGGAGCTTATCTCGACCGCTGGTGACCACGTTGGGGCCGAGGTTTGGTATCGTGTGGTTCAGCTCGTGACCAACAACGAAGACCTTCAGGCCTACGCGTCTGGGGCAGTCTACACCCATCTCCAAGCCCAGCAGTGCCATGAGAACATGGTGAAGGTCGGAGGCTACATCCTGGGCGAGTTTGGGCACCTGATTGCAAATGAGAACGGGTGCAGCCCGATAGAGCAGTTCCACGCTCTGCACTCCAAAATCAACATCTGCACCGCACCCACCCGAGCGCTACTTCTTACGACATATCTTAAGTGGGTCAATTTGTTCCCCGAAATTAAGGAGCATCTGATCAACATCTTCCGGCGATACACACACGTGCTGGACGCCGAACTGCAGCAGCGTGCTTGCGAATACTTGGCTTTGGCAACACGGGACGACGACGACGAGCTCTTGCAAGCCGTCTGCGATGAGATGCCCGTCTTCCCGGAGCGCGAGTCTGCGCTTATCTCACGGTTGCACAGCCGAGGGGACAAGGCGCAGGACAAGCGCACATGGGTAATTGGGCATCAGTCGGAGAACAAGGGCCGCATTGCGGAGAAGTTCAAGAACTTCCGCAAGGGGTCGACTGCACCGGACTCGCCCGAAGACGCCTCTCCGGCACTTCCCCAGCAGCGCTCGGTGCCTGAACCCCAGCCAACAATCCTTGAGCCACCGCAACGGCAGGACACAATCGAGCCGATGATGGGCGGTGGCATGTCGGAGGATATCATGGCATCGTTGGCCGGCCTCGACCTCACGTCCACACCTACGGGTGAGGGGTTGCTGTCTGGTCAGATTGAGAACGGCACGATAACTGGCGAGCCTGCCGTTATGACCCCTACGGTGCTGTCGCCCGCGACTGAGCGGCCGGACGACTTCCTGCACAACGCGACGCTGGGCGGTGTCAGCCCATCACTCCTTGCACCCGTCACTGTCGCGCCAAATATCGACAAGTGGCTTGAGCGGCTCTCATACGCCACTGAAGGCGTGCTGTACGAGGATAAGCAGGTGCAAATCGGTGTCAAGGCTGAGTATCACGGGCATCTCGGGCGCATTGCCTTGTTTATTGGTAATAAGATTTCAACGCCATTCACCTCTGTATCAGCCAAGATTGAGAACACAACGCCCGACGCACTTAACATCAAGTTCCACGACCTGCCTGTTGACAGAATCGAACCGCTCGCCCAGATCCAAGAGATGATTCAGCTGGAATGCAAGAGCCCGTTCTCCAGCCAGCCAATCCTTCGCTTCACGTACCTGGCTGGTAGTTTTACGACCCTGGTCCTCCGCCTTCCGGTGTTCCTCACTCGCTTCATCGAGGGAGTCAACTTTGACCAAGCCCAGTTCTTTGAGCGCTGGAAGATTATCGGCGGGCCTCCTCGCGAGGCGCAGCAGATCTTCCCTATCAAGCTCACGGAGTCGGGTGATGTCGACGTCGAGCGCAACCGTCGCATCATGGCTGGGCAACGCGTCTCGGTTCTCCCCAACATCGACCACAACCCTAACAATGTGAGTGATTGCAGTGCAGCGCGGGTGTGGCTAACATCTCAGATGGTTCTTGCCGGTGTACTGCACATGAGCAAGACAGGCAAGGTGGGGATCTTGGGTCGCGTGGAGCCCAACAAGGACGCAAAGCTGTGCCGGTTGACAGTGCGCAGCACGAACGAGGCCGTATCTGCCGAGATGCTCAAGCTCTTGAGCCAGCCTCTGAACGTTGATACAGCGGCGTCGCTCTAGTCTGTTGTCCAAATGTACCTCTTTCAGTATACCAAATGTCACGACGTAATGATGAAGCCATGAAGCAGAATGAAGTGGTATTTGTGCGCGGAAGTGTTGATTGGGCTTGGTTGCTTGGTTGATGGTGGCGTTCTTGTCATCATGGGATGGATGCTGGATGCAAGTCGGTTTATTAGCAGAGGATTAAGATGACCACGTGAGAAAACCTTAGTGCTTCTATTGATCTATTGAATTCCGCGTTTCGAAATAGTAGGGTGGCCTTGTCTTGGAGCTGAAAGAAGCGGGGAGGGCAAACCCCTGTGCGGGGGGAAAGGAGGGTCATCGCACAGGGTGAGGCCCAGTCGCCACACCACAGCATCATCCTCAACACCATCCACATCCGTCTCACATTTGTCTTGATTGTCTCGTCTTGTCTTGTCTCCTCATCCTCCATCATCCATCCTGCTCCGACGCTTTCTCCACGTCTCCGCTCACCTCCCTCCTCCTCTCCCCTTTCCTTCCCCTCGGCGGTAACTCGCACGGTCATTCTCAACAAGCGCACCGCGCCTGATCGTAGCCCTCGATCGTATCGTCGTATTACCGCCAAGTCACCGCTCGACACCGCCCCTCGCCCCACCCACACCACCAACACACCGCCGCTGCATCTAATCCTTTCTCGAGTGCCCTACTTGGTCTCCATCACCTGTCTGGGACATACGGTTCCCCTCCCTCTACTCGTCGCGGCGCCCCTCCACCCTTCTCCCACACCGTAGCCGACCACCATCATGGAGCCCAAGGTTCTCGGCACCCTCGTCGTCGTGGTCGGCACCGCTGTATGTCCCCTCATCGACGCTGCTAACAATAGAAAAACTTGCCCAACAAGAGTCGCTTTGGCAAGCAGGACCCGTTCTGCACCTTACAGATCGGCAGCGTCAAGCGCCGAACCCAGCCTATCAAACGGTGAGTGCACAACACCTCGGTGCGCGGCGTGGCAACAGGGCGCTGTGAGCCGAGTGATCACCCTCGGCACTCGGCACCCGGCGGAGCACCGATCCAGCTGTACTTGCGACACATATCGCTGTCCTCGCCGTCCGTCAGGGCGTGCCGAGGCGTGAGCTTGGCTCGCGTCCGTGGAGGCCTAGGCATCCCGATTCTATATAACCTTTGGCCGCCTTCCCGTTCATGCGATTCTATCTCACACACAGCGGCGGACAGCATCCGGAATGGGACGAGGAGGTACGCTTCGCGATCCACGAAGATGTGGACGACATGTTGGCCGCGTCGACCTCCAAGCCCTTGCCCGGCGAGCCCGGCGTCGTGACTCCGCAGAGCATGGCTAACAAGTCGCGCAAGCCGGCAGCAAAGAAGGGCGCCAAGGTCATGAAGCTCGCCGTGTGGGCCGATGACATAAAGGAGCCCGAGCTCATTGGTGAGGCCATCGTCAACTTTGACGAGGCATTGACCAAGGGCGAAGTAGATGGTGAGTATCTCGATAGTAGCTGCAGCTGACGCCAGATTGGTGGATCCTCCAGTCCAAGGACGGCAAGGACAAGTACTGCGGCGAGGTGTACATGGAGATGACTTTCTTCTCCAATGTGAGTGCAGGATGTGGACGCAATGCTGATCGCAGGCGCCTCCACCCAAGAAGAACCCGCCCCCGGGTCAGCAGGGCCAGAGCCCGGTCCGTCCTCCTGGGCGACCAGGTCTGCCAACGAGCGCCTCCATCTCGGGCATGAACCTCTACATACCCCCTTACCAGCAACCGCAAGGCGCACAAGCTCCGCCTCAGCGGCCACCAGCGCCGCCACAGCCGCAGGGATATGCAGGCCACGCGCCCCCGCACGCCCCGCAGGCTCCACAGAGGCCGGTATCCAGCACGTACGCTTCCAATGGCTTCGCTGAGCTGGGACTTCCCCCGCAGCCTCCTCAGCTGCATGGTACCGGCGGCAGACCCCAGACGGCGGCCGCGAACGCTCTCGCCTCGCAGATGGGTTCGATGTCGCTTGGCCCCTCGCACCAACAGCGTCCAGGCGGCAATGCGCACCAGGCCGCAACGATTGGGCATGGAAGGCCGCAGTCGGCGTACATTGCGCCACAGCACCCGGCGCCGCCACCGCCGCCGCCCCAGCTCCAACAGCAGTCATCGCAGAGCGGTGCCGCTGCACCTTGGGCGGATCTCCTTCCGCAGAATCAAGGCCAGCAGCAGCAGGCCCCTCCCTTGCCCCGTCCCATGAGCTCGGTCGACATGGGCGCGTACAATCCGAGTGACCCGCGCGCTTCAGCGATTCCACCCCGCCCGCACTCGTCCATGCAGCAGCAGCAGCCGGCGCCTTTGCCGATGCCCTCCCATGGTCGGACTGGGTCACTGTCTCACAGCCTCGCCCCGCCGGTTGTGGGCTCGCCGCCGGTCCAGCAGTACGGCAGCAACTTCCAGCCTCTGCCTGAGCCTCCCAGAACCACGAGCCCGGCGCCCTTTGGTGTGTTCCAGAACGCTCCGCCTGTGCCGCCTGTGCCGCCCCAGCCTCCTCAGCATGGTGGCTACCAGCAGCCTCAACAGCAGCAGGCATATGCCCCCGCCCAGCCTCCCGCGCAGCCAGCGTATAACACTCCCCAGCCTCCTCGACAGGGCACGTGGCCCCAGACGGGCAATCAACAGGGCTACCAACAGCCGGGGGCATCTCCGCAGCAGCAGTATGCCGCTTCGCCTGGCGTATCGCCGGGCCCAACGGCTTCCCAATACGGTTCACCGGCTCAGCAGCACCAGTTGCCACAAGCACCGCAGCCGCCACACCGCAACTCTCTACCTGGCACGTCGGTAGCGCCGAGCACAACCACCGGGCCGTATGTGCCATGGCACATGCAGACTCCAGCAAACCAAGGCGGCCAGAGTGGAGCTCCTGCACCTCCCGCTCCTCCCGCCCGCCCCAACGCGGGATACTACCCCTCGGACGAGCTTTACGTTGCGCCGCAGCAGCAGCAGCAGCAGCCGCTTCCGCAAGCTCCTGTGCACCAGCAGTCTCTCCCGCCCCAGCAGCCGCTGCCGCCCGCGCACCAGCCTCCTCCTCCAAGTTTGCCTCAGGCACCGCAGCCTCCCCCTCCTCCGCAGAACTATGGATACACATCGCCGCCGCTGCCTCATCAGGCTGCTCCTTCAATGCCGACATTCAGCCCGCCGCCGCAGGCTCCAATGTCGACATTCAGCGCGCCGCCGCAGGCTCCAATGTCGACATTCAGCCCTCCGCCTCAGCAGCAGCCGCAGTCCAACTTCCGCCCGAACGCGCCGCCCAGAGTCCCCTCGCCAGTGGGGTACGCGCCCGTACCGCCGCCGCGGGTGCCCTCGCCGCTGCCGCCGACGGGGCAGCCCAACTCGCCGCCAAAGACCAACTCGGACTGGCGGTCGTACCTGCACGGTTTGGGGAATGTGAACGGCCCCCCGCCGCAGGCTCCGGCACCGGCACCGGCGCAGCAGCAGGGGGGGGAGTGGTACCCGCCTGCGGGCGGGTCGTCAAACACGATGCAGCACGCGCAGGCGCAGACTGGGTATGCGCCGCAGCAGTGGTGATTTGAGGACGAGATATAGAAGTGCATGCACGTGTGGTGTGGGGAGGTGCGGGTTGACTAGAGGGAGGGAGACAGCGGCGGATGGGACAGCGCTGGTGCGCTGGTGCCGTCGAGGGGTTTCAGACTGTGTGATGGAGGCGAGTGCAGTATCCAGCGGTGGTGAGCGGGGGGGGGGGGGGGGGGGGGGGGGGGGGGGGGGGGGGGGAAGTCAGCGTCGTGATCCAGCAGCAGTTGGGTCTGGCCTCGGGCCAATGCGATGGGTGTGTGCGGTGATGTGTCTCGCACACTGGATCAAGCTAGGTTTATAGGTCGCTCATGGGCGTGACTATGACTACCACAGTAGTACTGTCAAGAGATTTGGGCGTTGCGTATCACGCCTCGGGGATGGCATGCGGGGGGAGGGAAGGACGAGAACGTGGCCGGGTGGCCGGGTGGCGAGCTGCGTGCTGCGTGCTGCGTGCTGCGTGTTGATCAGTCAGCGTACAGTAGAATGCAGTGATGATCGGTGCGATCAGTGATGTGAGCCACCGCCGCCCGATCCGAAGCTCGAGCTCCCCAGTCAGTGAGCGGAGGCACGGAGCCAAGCAACTCGTCACTCGAACAAGATCAAGCTCGGCGTGCCTATCCCCTCCTCGCCGACTCCCCCTCGCCCTGCTGTCATGGATCAGTGATCAGTGATCAGCGAACAGCGAACAGTTAGTACGACCAGGTGCTAGGGCGTGATATGATGAGATTCGAGACGAGTGGATTGAGACACTTGTACGCGTGGCATTCTCGCTCGCTGCTCGGAGCTCGATGATGGGTGGTGGGTGGCAAAGCACCGCGCACCGCGCACCGCCTCATAGCGCGTCGCGTGCGTGACAGATGCCAGGGGATGAAACCGCGGGGGCTGGGCCCTGGGTGATGGGTGCTTGGGTGGGCTGCCTGGATTCCAACAGAGACAGGGATGGGCGCGTTTGATGCCGCCGTCCTCCTGCCTATGCTCTATGCTGTCCCGCCTGGCTGCATAGCTGCATATTCGCCCCGCCTGTTTGAAGCTATCCTCGGTGGTTATTATGAGCGCGCGTACCCGGGTGGGTGTGGATTGGAAGGCCGAGGGATTGATTGATGGGTGGAGGAGGGGCAATTGGATCCCCGCCCCCCCTGTAGGATCCCTCCTCCCCCCCTTGGTGCCCTGCAATGCCACGACCCAACACACACACACCACACCACACACTCAACTCACTCAACTCACTCACTCTGCTCCATCCTTTGGCTTGGGGACGGACACAATGTCAACTGCCACAGCGACTGGCCCCTCTCTGGATCCTCCTCATCCTCCTCATCCTCTACCCCCCTCCTCGCGACCACAACCCTCGTCCTCATCATCATCATCCTCTTTGGCCCCATCCCCCTCCCCACTCCCCCTCCCCCCATCCTCTCACCTTTACCCCTCCCGCCCCAACACCTTCTTCCAACCTCCGCAAAGAACAGGCACTGTCTCAAGCACCACCAGCACCACCACTTCCTCTTCCATCTCTTACTCAATCTCTCGCACCTCAACCACATCTCCCACCGCCTTCCACTTTCCTTCCATCCACCTCAGTTCCTTTGACTCGTTCACAAACATCCCACTCGATTCTACTTTCTCCCCCTCCTCTTCTTCCTCCTCTTCCTCCTCCTCCTCTCCCTCCCCCTCTTCCTCCTCCCCCTCCCCATACCCCGGCCAAGCAGCAGCCCCCAGCACCGCCGCGAGCAGCAACGCCACCCCCAAGGCCACGCATCTCCAAACCAACGCCAGCCTTCACCGACGCTACGCGTCAGATTCCATCAACCCCGGCGCTGGCGCCAGCGCTGCACCCCCTCGCCCCGCGTCAAGCGCAAGCGTCAATCCCGGTGCCAGCGCTGCACACGCCTCCAACCATCTCCCAGCCACAACTCCTTTTGTGTCTGTCGACGCGCCACCTGACACCCCAACAGCAACAGCTCCTGCTGCTGCTGCTCGCGCGGAGCCTGAATCGCCATTGCGGGGCGCAGTCCCATCTGCTTCCTCTTCCGCCGCCGCCGCCGCCGCCGCCGTCACAAACGGCCCCATCGTGTCATCCACTAAACCAACAACGCACACGCCCCAGCCATCAACAGTTGGCACGCAATCCTCATCCTCTCCCTCACTCTCACCCTCTCGCGTCCCTTCATTTGCGCTTGGATCCCCTCCCATCCTCTCTCCTCTCACTCTCCCTTCCTTTGACGGACCTTCACTCGCAAGATTCAGCTCTTCATTCAAGTTTGACGACGACGACGGCACTCCCCTCACAGGTGACGACGACGACTACGACGATAACACGACCACTCCTCAACCTCCTGTTGTTGGTGATCGCCCAACATCTTGGGCCCCGCTTGTCTCACCCACTACTACTACCACCTCGGGAGGAGCACAAGGCGGCATCCCGTCTTTCGCTACCCTGGCAGACGCCCGCGCTCCTTCGCCGCTCCTGACGCCCACCTCGTCCACCTTTGATCTTGCATCCCCCAGACTCCGCGAGTCGCCCTCTGTTCCTCGACGGAGAACCATCGTCGAGCCTGGCTCTCATCACAAGCGCTCGTCTCCCATCAAGCTTGAGCGCCCATCAGTGGCTCACTCAAGACAGCCCTCATTTGCAGCCTCAATCGAGCCTGAACGCGACCAAACACCCCCTTCGCCCTCTCCAACGCCAAAGCGCATAGCTCTCACTCTCGCGCGCAACTCGCCTCCCACTTCCCCAACTCCAACATCAACCTCGACCCGCCCATCCGGTCTGACATTGAACACTCTAGTATCCTTCCCCGAACCCCAGTTGTCAAGCGCCACGACAACCACCGCGGTCGATTCACGTCCTCCGACCGGACTTTCGTCCCCTAGCAAGAAGCGGTCCCTTCCACGCCCACCCAAGGCCGCTGAAGACGGCAGCGTCGCGGCAACACCCAACTCACCGTCCCGTGCACAGTCCACAGACACCTTTTCCATGCCCACCCCCATGCCTGTCGCCGTCCCAGCTGCGCCGCCCGTCTTGCGCCCACCATCCTTTTCCATCCAGACATCTCCAAAGGCCAACATGGCCGCTCTTGGTGTCGTGACCGGTGACCCTATGGCGGTGCGCCGCTCGCGCCCACAACAGCAGAAGCAGCAGCAGCAGCAGCAGCAGCTGCAGCCGCTGCAGCCGACCCGTGCCTCCACAGACCCACGGGCAAGCTATGCGCCCCCTGCGACCATGGATCAATCTCAGCCAAAGTCCAATTCTATTCCTGCACCCTTCCCTACATCGCGCCACCAACCCACAAACTCGGCATCCAACTTGCCTGCGATAGCTGGATTGGCGGATGCTGGACCATACCCCTCAACTCCAGCGCAAATGCGGCAAACAGCCGGAGCAGCAGCAGGTGGCCTCGGCCTACCAGCATTGCCGGCTTTGCCCGGCGCCGGCCCCAGCGGCGGGCTCCAGATACCCCAGGGTATGAAACCTGGGGAGGAGATCTGCCTCGAGTGTATGATGCGTGACCGTGACCTTGCCGACGTCGATGTCACCGGCGATGGTGTCTGGGAGCGTGCCAGTGATGCCGCTCTCGACGAGCTCAAGGCGCGCGAGTATGACCTGTTGCGAGGCATGTCGGTCGACCACTCGGTGTCGGCATGGTCTGTCGACGAGTCGATATCGAGCAGCACCCACGGTGAGACGCTGTCAAGCCCTCGCTCGCATGCCTCTGGCGTCTATTCGGACGAGGCAGCGCGCACTGCTGCTGCCAAAAAGCAGCAAGCAAGAGAAGCACGTCGCCAGCGTCGTGAGGACCGTGACGCGCAGATTGCACGCATCGGATGGCGTGGCTTCAAGTGGGAGGAAGGGTCTGGCGGTGATGGCTTCCCTGTTGGGTTCCGCGGCACCCGTCCAGGCCCCTTGACGGAGAAGGGCATTAAGAATGTCATGACCATGGTGAGCAAAAAGCGTATTGAACAATGCCTAACGTTTCACAGTTCCCCTCCTCATCTGCACTACGCTTCCAAATTCTCCAGAGCTACCTCCGCGGACAATACCGGCTGATAATCGAGTTGAGACAAGAGGCTCAACGCCTCGGTCAATACCCAGAGCCCCAGGAGCTCACCTACCCTCCATCGCCGACTCTTGAGAGCCACGACTCGGTCCTCAGTGGCAGCCTTGCTTCCCAGCGCACTGCTCGCGTCAGCATGGAACGTGGCGCACCGTCTATCAAGGCGCCTTCCATCAGCACAGCTCGGTCGGCGCCGGTCACGATGCAGCAGCCGGTGCCGAGGTTGAGAGAGAGCCCATCGACGCCCGCTGGTCTCAACTCTGGCATCAAGGCTCGCCCAAGAACCCACTACGACCGCGAGCCAACCTCAGCAGCGTCGCGGCTCTCGACCGCGACCAATATCCGACCTTCCCCGAACCTTGGATTGGGTACATCGCCCTCGAACCGCGCATCTCACCTCAAGGCGCCGAGCGGCTCGACTGGGCCCAAGGGTCGCGAGTCCAAGTTCTACGCCGGCGACGATTGGTCGGACACGGAGGATCTGTGGCCCGGGTACGACGAGCTTGGTGGCTCGGCTGGCTCCAACAATCTTCGTCCGTTTTCGTTTGCTGTGCGCGCTGGTCAGCAGCGCGAGCGCGAGGGAAGCATTGGCAGCCACCACAGACGCTCCTTCTTTGGCAAGTTTGGTGACTCAGTTACGTCCTTCTTTACCGGCAGCCACGGTGGCAGCGGCAGCATGATGGACATGCACCTCGGCCTCGACATGGACCGCCGTAACCGCACTTCGTCCTATCAGGTCCACGAAAGCCCGCGCGTCAGTGCGTTCATACCCAGTCGGCCAAGCTACTCTGGGAGACGATCGTACCTCGGGCAGCAGCCCAATGAGGACCCCCTTGCACCGCCACCCGTTCTGCAGGAGCGTCCACGTGCCAAGTCTGTCACCGCCATGCATCCAAGCGCCCGCCTCACGCAGGTGTCCATGTACGCGCCCGAGCCGGCCGACGATGAGGTCTCGCCCAAGAAGAAGGGCGGCATCAAGGGTCTCATTCAGAAGATGAAGAAGGGCGGCAGCAGCAAGAAGGACCGGAGACAGTCGCTTTCTGCTGCGCTTGCGGTCGAGGAGAACTCTCCAGGTTCCGACCTCATTCCGCCACCGCCGATGAACTTCCTCGTCAACCGTGGCGAGCGTAACCACGACCGCAAGCGCTCTAGCTCATCCATCTCGATGGCCAATGACAGTCAGGGCTCGCTGGCGCCAGCAAGCCAGGGCCAGCGCTCTGTGTCTGCGCCGCTTGGGTCATCGGGTAGCGACATTAGCCCCACAAGCTCCCGCTTCCAGCCTGATCGGCCCACGGATCTGCCACGCCGCAGCACTGCACCTGCAGTCGAGTTGCCGCCTGGAGCTGCCGAAGCTGGCTACAACCTGCACCGGGGCTCGCTCATGGGCTCGACAATGGAGATGCTCACCGGGTCATCGCACAATGGTGTGCCGCACCCAGTCGTTACGCCCGACCTGCAAATGGTTTATGATGAACCGCAGCCATTGCGCGAGACGATGCTGCCCAACACAAACGGCGCGGCGCATCCTCCCTACGCCGTGGCAGGCAATGCCCAATCGTACGCAGGCAAGGGTAACATGCAGCAGTCGATGTCGTCGCGGTACTCTTCCTCGACGACCACTGTACCTGCGCTCGAGACACCCGAGTCGGCCAACAACATGAACTCGTACCTTGCACCCGCACCGCAGGGCAACACGTCTCCCAACCGGTTCAAGAATCTGCCGCCTCTGCCGCCCGGGATGATACCCAAGCAGGGGTCGCCCAGCATAGGCTCACCCGAGATGTACAGCGAAGCGGACGCGCTCTCGATGCGCGGCAGTGTGTACGACAACAAGCGCATGTCGTCGATGCCGTACCCTCGCGCGTCTATGTCGGCTGAGCCACCCACCAACTACCGCACCGGTGTCCCTCCTTCTTCCGAGTACTTCCCTACTGCCTCGCCCCGGTACCACCAACCCCCGCAGGGCAACCAGTCTCCTGGTCCTATACACTCTGGGTCTCCCGGCTCGTCTGGTTCGCGTTCCTCGACCTCTACGCCTTTCCTCCAGCCAGGCAGTGGCTTTGTCCCACAGCAGCGTGTCATACAGCCACGCGCCAGCTTTGACGTGCTTGCCGACAACCGTTCTGCGCGTGTGCGCCGCTCAACTGCAGTCCCCGGCATGGGCATGCCAATGGACTGGGGCCGCAATGCCCAGAGCATGTACATCCAGCAGTCGGCCGCTGCGTCGACGGGGTCGTTCGGCCGCTTCCTCAAGGGCGACCCGCGCGGCGCTGGTGGACCACCACCGCCGCACGTCGCCAACATGGTCGCGTCGTCCGTCGCGCCGACCGAGGACAGAAAGGAGCGCCGCCGCGGCATCAAGAGCATTTTTGGCAAGAAGTAGTGACCACCTTATTACGCATGCCACATTACGCCATTCGTCCACGCATTTCTCATACTACACGAACATTGAGGCTCGCACGAGCCGTAATATACCATGACCAGGAGGAGGACGCTGGTTGTAGCACTATATATTTTCGGCGCGTGCAGAGGCCGGGGAATGCACTCTTGTTTGTGATGGGGGGGCAGTTGCTACACAGGCGGGACAGCGTTGCGCGAGTTACTTCGCATTCTATCTGAGACGTTTACGAGTCCTCAGCCTCGTCGACACATTATACCGGGTGCTACATATGTATAAGGTCAGTGGGCGGGCGATGCCTGCGCCTGCCCATTCTCCACTCGGCCATTCTCCAACCCACTCTTCGCCAGCCCAGCCTCTCGCGCATCCTTCGTCCGCCCCCTCCCCTCCCCCGCACGGAGATGCACCACCACCTCCCCCCGCCGGCCTGCCATCCGGCCAAGCCACGTGCGCGCCCACGCCCCGCCGTCCGGCTCGCCTTGCATCTCCTTTTCCTCGGCAAGCGTGCCCCGCAGCAGGGCGAGAGTAAGCCGGTGTATTGTGGCGAGATACGCGCGCTCCGTCGCAGGCGACGCAGTCACGATGACGGGAAAGTCGCAGAACGACTCGTCTGGCGTGAGTCTTCCGCATCGCCATTCTGCGTCGGAGCATTCGAGCGACGGCGACTCACGGTTCGTGCCCAAGATCGTGACGAGGTCCGCGCGCGCATCCACACACGTGCGCAACACATGCGGCCACTGCCGCGCCTGCGTATACTCCTGGCTGTTGATCGCGAGCAGCGGCGGGCTCGGCGCCGGCCCCCGCGCGGGGCGCACGAACGGGAACGGCTCCCACCAGTGGTCGAGGGCGAGGGCGGCGCACACGTCCATGCGCGCATAGTCTGGCGGGGGGGCTTCGAGCGCGCGGAAGACGGTGGACGCGCCGAACGAGTGGCCCGCGAGCGCGGGGCGCGCCGTGTCGATGTGTCCCGCGAGGCTGGAGATCCATGCCGCCGCTTCGGGCGCCGAGAGGCCGTCGACAGCGACGCCGGCGTCCGCGTCGCCGTCGCCGGCGGGGCTGAGCATGGCCTCGAGCGCCGCGTGCGCCGCGTACACTTCGCGCACGCGCTGGTCGAGTTGCAGCGCGCGGAACTCGGCTTCCGTCGCGCGCTGGCTTCGTCGGCCGAGCTTGGTAGAACTAGAGGATAGCGAGGCGGACGAGCTCGACGAAGGCGTGCCCGAGCCCAGCGATGGGGACGACGACGTCGGCGTCCCCCATCTGGCGTCAGCTTGTCCGCCGTCCGGCACCGCACTCGAGCTCCTTCATGACGGTATACCCCATTTCGCCGTCGGGGAGGAGGACGCAGGGCGCGGACCCGTCCGCGTGCTCGACGGCGAGCACGGCGTATCCTTCGCTCGCGAGCGCCGCCGCCCACTGCCTGCCGTCAGCGCGCGCGCGTCCCTACGCACGAATACGTCGTGCGCGTGCCGCATATCCCGTGCGAGAAGATGACGAGGGGGTAGGGCGTGTGCGCGGGCTTGAGCGGCGCATTCGGCGCCACGGGCACGTGGTACCGCGCCGCCGCGCCGCGGATGAGCGGAACTGTGGTGAGCAGAGTTGGCACGGGCACGCACGCAGCCAGCCGGCCCCCGCGCCAAAGTAGCGGTCGTAGCCGCGCAGCACGCCCGTCACGGGTTCCGGGATCCACTGCACGCTGCCACCAGCTTCGGTGGTCGGGTAGTATAGCGCCCATGTGCTGCGCGAGATGCGGAGGGCGGGCTCGCCGGCGCGCGGCGACGGCGCCCGGAATATCGGCGACGGCAGGCTCCAGGCGCGCGCGGGCGCGCGGACCGTCGCGTAGCCTACGGGGGCGGGCGGCGGGGGTAGCGTGGACGACAGGAGAGGGATGTAGGGGAGAGAGAGCATCGGGGGGGGGGCTACAGGACGAGGGACGTGGCTGTGGGGAAACGGTGGTGGTGGTGCTTATGTTGGTGGAAAGAGTGATGGAGAAGACCTCGTTCGATCCGCAATCTTCGTTTGCGCTGGAGTTATCACGGATCCGCCGAGTGACGTCGCCTGGCGATCTAGCGATCCGGTCGAGATCGACGGTGGAAGGATTGCTCACTGTGGGCTGAAGCACTGACACCTGCACGCGGTGGCTGCGCCGTAGCGTCTCTACTGTCGTACCGCCAGAACAACTGGGCAGCTGAACCGAGCAGGGCGGTGCTGTGACGACGGTTGTGCGGCGACACACAGCGAGCAACGACAAGAGCGCCGGACCAAAAATAGACGACGATGGAGGGTCGGCCATCTCGTTTCGTCTGCGGTGCGCCGATCGCCGATCACCGACTTATCGGCCCACGAGAGCCAGGCACGGCGCGGTGTGCCAAATATACAAACGAGAGAGATATTAACGCTCTCTGGCCCGTACCAGGCATTATGCATGCACCTAATGTTACTCGCTGATATTACATACAACATAGATGACAACTACTGCGGCGCGGCGGGGGTCTGGGGCAGCGGGCGGGCGCCGGGGGGCGGGGAGGCGGCGTTGATCTGCTCGAGCGTCTCGGCGTGCTTGTCAAGCTGCTCCTGCATGTATTTCGGGAAGCTGACCTCGCTCTTGTCCGCGTGCTTGAGGATGAAGTTGAGCATCTCGGTCATGTCCGCGCGGATGCGGGAGCGTTGCTCGTGCAGCTCGAGCATGGACACCTGGGCGGTTTTGACGTCGCTACGTATCGCCTCGGCGAAGTCGCGGGTGTGGTCTGCGATCAGCATGCGCCGCGAAAAAGAACTCACTCTCAAGCTTCAACGTCGTGGCCTTCTCCATCGCATCGATAAAGTTGAGCCGCTCGCCCTTGATCGATTGCGTCAGGTCGGTGCCAAGGCCATGGAGGGCATCGAGAACGACATTCTTCAGCCCCGCAATCTCCTGCGCCGTCTCGGCCTTGAGCTCGTCGAGCCGCGCCGCGGACTGCTCGTACCGCGCCGCCGTCTCCACCGCCAACTCGTCCTGCCGCTTGATGACTGTGACGAGGTATCCGTTCAGCTCGCCAAGGTCTGAAGTCAGTGACGTCGGAGCGAAGCACTCACATGCACTTATCTTGCTTTGGTTCTCCTGCGCTTGCGCCTGCGCCTCGGCGTACTTGGCGACCTGCGCGGTCAAGGCGTCGACCTGCTCAGCCGTCGCCGACTTGTCGATTTGCGCTGTCAGCGCAACCACCTGCTCAGCGGTTGCAGCAGGGGGAGGGGGCGCGGGCACCTCCTTGTCCTCCGCTTCGGGCGGCGCTATTTCCTTCGGAGCATCCTGGGGTTTGGCTTCGTCCGCCAGCGCCGGCGCGTCCTCCACTTTAGGAACATCGGGGACCTCGACAGGCTTGACGTCCTCCGCTGCCACTGCGGCCTGTGCCTTCTCCACCGCCTCAGCCTTGACCTTCTCAAGCTCGGCACGGGCCTCCTCCGCTGCCTTTTCCGCAGCAACGACCTTCTCCCCGGCCTCGTACATCTTGCGTGATTCCAAGGCAGCACGGGTGCCTTCGTACGTTTCCAGTTTGTCTAGGACCAGGTTACTGCCCGCTTCCACAGCGTCTGCCAACGTTTTCCTCAGCGCCGCCTGGAGGGATACAATGTCGTTCGCAACATACTCAATGTTGCGGCGGATGTTGTCAAGCTCTAACTCCAACTTAGAGGAGAGAGGCTCGCCAGTGATGGGATCCAGCGCCCTGGCGGCGGGGGCAAGGGCTTGGTCGGCATCAGCGGGCGTGTCAGCGAGATCTATCGTCGGCTCGCCGGGCTCGGTGGGAGCGGTGGGATCGGCGGACCTATCGACGGCCGGGGCATCAGCGCACGCGGCGACGGGAGCGGTTTCCGCCCCTGCAACCGGAGCGGTGGCGGATCTAGCGATGGGGTCGTCCGGCGCGGCCTCAGAAGCCTCGCCCGGCGGCACCGCCCTCTGCTCCGCCGCAAGCGGCTGCGCACCGTCGACCTGCCCCTCCCGTCCCAGCGCAACAGCGCCTAACGTAGCGGTGTTGGCAGCAACGCCGGCCAGCACTTCGTCGAGCTGGCTCCTAATCGTAGCCATGTGCCGGTCGAGGGCGATCAGGCGTTCCTCCGCCCCCGCGGTGGTGGTCGCCTGGTGGCCCGCCGTCTCGGTGAGCAGGGAGGACACGGCGCCGAGGTCCGTGTTGAGGGCGCGCAGCTGGTCCGTCATGACATCGAGCGTGGCGCGCACACTGGGGTCTGCGCTTGTGTCTCGAGCGGCGTCGGGCATATCGGCAGACATAAATGCTCTGGGCGCGGCTGTCTCCGCGGGCTCCGGTGCAGGCGCCGCACGCGCCGCATCCTCCGCTTCGCCGTCGTCGTCCCGCCCGACGTTGACCCAGCTGGCGGAATCTGAGCCCGCATTTGCCGGCTCGTCGTATCCCGCCAACAGGCCGGTGATTGACTCTCGCGTCTCCGTCGCGTCCGACACCTCCGAGCCGCGGGCAACGTCCGCGGGGATCTGTTGCTCGTGGGACTCCGGATCGGGGTCGGGGTCGGGATTGGCGATCATGAGGGTGCGCCGTGACGTTGTCGACACCATGGAAGGTGAGACCTTCCGCAGCGCCAGGGGCGCGGTCGACGGGGGCGGCGAGGCCAGGCTAGGCAGCGACACGACCGTGATCTGGGGTGAGCCGAGGCTGCGCAGGGCGTGCGAGCGCGGGGGCGACGCGAGGGAGCGCACGACGAGCGACGGGAATTCGATCGTTGGTGACTCCCACCGCGCAAGACGGGTGCCTGCCACCCTATCCTCCGGTATTGCCTTGCTCGTGGAGATGGGGCGCTTTGTCGTGGACACAGGCGAGGCAGCGGCCCGACTGAGCGCCTCGATTCGGTCGCGTACGGACGTGGAGCCCGCTGACGCCGCGCTTCCGGGTGCCTTCGGGGCGAGAGCGAGAGCGGGCAGGGCAAGCGTGTCCGTGCTCTTCCCAGACACATCTGTGCGCGCAGCCGTCTCGAGGAGCGCGGCGGACGTCGTGGGCCGCGCCACGGGCGCGTGGATTGGGGTAGTGGCGGACGCGGGCTTGGTCGTAGACCGCGGTGTAGCCGTCTTGGTGAGGGGCGACCGCGGAATGGCGGCAGCCTTCATCACAGGCGACAGCGTGTTGGGCTGTGGGCTGCCCTCGAACTTCTCCTTCGCCGCTGCGATGCGTGTGTTCAGCCGGCGGGGTCTAGGCGACGAGGGGATGTCGGCGGACTTGGCGGGCTCTGGTTGGACCGAGGTGTCGGCCCTCCGGGCGTGCTCGGCGGGGGCCTCTGGCTCGGAAGCGGGCGCGGGCATGTCGGGGAGCTTGGCCGAAGCAACAGACCGCGCGGACCGCGGGGTCGCCTCCTCGTACTTTGGTACAGCCTTGCGCGCCGGCGACCGCGGCCCCCATCCCGCCTCTTTGAGCACGGGCAGTTTGTTCAAGCCCGCGTCCACGGCCGCGAGGTCGACACCGGCATTCCGCGCCGGCCGAACTTGGCTCGCGCTACGCGAAGGGTTGAGATCGCTCGAATTGAAGCTCAGCCCGCTCTTGACACTCGCGGCGCGCGACGCCGTCCTGGGCGGCGCAACGCCCTTCTCAGGCTGCCAGCTGCGGATGCGGTCCGCGATGCTCGTGGTCATGGGATCGATCTGCTGCAAGCTAGCGGCGCGCAGTGGCGTTGTCGTGCCAGGCCGGGCGCCGCGAGGCGTCTCTCTTTCTTTCAGCTGCGGGGAGTTCGGGTACGATGAGCCAGTGGGTTGGGAGCTGACGTCGACGACCGCGCCGGTCGTGTCGTGGCTCTGGCTCGAACGGTGCCCCTGCGTAAGCAGGGTGTTGTCGCTCTCCTTTTTTCTGTGGAGCTTTAGGGGAGGAGTCGGCTTTATCTCAGGCGAAAAGGTCGCTACACGATCGGCGATGAGAGTCGAGCGCGGCCGCGACTTCGGGGGCGGCGTGGGCGGTTTATCCGCCTCCTCCGCCATATCCTCAAGCGCCGCGGCACTGAGCCCCGTGTGCTGGCTCCGCATCGGCGATGGCTGGTAAGGGATGGTGCGGGGACTGCCGCCGATCATCTGCCAGCCGCCCGCGTCCGCGGTGCCGACCCACGTATCCCCGAACTTGGCGATGTCCTCGACTTGGCCGAGGCGGAGGGATCCGTCGTGGTAGCTCTTCACGGATGGTGCGAAGGCACCGAAACTCGAGCGGACATCGCTGAGCGCAGAAATCCATGCCGCGCTCGTTCCGGATTCCACGGCGAGATAGCGAGTCGCACCGTGCGCGAACTCGAGCTCGATCACATCGCCCGGCTCGGGGAGCGATGGGAGGAAGAGGTGCGCGAGCTCGGAAGGGGACATGTAGCGGAAGCTGCTGCATGTGCGCATCAGATGCTCCTCGTCGCGGCGAAGCGGAACGGGACGGTAGGCATTGTACGGTCCGCCTGAGATGACGGGGACGTGCGCGACTGAGAAGTGTGTAGGGGAGAGACAGGCCCACGCCGTCATCCAGTCACCGTAGCGCGTGCCCTGCGGAGCCGTGAGCCACAGCACGCCGCCAGTTCGGACCTCCTCCTCCTCCACTGCCATTTCCGCATCCCCCATCCGATCGAGAACGGGTGGGTCCATCGGGCTGCGGAACCAGTCCTCGTCGATCCGCTGGTGTGGGCGGTCACCGTGCATTCCAACACTGGCCGTGCCCCAGCCGGTGGGCTCATCCTTCTCCTTATGCCCCATCTTGCGCAGGTTGGAGAACGCATTCTTGATGTCCTTAAGCGGATGGCGGAGACTGATTTTCTCCTTTCCCGGGCTTTTAGGGCTGTCCACCTCGCCGTGATGCTCCTGTTTGTTGAAGAGCGACCAACCCGGAGACAGGCCCTTGATCGGGCTGCAGTTCGGTGAGGTCCGGGTTGCCTGAGGGCTGCTCTGGAACTCTGCAGAGCGCACAGGCCGCGCACTATCTGGCGGCGGCCACGGCATCGCCGCACTGGCCGGAATCGGCTTGGCGGTGGGGATAGGCAAAGGCTTGGTCTCTTTCTCCGCGAGATATCTCTGACTCATGTGACGCTGAGACGGCGAGTTGCCTTGGGATGGCTGAGACCGGGTATGATAAGAAGGCGGCGAGCTGGATGAAGCTGGAGCACTGGTGGGGATGGGGAGCGGGCGGGACAGCGTTGGTGTGCCTACGGCAGGAGCGCTGTTCTCCCAGGCAGCCACCATGCGACGAGTCGCGCCTGAATTCTGGGCACTGGGCACTGGCACACGCCGGATGCGCGAGGATGGCGGGGTTTCTGGAGGCTGGGGCAGGGCTCGGGGTGTCGGCTCAGGCTCGAGCTGGGGTGCTTCCCAAGACATTGCGAGGGGCGACGGGGCGCGAGGAGAGTGTGGAAGAACGGGCGAGGGGGAGGGCGGGAGGCGAAGGCTCGAGCCCGACGACGGGACGGAGGAGGGGGAGTTGGCTTGAGACGACTGATGTTCGCCTATCGATCTGGGTGATGGCAATCGCTGCGGTCCAGGAGACGGCGGGAGACGTTGCGACCCGGCTGAGGAGTAGGAAGGCGGCTGACCGCACGCCGGCGTCGGGGATGGTGGGAGACGCATCGGCGAACCTGGGCGGTCGGGGTTGGATGGGAAGCGCGACGGGGAAGCACGCCCAGACATGGCAGACGGCGGGCGGCCGTTGCTGATACCGAGGCCGATGTAGGACTCTGCGCGAGAGCGTATACTGGGTGCGCGACACAGCTCGGCCTCGCAGGGTCCGTCGTCCGCGTAGAGCGGGTCGACGCCAAAGGCATTTCCAAAATCGCTTCCATGCAGCTTGGCCTCGGCGTAGTCGTACATCTTGTCCTCGCCGTAGTCATACACCTTGTCCTCTCCATAGTCGTAAACCTTCTTCTCGCCATAGTTGTAGGTGCCAGTGTAGTGCTCCTCCGCGTAGTTGTATTGAACGGGGTCAGTGTAGATGCTTGAGTCGCGCTCGCTGGACGAGGCAGTGTGGAAAGATCCAGGCGTGGAGACGTCATGAACGGGAGGAGGAAATGTTGTGCCGGGTGGAGGGGCAAGACCAATGCTCTCCGCCGCCTCCTGGATGCCGTGCAGAGAGTGGAAGACAGCGGGCTTCTGGAGCGGACTAACGACCTCGTGTGACGTCGATGTAATGGCAGTACTTCCGCTCAGCGAAGGAACACCAAAGTAGTCGCTCTGTGGTGGCGATGGAGTGAGACCAGAGTGGGGAAGTGGATGAGAAGCCTCGAGCGGCATCGTGCGTGCGTGCACCGCGGTGCGCTCGGACGTGGCTGACGTGATGAGTGGAATGGGTAGCGATGGAGTCCGTGCGTGCGCTGGTCGTAGATGGGTGCGTTGGTGTTGTCGCGCACTAGGGATCGCAGGAAAAATTAAATCGTGTGGATAGAATCAAATGGGTTACAGCCGAAAGGGAGAGACGATGTGGAGAGAACGATGGGATTTGTGAGTTGTTTGTGCGTAATGACAAGCAGCGGAAGTCCAAACATTGCCCCTGCAGCCTTCCCCCCAAAGTCAGTCGCGCCCGAACCTTATTCACAGCCCCCGATTGTCCCTCAGATTACTCCCGCTAGGGGGATGTCTCAGGGGGAAGATCGGCGGTGTTGGCCGGAATGCGGTGCCTGCTGTGACGCGACGGCGGTCTCCCTCTCACTCTCGCTCGATCACTCGCTCTCCTCGTCCCAACTCTTTCTCTTTCTCTGCATGCCTCATCGCATCAACCTCTTCGCTTTCTTTCTTGCTCTTCTCGCCATTCTTCTCCTCGCACGCAACTGGATCTTTCCTCAACAACCACACCATCACCTAGACCGTTCAGACGATATGCAGGGCAAGAAGCACGTCGGCTACTTTGTAAGACTTCCCACTGACGTGGAGCTGACAGCAGGTGAACTGGTGAGCTACGCCGGATCGGACTATGTCCAGCTAACCTCAAGGGGTATCTACGGGCGCAAGTTCCCGCCGCAGAAGATCCCCCACCAGCATCTCACGCACATCAACTACGCCTTCGGCAATGTGAACAAGGATACGGGCGAGGTCCACCTCTCGGACAAGTGGGCCGATGTCGAGGTGGGTGTGGGCGCGCACGGCGAGCTGGAAGGAAGCCAAGACGCTGGCCGCCGGCCGCCGGCGGGCTCGGACCCGCTGACGCCAGATTCACTACGAGGGCGACAGCTGGAATGACCAGGGCACCAACCTCTACGGCTGCCTCAAGGCTATCTACTTGCAGAAGAAGCAGAACCGCAACCTCAAAGTTCTGTTGAGCATTGGCGGGTGGTCCTACTCGCCCAACTTTGCCAATATCGGCGACGCCAAGTGGCGCCAGACCTTTGTGCAGTCCGGCGTCAGGTTGGTCGAGGACGTGGGGTTGGACGGGTGAGTGGCGAGCGGTGCGCTAAGTCAAGGCGATGCAAGTCACATGCCCCGTGCTGACGCCAGTCTCGACATCGACTACGAGTACCCCAAAACCCCCGCCGACGCCAAGGCGTATGTTGCTCTGCTCAACGAGCTGCGCGCCGCACTGGAGCACCTCGCGCAGTCCAAGGGCAAGCCTCCCGGGCAGTACCAGCTCACCGTCGCCGCGCCGTGCGGCAACGAGCAGGTCAGCGTTCTGTGCATCCAGGAGATGGACCGCGTGCTCGACTTTTGGAACCTCATGGCCTATGACGTGAGTGGCGGCACTGTGTGGGGTGATCTGCGGAGTGTGTCCATCTGGGTGCAACCGTGTGGCACTGCCGCCGACAGGCAGCATATGCAGCACCCTCTCAAAAGCCTGCTCACACCAGTTCGCTGGCTCATGGGACAACGTCTCGGGCCACCAAGCCGCGCTGTACACGGACAACCCAAACGGCAACTCGGTCGACGGCGCCGTGCGGAAGTACCTCGCGGCGGGCGTGCAACCGCACAAGCTGGTAATTGGGATGCCGCTATACGGTCGCGCATTCATGGGCACCTCTGGCCCGGGGCAGCCGTACAAGGGTGTGGGCGAGGGGTCGTGGGAGAACGGGATGTGGGACTACAAGGACCTGCCGCGCCCCGGGGCGGAGGTGATCAACGACCACCGGCTGGGCGCGTCGTACTGCTTCGACCGCGGGACGGGGCAGCTCGTGTCGTACGACACGCAGGCCATCGCGCACCAGAAGGCGACATACATCAACCAGATGGGACTGGGCGGCGCCATGTGGTGGGAGCTCGACGCTGACAAGGAAGAGAGCACGGGACAGGCGCTCGTGCGCACTGTGCGCGAAGTGCTGGGCCAGCTTGAGTGGCGCGAGAACGAGCTGTCGTACCCCGGCAGCATGTACGAGAACCTGCGCAAGGGGATGAACTAGGGTGCAACCGAGGGCCAGAGCCCCAGGCCCAGTAGACGATAGACACCCGCACACGATGGCAAGTAGAATGCATCCATCTCCGATGACCCCGCTACTTCGTCTCCGGGTAGTACACCATGAGCCCTAGGCCCTTGTGGTACGGCACGGTGATGTGCTGGAACGCCGGGTCGGAGTTGACGTACGCGAGGAGGTCCGCGTACCGCTCAGCGCTCGCAATCGTGTTATCGCAGATCACCGTGGCGCCGGGACGCAGATGCGGCCGCACAAGCTTGAGCGCCGGCAAAGCCATCGGCGCCCAAACTGCCGTCAGCGAGCCGCATGCGGTGATGACGCTACATACTGTCCAGCAGCAAACAGTCTACACTCCCCATCTCGTTCTTGAGCGTCTCCCGAAGATCGCCGACACGGAGCTCAATCACGTCCCCAACCCCCGCTTCGCGCCAGTATTCGCGCGCCTGTGCGGCCTTGGCCGCCTCATGCTCGGTGCCGATTACGCGCGCGACCCCGCCCAACGCCGCGGCGTTTTGGCGGGCCGCAAGGGCAAGGTAGATTGTGCTTACGCCGTAGCTCGTGCCCGCCTCCACGATCGTGCGGGCACCGGACGCGCGCAGGAGCGCGTACACGAACTGGCATTTGTCTTGCTCGAGGGCGACGAATTGGTCGGCGACCGCCGTGTGGAACGCGTCCGGGGGGATAGAGAGGAGGTCGAGGCGTGATTCTTGCTCGGACGAGAGCGTGTGTAGTCTCTCCAGGAGGGTGTGGGTCGCCGGAGGGGCGCGCACGGGGTTCGGATGGTGCGCATCGTTGGCTGAGGGTTGAGCGAGCGGTTGCGAGGCCATGGTGGATGGAGAGACACCATGAAAGGCATAGAATGATGATGACGCACACATACCGCTGAAGTCCGAGTCGGAAGAGTCACATTCCGCAGCATTAGCCCACTCACGGCGACGCGCGGTTGTGCTGTCCCAAACTTCTGATGTGACCACAACACCATCAGGAGTAGCGACCGGCATCTATGTATGCATAAGCCATAAACTGCCCCCTTCCGACGCCAGACACATGACAAGCGGGCCATCTCTCCCTCTACTGCCACTCATACCCGCACGAAGCACTTGTATGTCGCCCAGGCGCCAACTATCGCGAACGCAGCGAGACACCCCAAGATGCCAAAGAACCAGCTCAGGTTCTCGTCACCCTTGTCCTGCCCCGGCACGTAGACGTTCATGCCCCACAGACCCGTCACCAGGTTCATGGGGATGAGGACCGTACCCAGCGCCGTGAGCTTGGACAGCACGTCGTTAATCTGGTTGTTGGCGTCTGTCATCTCGATCGAGATCTGCGCGAGGTAGTTCGAGTGCGAGCGAGATAGAATTTTCTCGTAGTGGTTCAAGTTAGACGTCATGGTGATCAAGTGGTCCTGGATGTCGGAAAGATACAGGCCCTGGATGTCAGCATGGAGTTTCCCTCGACCGTTGTCCGGCCGCCACAGGTCAACTCACAATGTCCGACTTCGGCGCCACCAGCCAGTTCTCATTGCAACGCTTCGCAAGACCCTTGACGACGTCCGCCTTACTGCCCATGAGACGTAGCAGACCCATGACCTTCTTCCGGCATGTGCCGATACGACGAAGCATATCAGTCTGCTCAGCGTCCTTGAGAATCAGGACTAGCTCATCGATGCTGTCGACCTCGTACTCGATGCTCTGAATGAGCGGGCCAAACGCGTCGGTAATGTCGTCAATAAGCGCGTACGAGATCCAGTCGGATGTGACCGAGATATAGTCCTTGAGGTGCTTGATGCGGCGGCGCACGTTCTGAGGGTGGGGTGTGCCGCGGAAGTGGAACTAAGGTTAGCTCATCCCTCAAGTCTACAGTCCCCGCAGTCACTCACCGACAGCGTGCCCTCGCGGAAGACGATAATGTACATGTTGAGCGGCTCGAGGTATGTCTGGCTGTACGGGTCCTGGTCGAACGAGCGGAAACACACGAGGTAGTAGTTCCGGAAGAGCTCGATCTTCTCGCGCGTCTCCTCGAGCAAAATGTCTTCCGTTGTCAGCGGGTGGATCCCGAATACTCGCGACAGCATGCGCATCTCGTCGTCGGTAGGCGATAGGACATCGAGCCACCAGGTGTACGCCTCCGGGTCGTCGTCCGGGTTAGGCGGTGGCGGCGTTGGCGCAGCGCCAGGCATAACCATGCTCTTGGTAATCGCCGCCTGCGACCAGCTCTGCGGTCGTGGGGCCGAGAGTGAGAGCCCACTGGGCTCCTTGGGCGTGTTACGTCCACTGTTGCGGGGAATCTCGCCAGATGTCCGCGGCTCCTCGCCAGGTATGTTCCTCCCCTTGAACAAATCCTCGAAAGTCTGGCCCTCCGCTGGCAGCTCGGCGAGGCTGCGCGCGTGAATCGTCACCGGTAAGGCGTTCGAGTAGAACGAGAACCGGTACGGTCGGTCATGTCCCGCATTGTCCGAGTAGGGCATGAACTTTGGCGGGATGGGGTCGGCAGGGGGAGGAGGTGGGTTTGGTCTCACGCCAGGCCGGGGCGCCTTGAGCGCGCCGCCTTGTAACTCTTCACCCTCGCCAGCGCCGAAGCTCTCAAACAGCGCGAGCTTGGCCTGCCGCCGTACAGGATGCGCCTGTTTGCTTTGCTTGCGTGCGCGCCGCCCGAAGCGAGGTTGGGGAGACTCGTCCTCATCCTTTGGCAGCATCATGAGCTCGTCATCGAAGCCACCCTTGCCGGTGTCGTCCTCCTGACGCGTGCTGCTGCCGCTGCCGCTCACCTCACCCGACTGCTGGCGCGCAGGCGAGGCTACGCGGACGACAGCCTCGCTCCGCCTCCGTGTCTCGGCACCGATGCCCGACCCGCCCATCTCCTCGGCTGTCACCCCCGTCGCGGGTCCCTCGATCTCGTCAAGCGCCTCACGCTCTGTAGCCGCGAACTCTTCCATGGCCGCGAAGTCGAAGACGCTGCGGATGCCCTCGGCCGTCGCGTACGAGCCGACGCGCCTCAGCCCGTCACTATCCTGGCGCTCCGTGTCCGATCGCCGCCTCCGTCGGCGACTCTGGTAAGTGTGGGAGCTCTCGGCGTCTGAGTGGTGCTCGTCGTGACGGTACTGGCGGTGGTCCTCGTCGTCGCTGCCGTCGTGGTCACGCCGATGCTGTGCACGCTCCATTTCGCGCTCTTCCGCATCGCTGAGCATTCCAAACGGTGCTTCCTCTATCGGAGACGATGAGTAATTGCCACCACGGGATCCTCGCAGCATTGGCGAACGCTCCACAACTGAGCTGGAGCGGGCGCGCGCTAAAATCAGCCGAGTCCAATGTTGGCACAGAAGCAGCGAGTGATAACACAGGGTTGGGCGCAGCTGCTTGACGGAGGAAAGAACTCACACATGCTCAGCGCGGAGTCGATGTCTTGTTGCATTTGTCTCTGTACGTCGATGTTGTCGCGATACGAGGTGCCAATGCTAGATGGAGCCACACTCCCGCGATGCGGCGGGGGGCGCAACGTCTGTGGCGAGCGCGAGGGGTTGCCCGACCCGCTCGCCGAACTCGACATGGAGCGGTGATGGGCAGCCGACGGGAGGTTGGGATCGATTTGGATCTGGCGGGGTGATGAGGGTGGCGGCGTCATTTTGGAAAGAGAGGCGAGTGGATAGGCGTCGGAAGATGAGGAGGCGCGAGTGTGTTAACGAAGGCGAGTGAGAAAGAGGAAATTGGAAAGAGGATAACGAGGGGATGTGATGGGCCTCGGCGTCGACGATCGGGCATTCAAGCGCCGCTAGCAGGATCGTCTCAGCTCGTGATCGACTGATTCCCTCCTTGATACGTGACTTGAGGCGACGAGAAGGACGCTGAAAGTATTCTAGAGGTGGATGGCGATGGAGTTGAATGAACGGCGAGAGAGATGTCGCCCGAATGGTGAGACAGACGGAGCTGAGACTAACAACGTGGGCGGCCAGGCACACTTTTCAATTACCCACGTCCCCTAGCTCCTAGTCCATTAATAGGAATTCTCTCAGGCATCTCAGACACTTCATTGCTTGCGCAGCTACTTTTCCTCAACACCTGCTCCCAACTGGGCTCTCGAGTGGCTTGCGTCCCCAAGATCCATGCTCCGTGAGGACTCTCAATTGCCTTGTGGGGTTCCTGCCGGTCCAAGTACCGAAATCGGCTGTAAACAGCTTCCAAGTGGACGTAAATGAAGCTGAGGCTTTTCCAACTGGTCCGCGTCGTCTCGCCGACTCGCCAGCTTCGTAACTTGCAACTGTCAGTCGTTGTGACGCCCCGATAGTACATGAGGCTAAAGTTAGCACGAAGATGACATGTCGCGCGACACGGGGAGAGACCAGCTGCGCGAAAATTCTGCAGAAGGGCACGGGCAACAACGTGCGTGCACGCTGATCGACGCGACCTGCCTTCTTGCAGGGTGTCGAGCATCACGGGGTGGATGGTCACTGCATCTTGCCCGATGGAAGCCTGGGCTCTCGCGTGAAGAGGTGGTGACAACCATTGTCACCGTGAGAGGTAACGTTCACGAGGCAGCGGCGTGCAAGGTTGCGTCGGTGAGAACTATGGCAAATGGACTCATCAGGAATGCGTTGCCCAGGTCACTCTTTCAGACACCACTTGAGTAGGAGCCCTACGCTTTGTTTATGGCGAGGACGGCTTCGCGAGACAACGTATGGGCACATGGTCACGTGACGTTCATGTTGCTATCTCTCACGGCTCACGGATTATTAAAAATCGGTTCGATAACTCGCATTAGATCCTTTCATGAACCGACTCCGCAATACCTTCGCTCCGCCGCGAACATATATCAGATTAACAGACATCGAGTCCGGCCTCTGGAGCAAACCCCAGCAATGCCGCAGAGAACTGGCGCGCTCCGCCGCTGCCACCTCAAATGGCCGTAAATCAGGTACTGCCGATCCCGTTCCTCGGCTCGCAGGTGCCACATACCTGCCATTGCGAGAACATGCTCGGGACGCCCCACGATATAATTGCACTCGTGACCTCTTTGTGGTGCCTGCAGCCAAGCATTGGAGCGCACGCTCAGCATCAGAGGATAGATCCCACGCCATGGCACCACTTAAGCTCTCGCCTCGCAGATCGCACCCCCCATATGCTTACGCTCCACCGCTGTCGCACGTCGTAGCGCTCTCATCTCTTGGATAGTTTCACGTCGCATCGTCGTACAACGCACAAACCAAGAAGTGAGTAGCACTGGACATCTCGGAGGTGTCGCGGAGTGGACATGGAAGTGGTAGACAGCGAAGCGGCCTGTGGGAAGCGGAGCGTGGTCAATGCGCGCCGAGCGGCTGCCTCCCGAGCGCCCACTTTCCCCTCTACGACAGTTCTTCAGCTCATAAAGGCCAACATTCCGTCGCAACTGACGCCGAGCAGCTCTCACCGACGCATACTTGGTCACTTCTCCTGAGCGGATGCGTCACGCTACTCTAACAACGGCGCGGATCACCGCCTTGCAGTCCTAACCACTTTATCATCTTCCATGAGCGCCCGCACGCTGCTCACCCTCCTGACGCTGGCCGTCGCAAACACAGGCCTGGCTCAGTCAACGACCGGGGTTCCCGCGGCGCCTCAAGTCTCGGCGACCCAAGCGCCAACCAGGCCCAGCCGCCCCTTCGACCCCCGCATGCCAATCATGCTCTGGCATGATGGCGGCCAGCTTCCATTTATACACCCCCTCACTTCAAATTGGACATATCGAAACGGGCAAGATCCGCAGCAGCCATGGCGCCTCGCTCCGGGCGATACGTGGGAGGTGCAGCAAGCCGCGGACATGTTCGAGTTCGGCTGGCGCAACTCGCTCACACAGCTGCGCACGAGCGAACCCGGGCAGGCCGTGAGTATCCTCACGACGTGTCCGAAGTTGCGTGTGCAAGGCGAGCTGCAATCGCCCTCCTTCACTCAGGCGGACTGGACAATCATCTTGAACAACGAAGTGGTCCCCCCGGAAAACTATGTGTTCAACAGTAGCAGCGCGTTCCTCGAGGTATCTGCGCCGCGGAATTCGGGTGTGTTCAACGTCACGATCCAGCTCGGGCCGACATTCAACGGCACGCTCGGCGTCAAAGGTGTCGTATGCACGACCATCACCGAGAGGCCAAGGTGCGTGCATCCATGGCTGAGCTGACGTCAGCGAGCCGTCCATCCAGATGCTGTTTGGGCAGACGGGCAACCGCCTCTCCTTCGTTAACGGCACCGGTCCCCAGCCTGATTTCAACATCGACGGCACCTTCGCCGTCGAAAATTATGTAATGAAAAGTACGTCTCGGTCCGACTGTGCTGACGCAGACAATGAGACGGTCCCGGCTCTGGTGCTCAGAGGGCAAACGACGCTGAAGTACCAGCTCCCACCATCGCTCAGCCACTTGCAACTCCGCGGCTTCGTCGGCCCAAATTATGGGCGCGCCAAGATCGCGCTCAACCCACCCCCGCCTGTCGAGCTCCCAACGGAGATATCCGAGTTCTCAACGAGCAAAAGCTGGTTCAGCGTATCTTCGTTCTTCAACGTGCCTCTGGACCCCACAGCCCAGTATACACTAAGCGTGACCACGGACGAGGCTACTGCCGGAGACGGAGTGTTCCTCGACTCTCTGACCGTGCTGTTGCGAGTTGACGAGTGAGTGCAAAGTCGGCCCCACTGACAACAGGGATGGACCTTTCGGGCCAGCGATGTATCAGGACCCGCAGCCGCGCCCAAAGCGCGTGAACGTCGGTGCCATCGTCGGAGGGGCGGTCGGCGGTGTGGTCGGCGGACTCCTTATCGGTGCTGCAGTATGGTACTGCATGCGGCGGCGGCAGCGCCCTCGCGCCATTGCCCGTGAAAGCACGGGATACTTTGAGGTCGACGAGGCGGGGGACGCGACGCCGAGCTCGACCTCAGCCCCCAGCCCAACGGACAGCGTGCCTTCGGAGACCCTCCCGCCCGGCGCGCGCGCGCCAAGCGAGCCGGCATGGCATGGGCCGCGCGTCAGCATCCCGCCCTACCTCCGCCAGCCCACCCCACGCATTGAGACGGCCGGGCCGGTGCCCGCTGTCATGGCTACGGACGAGTCCCCGACCCAATCGCCGACGCGCCCCAGTCCTACGGATACGGTGGGTTCGGACCCCGCTAAGACGCCGCGCAGGCCGCGCCGCCCGCGCCCCGTCGCGCAGCGGCCCGTCGTGCAGGAGGATGACGGGGGAACACTGCTTCCGGAGTTTGTACCGCCACGGTATAACCCCGAGTGGGCGTTGCGAAGGGAGGGCCAGCAAGGGGAGCAGGGAGAGCGGGGGGATCAGTAGGGAAGTGGGACTGTATCACGACTGCCATGAACAATTTGACTGTGCGGGTGGCACCAGGACCAACAGGGCAGCTCAACATGTGACGCGTCAGAGTTTGACGGTAATCAGCAATTTTTGCGATTGCTCAATCTGTCGATGGGCGCAACCGCACGACAGAGTTGACCAAACCTCGTGAGGTGCACTGATCAGTGATGAGCATCCGCCTCGCTTGATGCTACAATCGGGCTTCGAGGAATGGCGCCCGATGACTGAGACTTCTTAGGTCGAACTTGCGGAGAGGCGCCGCAAACATGAGCTAGGTTGACGAGCTTGACCTCTGTGGCAGCTCCCTGCGTCATCGTCATAGCTCCAGGACTGCCGATCAACCCATACTGATCGGCGCCACTGTAACATGCATGTACCCAGAATCCCTTCGATGAGTGGCCTCCGACGACATGGGGTTGGGATGAGCAGTTGATGAGGCAATACAGGGCCGCGTGCAGCCCAAAGGCCGCCAAGACTCTCGCGTCGACTAACGTTTAAGGCGGGAATGTCGGTTTCATTCCAGTGACTGGCTAAGAAGCGAGCCGCGCAATCGCGCGCTACTCCAGCTCCTGTTTACGCTTCCGGGACGCAGGTGGCTGGCGCCGCAACCGCACACTAGGCCTCCGAAACTCGGCTCTCTTCAGGCTGGTACTAGTCGTCTGAAGTGGGGCAGAGTTATTCTGAAGGATTCCAATCGAGCACATGATAGACCCGACAAACAAGTCCCTAGCCGCAAAGGCCGCACTACTCTACTTATTAGCGTCCGAAAGTAAGTTTAATGCGCCACATGAAGGACGATGTCACCAGCGTTGACGCTGTTGACGGCGTTGCATCAAACTCACATCCGACCTCGTCTGACGGATCGTGCATGAGTTTGCACGCATTGCAACCTCAAGCACTCCCGCTCAAAAGACCTTCGACCGTGCCTGTTGCACTCCGCGACAGTTGCTGTGGAATGGAAGGGGGCCGGGATGCCCTGTATGGGCCTGGCGGGGCCGCGGACTGCGCAGGCGAACAGAACGCGAAGATGCACGCGCAAGAACCTACGCAGCTGAACGAACTATTTGAGGATGGCCGCATGCTCCGACTGGAAACCGCGAGGGCGGGGGCTTGCGGCAGATCGCTGGAGAGCTGGGAGCTGTCTGCGTCCGCGGCGTAAGTCAAGGTTTGTTTGGAAGGGGCGACGTTGCAGGAACCCTCCAGGCACCTCGTCCGTTGTTACCGCTCTTGCTCCCAGCTGGCAGCTCCCAAGACGCGGCGGCCAGCACCAGAAGCCAGAACAGAGTTGAGAGCTTGAGGTTGTTGGGAGCAGGCTGGCATGTGTGCTCGTTCTTAAGAACACAACATTGCACGCTGGTCGTATCTTCGATCCCCACTCACATCTCCATCCATCATGATGGGCCGGTGTGCTCGCCCCACTTGGGAAAGCGGCGACTGGTCCAGCGCCTCGTCGATGAGCTCGGCGCCCAGCTCGGCCTGGGAGTCTGAGGCCTCTTCGTCTGCGTCCTGGCCCACCTCTATCTCGAGTTACTCATCCTACTCTGAATATCTGGAGGTAAGCGCCTGGTGGGCCTGAGCTGATGCCAGATCTCGCACTGGAGCGACTCCGAAGACGAAGACGACGATGGCACGGCAACGGAGCACGACTGGGACGCCAGCTCTATTGTGACCGACGAGATCGAGCTTGAGACTGCCGAGCAGCTCTTCCTCTCCTTTATGGCCTCCATGGCCGACCTCCTCAAGAAGGAGCAACGACCAACACCAGCACCCACCCGACCCCTCTCCTACGCCCATCCCCCACAGACATCATCACCGACACCTACAGAGTCTCTAGACTCTCCCAATTCCTCTCCACCCCGGCCCGCCGCCATTCCCCACTCCATCTCTATGCCCCTCCCCAACACGGAGCCAGCGCCATGGCACGCGCCGCGGGGCTCGACCCCTCCGCCGCAGGGAGCGAAGGAGGAGGACTTCAGCGTCGCCCTCGCACGCATGGGCGACTGGGAGGCACGGCACGCCGCCTCCGTTGCCGCAGCTGTGTATAGGCGGCATGCAAACCTCGCAGGCATCACCGAGGACCCCGAGTGCGAACGCTGGGCCGCTGAGCGCGGGCGCAGACGCCAGGGCGTCGTCGGCACACTCCCGCTCGGGCTGGGCCTGGGCGCGCCCGACGCCGGCGTCCAAGTCAGCGTAGTGGGGAAGGGCATCGCGCACTGCGCCGAGAAGCGCGGCGGGCTGCTGCACCGCTTGCGCCGGAGCTGGAGGCGATAGTGTCGCAGGCCGTATAGTTGTACATGCATCATAATCACACTTTCCGGGGGGAACATGCTTTGCTCGCTCGCATCAAATTGACCTGATCCAGCTTACTTTCCTGCTCCACATTATTATTACGGCCACCTTACGTTCAACCCCGGACGGTAGTGAAATGTTTGCGCCCCGGGTAAGCCGGGTCAGGCCCTCACGTCATCAGGACAGGGGCTGGCGGGGTGCTTGGGCATCGACAGTGCTCTGTCAGTGCTCAGACAATGGTCTCCGAGAATTGCGGAGGTGTTCTCTGTCCACTTGTGTATGACTAACGACGTGAGCACATGTATGCTAGGCGTCGCAGTCCATGGTGCACCCCGTTTTCCATTTCTCGGGCTTACCAGTCTCCCTCACCTCCCGAGACCGGGTTTAATGATAAGTTAATATTGGAGGCGAGTTGCGTTACTGTAACGCAAGGCAGTTGGAGTTAGGCCCGATCTGGAGCCAGTAACACCCCACCCGACGCACTCGAACAACAATTCAGTACAAGGTTTGGCAGGCAACGCCCCGCTCCTCCTCTGGGCGAGTGGAAACGATGCGGAACGAAGGGTGGAGAGGGATCAGCGGGTCTGTACCAGAACCCATAGGCCGCATACTATTGTCTGTTTTGGGGAGTGCAGGGAGAGCACACTTTGGGCCGTCGCACAACACGATCCACGGACAAAGGCGGGTCCGAACACGACCCGATGTTCGTCACGCTTCCGAAGCGCCAGAATAGAGGGGCAAAGAGCAATCAGAGTTGGAATCAAACCTTGCCGAGTTAGTCACATATTCCCTTCAGATAGCAATCATCTTTGCACGGGCATGTGATGAAAGCAAGGCTTGTGGTGCCGTGCAGGAGTCCCTGCTCCGCTTCAGATGGCATTTCCTCCATCTCTCCGACTCCTCACATGTTACAGAGTCATACCACCCAAAGGACGGGGCCTCGGAGCACGATGACGCCCTCGTCAAACCATAAATGGCAGGACGCCGTGGCGGTCCCCAGTCGGTCCGAGCTTGAGGGGGCAGCGAATGCGCCATGACCGCGCCCTGTGTCCCTTCTCGAGCTGCCATGGTCACACGACAAGGCGCGAGCCGCGATGGGCGCGTCGGGCGCGGAAGTGGCGAGCCAAGCGGGCAACCGATGGCCCCAACGCGCTCGTGGCTTGCTCTGCTGGGACGACGAGGGCATTGCCGGGAAGCTCGCACAATGCCTGTGCGCCGACCCGTACTCATTACCACTGCATCGAGGTCCTGAGGGGCACATCTTCATCACACCAATGCTCATTTGCCTTCTCACCTCGATGGGCGGGGGAGGACTGGGCGGTATGGGAGTAGAAGGGTGAGCACTTTGACGAAGGAAAGTGGGATGGACCCCTCATCGAGGTGAGCTTGCGGACCACATAGCGCTCTCACAGAGTTCTTTGGGCAGCTAACAGCGAGCACCCGCTACAGCTCATCTTCCCCCTCGTGAGATCCTCCTGTGCGCATTTTCAACACACCCCATTCTTTCAGTGCCTGGACAGACCTCCCCACGCTTCCATCGACGCCACATCGTGGCACTTGCCGCGCCAATCTGCACTGGGACCGCCGGGCATGCCACTCCATCCGTCGATCCGGTCGCCCATGCGCCCATCTCGATCCGACGCGCCCCGGATTGCATACCCCGAGAGCTTCGATGCGCGTTGCAGATCCTGCCCCATTCCTCCTGCGCCTGGCAATCGCGCCCGCAGCCCCGGGGGTCCTTCTGCCATCCCCGGACCTCCAGCTCCCAGTGCCCCCATCTCTGATTGTCGATGGCTACACAAAAACGAGGCCGAAAGAAGTCTAAGATGGGTCGTAGAGTTGGGCTCGCGGGCGCACGTCCCCGCCCCTCAATGCGGCACTACTGTACTCATCAACGCCCAGTCATTCATTAACACCCCAGAGATCCCATCACCCACAACTAGGTCTGACCTCATGGACACTAGTTTCGAGACTCCGGTTCTCCGGTTCTCCGGTTCCAGATTAGACTCGAGTAGTTCGCGGCTAAGTCATGTTCAGTGACAGTGAATAAGGACATACCGAAATACGAAATACCGGACACATGGACGCTGACCCTGCCACTAGTTCCAGATCCATCCTTTTCCATTCCCAACGAGGATGGCCTCTTACGGCCTCGACTCCGGACACATGTCGGACACATGTAAGTTCGAGCATTCCTCCACATCACCCTCGAGTGCATCCATCTCGGAGGCGGTCGGGCCGATATATCCAGCGACTACCGTTCTCTACCGCCTACCAGCTTCTGCCACATCTTGTGGATCTCGGGCACTGACACGCGCGCATCTCGGTGCGGCAGCCATCTCCGATGCGCACGCGGATATGGTGATATGGGCTGGCCCGAATGAATCGATTCCCTGTAGTGCTTTAGCGGCTAGCGGCGTTTGTTTATCTTCGGCGTCTGTCGATCCCCGCGTCATGAAACTCTATCGCCGAGCATGTCGAGCTGACCATCGCCGGTGTGCACGGCGCACAGTCACCGCGCCGCCAAGCCAAGCGGTGACCCAATATACAGTTCCACTATGACCCGGAACGTTCCCGAGTTCACCGGGGTGGGAAGGGTGTGTGAAACAGTCTGCGGAATAATATAATACCACAGAAATTCCACGCTTAATGACGGAATTGGGATGCTGGCGTGGCTAGCGGGGAAGGATGCCGCGGCTGCCATTGCACGTTGATGGGTGGCGCCTGTGAGGTCTAGGCTAAGCAAAACCGCTTCATCAGAGAGACCGAGTACGCGTGGGCCAAACTGGAGCCTGGGAAGTGAAGAGGAACGCTCCGGGATCTGCACAGCGCTCACACGTTTGCCGCGGCTCTCGTCAATGGCCGGCATTTCATTATGTCGGATCGACGGTCCTCCCTCCCCCTCCTCCTCCCCCTCCCCCTCCCCTTCTGCTTTTCCTCTCCTTCTCTTCCCCTCCTCCACTTCTTCGGATGCCTCCACGCCCTGTGGCGATTGTAGCGGCGCAGGCCGCCAGGTCGTGCGCCCGCACACGCTCCCGCGCCACGAACACATGTCATGCCACGTACGACACCTGCAATGACGCCCTCGAGCATTCCGGGCCCATCGTCAGAGGGAAACCCGGAAAACGTCTTGCGCCCCTCATCTAGGCCCCGGGGGAGGGCGCGTTGGGAATGTCGTCTAGTGCGGAATAACGCAGCCGCCGGCAGTGAGCGGGAGACTAGGCGGACGAGAGGCGAGGTCTTAAGGCGGGGTTGCTCCTCCCACACCCCTCCACAATTCACAATGTCCAACGCGCTCGCTAGCACCAGCACCAGCATAAGAAGCGGACCGAGCGCACCGATGTGCGCGCCCTCGCCGCACCCATATAAGGCCTCGCTTCTCATCGACACCCCCGACCTTCAGCTCGTCGCACTCAGACACCTCCCCTTCGCCGCCGCCGACGGACCTCCACTCCTGCACGAGTACGAGCCCCTTTCAGCTGCGAGCACGCCCGAGTCGCCCGGCCCGCCCACCCCCCAAGCCATGTCCTATTCTGCCAGCACCCCACGTCAGCCTTGGACGGGAGGTCCCCTCCCTCTCCCCCTGCCAGAGTACGCACCAATACCTCCGTCGTACCCTCCTACGCCGTCGTCGCCGTCGCCAACGCCCGAACACATGTGTGGCAACTCGTTCGACTTCGCGACCAACGGAATGTCCGTGTCCCGCGCCGGGCTCTCGTTCATCCTCCTCGCGTGGAGCGCGCAGAACACACGGTAGCGACTCGTGAGGGGGGGGGGGGGGCAAGCAGGCGGTGGGAGTGAGCACAGTAGCAAGGCAAGCCCGATGACCGACGGGTCGAGGATCGTGGCGCAGGTTTCGCATGTATTCTGTATGTACGTCAATGTGTGAGGATTCTGTGAGTGCCATATCCCCTGGTGTCAGGCCTTCGGGCGTTTGTCTCAGATCTCCCAGATCTAGAAATGGCCGTTTGAGTAATGTACTGATGTACGAAGAGCTCATTGACATGCAGAGAACAGCACGACTCGGTGGGATAAGGTTTGATCCACACGATGGACCGAACGAACCGAAGGGGCGCGCGGAGGCACGTCGCCGAACACCGTCTGTGCGTTGTGCACCTAGGCACTAGGGGCAGAATGCACGGGCATGCTCCGCCCCTCGCCGCCTCGCTTCGCCGACGCCTGTCCACGTCGTTCAAGCACCTCCGGTGCCATGGCACGCGTGCCTTGGATCGCGCGCGGGCAGTTTCACCGCACGAAGGCTGGGCGGGGTACAAGCTCCGGCGGCGAGGTACGTTCCCCGATACTTGGTGCGCCCAGCGGAGCGGAGAGTTGGTGGAGACGGCGTGACGGTCCCGAAGTGATGGACGTGGCCGTGAGTCACCGAACCAGCGACAACAACGGAATGATGGCGAGGGGACATTTTCTCCTGCGAAGATGTCTCAGAGCGTCCCGCAGACGGCGAGGAGAGGTGTTTCTGAGCTTAGCTCCCCGGCGTACGCGTTACTTCAGGCCGCTTGCGCCAGGCCTCCTGTAAAGCCCCTCCGTCCTGAGCGCATACAATGGGATATGGAGGCGTTGGAGGGGCGAGGAGAATTAGTTGCGCCTGCCCAGACGGTCAGACGATAAGTGGGCTATTGTCGCCGCCTGACCGGCAAACCAGGCTGGAGAACAGTAGCGAGGTGATGGCCGGAGGCCAGGATCCGATGCGCGCACGCTGCACGATTGGGTCGTGATGGATACGGAGACCCTTACTGCGAAGCACAGACAAGCATGGTCGCATCAGAGTCGCGTGCTCTGCTTGTCCTGCGAGCTTGCCCTTTCAAGAGCTGTATGGTAATATGGTAAGCCGACCTTTGACAATTGTTGCAGGCACGCCCCTGCACTCTCCATCGAATGGCCTCGATGCACGGCCTCGCCGAGAGGTTCGCTTGCGCACAGAACAACGGTTTGTGCGCTGGCCTTGCGGCCGACGGAGCTCCTAGCTACGAGCCAGACGCGCGATGGTTGGACCATGCGGAGGGTGGTTGCGGTCGTCTCTTTGTTCTTCACGCGCGCCGAAACAGCGTGCCTCGGATGCATTGCGACGTCCGCCAGGCTATGTGAATGGCCAGTGAGTCAGGCATCAGGCAACGTTGAAGAGGAGGGAGATGGCGCTCAAGTACGAGGGCTGACGAGGGCGGAGGAGCGGGGGACACAATTGAGGATTACGAGAGGGCGCAGAACATTCGCCCATCTCACTACCACCCTGAGCAGATACCCTGCCGTTTCGGGCGACGACACCCCAGAACTGTTAGTCTCTTTTGGCTGGCATGCCAGTGTGCCCATATGGTCATCTGGCGCGCGTACGACCAGAGGGAGCTACAGGAGATACAGGAGATACAGGAGATGCAGGAGAGATGATTCATGTCCTCGAGCCACAGGAGCAGAGGGCATGTATTGAAAGAGAGTACGCCGCAGTGTAAGAACATGTCCAGGCCTCGTGCCTGGTTCAGCTGCAGGTCTCGCAGGATGGGTCACCACATTTCTTTTCGGCTGATGCCATCCGGCACAGGTGGCACACTCCAGGCATTGCTCTCCGCCTCGGCATGCTGCAAAGATACAAGATAGATAACTAGCCACCTGGTTCGGTGCATTTTACTCTCTCGTCACGTATCTCCTTTCTCTCTCGCTCTTCTCTGTCTGTTAACCCAAAAGCCCCTATACACCATGGGCCTCTTCTCGCGCCGCAAGACATCCTCCTCGACCTCCCCATACGCCTGCGAGGCCGCCATCGAGAGCACCTCGTCTTTCGGCTCCATCAGCCACACGCCTGCCATGAGCCGCGCACATCTCCCTCTCACCGAGGAGCCCGAGTCAGCCCTCTCTTCCATCAGCACGGGCTCGTACGCCGCCTACGCCGCCTCGACAACCCAGCTGGGCATGCCGCCGGCAACCCCGCGGCGCCGCCCACGCCTACACCCCAGCGCTTCGTCGCACAACCTGCATTCAACCTCGCCATACTCGTCCTCGTACGGCTCGCCGTACTCGTCCGCACCACCCCTTCCCTCTCTCCCCGCACACTACCACTCCCAGTCCATCTCGTACAGCAGCGCGCCGCTCAGCTCCCCGCCCATACCCTCCACCTCCTCCCACTACCTTTTGGCACGGAGCACGCCCAATCTCCTGCAGATGCAGCAGCGGCCGCCGCCAAGCGCCGCCCCCCGCCGCCTAGGCAGCAACAAGGAGGCAAGCGCGAGCCGCGTCTCGCTCGCATCGGCGGGGCGCTCCCTCGCCCGCGTCCCCTCGCTCTGGAAACGCAAGTTCCGCCGCTCCCAGAACTCGACCAACAGCGACACGTCCGACTCGTCGCGCGATTCCAAACGCCGATAACTGCCCTCATTCCTCGTTATTCCTCTTTGGTTCTGGTTCTGGTTCTGGTTCTGGTTTGGCGTGGCGTGGCGTAGATGTGGCGTGCCCTCAGGCTATCTCGTAGACTATCTGGCTTAGCATATTGTAAACTAATGTAATGTGTAATTGTATTAGGCCAGTCAGCGCGGTCAGTTACGCAGTCGTACCCCACATGAGGGCCCTCGAATTCGAATGCGGCAACTGCTGCCACCCCTGCCCGACTCCGCCCCGCCCAAAGGGGCCGCCACAGGATCACGTCACGCTCCTAACCTACGCTAGTTGCCGGACACGTCCGGCCGGCACGTTTCCGCGGCAAGATCAACCAGTGTCGGAAGACAAGTTGCAGGTTGCGGCCTGCGTCTTGCAGGCTGCACGCAGGCGGCCAGTTGCAGATGCGAGCCAGGTGACTGAAGTAGCCGTGCCGGATTCTGACGCAAGGCACGCCGACCCGCACGCGATCCGATGGGCCGCGTCGACCCAGCCGTTTCCAGCGTTCCTCACCGCACCGGTCCCCATAAGCTTGGGTCGCAATGTGGCCCAGCGATGTATTGTCACGCTCTCCTGGGCTACTGGGCTAAAGTGCATTCATGGCCCAACCTATCCGTGCCATCCCCATTGCGTGGGATCACGGCATCCTATCCGTTCATCGCGTCCTCCTCGTCGGCTGCTGCGGCCGCCTCGCGGCGCGCGGCGCGCACGGCGGCCTTGGCCCGCTCGCGCCGTTTGCGGTTCCCGCGGTTCGGGATCGGCGCCTCCGTCGTGCCCCGCGGCGTAACCTTCTTTCGCTGTGGGTGGGCGGGCACGACAACTGGCGCGTGCTTGGGAGAGACGTGGACTTCGATGCGGAGGGAGGACTGACGTTAGATTGTTACACATGCGATATCTCACTTTCGTCCGTTCCCTATATTCTGGCATGTCCTCCTCTACTGCCCCAAGTCCAGCGAGCTCGTCGTCTTCCACTGCTCCCTTCATCTCGTCCGTGCAGACCACACTACCCGTCTCCATTTCGTACCACACGCCGTTGGGGCCGGTCGGGTAAGGCAGCACATCGAGAAGGGCATGCAAGAGGAGGAGAGCGTGCGGGATTGCTGCGCCGAGGGCGTACAGAGTGATGTGGGTGTACCTGGTGTCAGCAGCAGATTAGGCAACATAGCCGGCGAAGGGTGTGCGAGGCACCCTCATGGTGGACTGCTCATAAAAGCGCAGAGGTGAAACGCTCATGATGACAAGACTCCATTTGTTCTTGATTTTGGTGAAGCAGGAAGGTGCCACTGTGGCGCTCACTGCCACCACCAGACTCCGCACCTCTCCGCCATGCCATTTTCCACTCTCTCAACCTATCGCCCACCACTCCCTCTCCTCACTCACCCCTCGTCCAAAACCAGCCCCTTCGCGCGCCCCAACAAACTACCCAAGGACGTCTTGCGAGTAACGAAGATCGTGTCGCGCCCAAAGCCTGGCCGCTGCGTGTCCGTCCGCCGCGCGCCCTGCCCCTGCAGGACCTTGATCGGAAGCGTGGCCTCCTTGACGCGGGGCGGCGGCGGCGCGGGTGGCCGGAGCTTGGTGCTGTCTGGGCGGTGGGAGGGGTGTGCGCCGCGTGGGCGTGGGCGGGACGGACCGGCGGCGGCGTTATCGTTCATCGCGAAAGGAAGGGGATGAGGCAGGATTGTCGAGAGAAAGTGAGGGATACAGGCCCGTGGCGGCTGTAGTTGACAGTAAACGCTTCGAGGTTCGGAGATGTCGAGCGAGTCGAGGATGGCGGAGGTGTTCTGGTCGAGGAGAGTGAGGATGGAACGCGGAATGCGTCCAAAATCTCAGTGTAAACAATCAATTTGGATCCGCTATGTTATCGCCATATTGGCTTGGATTAGGACGGTTGTTGGGAGGCCACGTGGCTGGAGACGGAATGACATCGCGCTCGCGATCGCGATATCGTTCGTGTCGGCGTCTCACTCTCAACATCGCCACCATGTCGCAACCAGGCAAACAGTACAAGGCCATCGGCGTGAGTGGCAGTGTTAATCCCGCCTTGCCGTGCGCGCGTGTGCGCCGTGCGATCCGCTCCCCGCGCGCTGACGCGATTATGCTTGCGCCGACCCTTCCCTAGCTCTACTAACCCCAGGACGACGCGTGGAAGCGCGCCGACAAAGTCAACGGCGAGCTCTTTGCGCTGACGTACGGCGCCCTCGTAGTCCAATTCATCAAAGACTACGAGGACTACGGCGAGGTGAACAAGCAGTTGGAGAAGATGTGCGTGCTTTCCTCCATCCCTCTTCACCTTTCCACCCTCCATCGCCTCCCGCCTCGAACTAATTCCAGGGGCTACAACATCGGCACACGGCTCATCGAGGACCTGCTTGCGCGCACAGGGCTGCAGCGGTGCGCGTCGTTCGCCGAGACGGCCGAGGTCGTGTCCAAGGTCGCGTTCCGCGCATTTCTGAACATCGCGCCGAGCGTAACCTTCCCCCAGGGCGCCGCGGGGAACGAGTTCGTGCTTACGTTCGAGGAGAACCCGCTGGCCGAGTTTGCGGAGCTGCCGCGCGATGCGCGCGAGGGCGGGTTGTGGTTCTCGAATGTGTATGCGGGCGTTGTGCGCGGGGCTTTGGAGATGGTGAGTCCTGCTGGAATCAGAGGTCGGAGATGGCGCAGAAGGGGGAGTGAGTAGGGACGGTGGAGACAGACAGGAATGCCCGAGAGGAGCAGTGACGAATTGAGGAGTAGGAATTATATTGAGGAGAGTGAATGGAAGTGGGACGCCGACGAGCGCGTTCTCACCTTAGATATGATCCCCTCCACACCCCAACACTCTATCCTCGTCCAGACTAACGCCAGGTCCAAATGCAGGTCGAGGCGCGCTTCCTCTCCGACCAACTGCGCGGAGACGACACGACCGAGCTGTACGTCCGCCTGGTGCGGATCCTGGAGGAGGAGCAGCCCGAGAACGACGAGTAGTGCCGCATCATGGGACAGCAGGATAGAGCGGCGACATGCATACAACAATATCTAATCTGGCCGCTTGTGCTCCTGCCCTCGCTCATCACTCACACACGCCGCCCCATCCCACTGAACACGCTCGACAGATCGCTCTCTCCGCTCGAGTACCGCCGCGCATGCCGGCGTGCCGCTGCCTCCGCGGCCATCTTGGCGGCGGCGGCGGCGGGTAGCCTCGCCCGATCGGCCGTCGGCGTGCGGTCGGTGAGTGTCGCCACGCTGCTCTTCAGCGTCTCTCCCCGCAGCGTGGTCGGTGCGAGGGAATGCTCCTCGGCCTCATCGATGCGGCTTGCATTCATGTCCCAAGCCCCCTTTCTCTCCGCCACCATGGCCTTGAGCTCAGGCTCGAGGCTCGAGATACTCCCCGAGCCGCGGGTGCGGCGGCGGATGCGTCCGGCCTGCGACAGGCTCGGTGCGCGCGTAAGCCCCGGCCGGCGCGGCGTGTCCGTGCTGTCGGTGCGCTCGTGCGCCGGTCTAACGGGGCCATCCTGCGCCTGAGGGAGGGGGTCCGGTGACGCCGCGACGACGACCATGCTCCAACGCACAGCGCGGGCGAGCTCGTCGACGCTCTCGCTCGTCTCGTGGTCATGCGACTCTGCTTCGCCGGGCTCACGCGGCGTGTAGAATGAGCTATAGCGCGCTTGTGTGGATAGGACGAGACACATCTGCAGAAGCCGCGGAAGGTCGGGGCCTGGTTCACGAGCACTTGCTGTGAGGAGGGGGATGAGGCGGGGCAGGAGTGGCAAGAGGATGTGTACGAGGAAACCGGAGAGGAGGATGTGTCGCACCGCGATGGGAGGTTGTTGGACTATTGCCGCGGGGCGGGCTGTTGCGGAGGTAGGAATGTCGCGGACCTGTGAGAGGGGAAGGAAGACGCCCTCGACATAGGGCAGAATTTGGCCCCAGAAGAAGGACCAGACTTCGGCTGCACGCGACACAACCTTGGCCTCGTCGATCGTGTCGAATTTCGCCTTGAGAGTGAGCATGCCGGATGCTATGAAGTCACGGAGGTCGGCTGTGAGCACCGCGATCAGTCGGGACGCTTGGGTGCGCTGCGAGGTGGTGACGATGTGCGAGTTGCACAAATGGCTGTGGTCAGATCAGTGGGATGCAAGGGAAGGGAGGCGACGTACTTCAGATCCTCGATGGCCGTCTTCAGCGGACTTCCCGCGAAGAGCGGGAGGACGTGCACTGTCAACAAGCTCCACGGGCTGCTCGGGGAGCTGTGCGCCATTGTCATGCTAGGCGAGGGCATAGGTTCGCGCTCCGGCCTGCCGCCCGACTCTCCCGTTGGCAACGTCGTGCCATCTGGAAGCACGAGCACGCCGCCGGCGCTCGGTGGCGGCGGGGCGGGGCGCGGCATGGATACGGACACGAGGGAAGGTGTGCTCCGTGGGACCTGGGACGGGGAGGAGGCGTGGCTGAAACCGCTGAGATTTGAGCCGGTGCTGCTCATCGCGCCGGGCGAGAGCGGCGGAAGGGGCGGGAGTTGCGAGAGGGTGGACGAGACCTGGTGTCAGCGAGCGAGCAACTTGGAACAAAGGTAGCCGCGCGTCAGATGGTGGAGGCGCAAGTGAATGCGAATTGTGATCGCCAGTGCGACGCGTACGCACCAGCTTATTGTCGTATGCGCCGAGAGCCCACGATCCATCCTTGCTACGGCCAGCAAGAGGGGAGGGAAGCGACGGCAAGCGCTTCTCGCGCACGTCCAGCGTGAGGCTGGGACGCGCGCTCGACGGCGAAGGGGAGGGCGAGGATACGGCTACGACGTTGGTATTGAGGCGGGCGGGAGACGCGAGCTGGCCCTCGCGCCGCCGCGAGGGGGTTGTCGCCATCCTGCGCTGGAAAGAGGTGAGAGGAAGATTCAAGATCGAGGCCTCAGGCGGGAGATATAAGGAGGAGGAGGAAATGGCGACCTCCACCGGGGGCACCATTCCGGTTCGGTTCCGTTTGCTTACACCCACAACACCATGGACGTCTCCAAGCTCAAAGTCGCGGAATTGCGGGAAGAGCTGTCGCGGCGCGGACTGGATACCAAGGGGCTCAAGAAGGAGGTGCGTGTGGATGCGGATGGATGGGATGCGCTAACCATGCAGCTCGCGGATCGGTTGACTGCTGCAATCGCCGATGTCGGTGCTGAGAAGCAGGATGAGGTGATGGGCGAGGAGCCGGTTGTGATGGACGGCGGGGAGGCGAGCAAGTCAAACGGTGGGGAGATAGAGGAGACGAACGGTGGAGAGATGGTGGCCGAGACGCACAGCGGGGAGACGGCAGGCGAGATCAACGGCGGGGAGGTGGCGAGCGAGTCGAACGGCATCCCCGACTCGGCGACGGACGAGCCGCCCAAACCCAACGAGCCGGCTGACGTGACGGATGCTATGGCCATCGACACTGATGTGCGTGCTGAGCCGACGGACGCGATGGACACGGACGAGCCAGCGTCGCTCGACGCACCCTCGCTCGCGACATCGGCGGCGGCGCCACCGACTCTTCCCCTCCCCGAGGCTCTCTCGCATCTCGCCTCCTCCCACCCCCCCACAAGCGTGCTGTACATCTCGAACCTGCGCCGCCCGCTCCTCCTCTCCGCGCTACACGAGTACCTGTCGCCCACGGCGCTCCCCGCCCCTCCTCGCCTGCCCTTCACGCATGCCGAGTATCCCGGCCTCTGGCTCTCGGGCGTCAAGGACCACGCGTACGCGGGCTTCGCGAGCGCATCTGAAGCCCTCGCGATCGCGGCGCGCGTCCACGGCGCAGTGTGGCCGGACGGCGGCGCCGCGCTGGCCGTGCAGTTCGTCGACCCCGCAGTGGTCGGCAGCCTCATGGCGGCGGAGGAGGAGGCGTGGGAGAAGCGGCAGCGCCTCGTCCTCGTCTCGCGGAAGGAGGGGGACGCGTGGCGCTTCGACGTCGTGCCGCCGCGCCACGCGAAGCAGGAGCGCCCCCCCGCCTCCGTTTCCGCCGCAGCGCAGCCCGACGCCCAAGGCTTGAAGCAGAGCCTTGCGGAGCGTCTTAGCGGCCCGTCCCAGGCCAAGATCGAGGACAAGCTCGGCCCCATCCGCCGTACCCGCGCCCAGCCTACGCTCGAGTATCGCGAGGGGCCGGGCGCGCCGGACCGCAAGCGCCGCGGGCGCAGAGGCGGGCGCAGGCATCGCCGCGAGCAGGCGGGCGGCGACAGCTACCAGCCTGATGGGTGGGGACGCGAGCGCGAGGGGTGGGGCCGTGGCGGCGGCGACAGATACATGCCTGAGGGGGGCCGCAGAGAGGTCTTCGCGGGTAACCGCTTCGATGGTGGGCGGGTTGGGGACCGTTGGCGGCCGGCCCGCAGATAGCGGGTGTATCAGACGTTGGACGAGAGGCTTATATGATGTGATATGATGCATGGCCTTCACCGCAAAAGCCGGACGAGAGTTTGGGTGCGGGATGGAAGGCAGTAATGCTGACATCTTCGGATGAAAGCTCTCCTCCACCGTCACTCGCCCAAGGCAATTGTCAGAGTCAGTGCCACTGATGCAGCCCACCCCAGAAGCATGCTATGGTTCATCTAGCGGCAGCCCGCATCTACAACTACAAGCTGCCAGGTCCGGGGTCGCCGCCCGGTAGCTCTATCCTTCCCCCTACAGATATACAGGCTTACACGCGGCCGGCCTTCTTCATCTCCTCGTGCATGAGCGCGCCAATCTGGCCGGGCGACTTGGCGACGACGGCGCCAGCGGCCTCAAGCGCAGCGATCTTGTCGGATGCGGCACCCTTGCCACCCGAGATAATCGCACCGGCGTGGCCCATGCGGCGGCCGGGGGGTGCGGTCATACCGGCAATGAACGAGACAACGGGCTTACGGTTGGGGCCAGAGTTGTGCTGCTTGAGGTACTCCGCGGCCTCCTCCTCCATGGAGCCACCGATCTCACCGATGAGCACAATACCCTCCGTCTTGGGGTCCTCGAGGAGAACCTTGACGACGTCAATGTGCTGGGTACCCGGGAACGGGTCACCGCCAATGCCGACGGTCAACGACTGCCCGAGACCGGCGATGGTGGTCTGGTTGACGGCCTCGTATGTCAGGGTGCCGGAGCGCGAGACAATGCCAATCTTGCCCTCGGAGAAGACGTGGCCGGGCATGATACCGAGCTTGCAGGTCTCGCCCATGATGCCCGGGCAGTTTCCGCCGACCATGCGCGACTTGGACTGGGACTGGAGCGCATTGTAGACCTTGAGCTGGTCCCGCTGGGGAATGCCCTCAGTGATGGTCACAATGAGGGGGATCTCGTTTTCAATGGCCTCGAGGATGGCGTCGGCGGCACCTGCGGGGGGGACGTAGATGACGGTCGCGAATGGGTTCTCAGCCTCCTTGGCCTCCTTGACCGAGCCGAACACGGGCAGGCCGAGGTGAGTCTGGCCGGCCTTCTGTGGGAGAGTTAGCGGGGTGCGCTTTAAAGGTGACGTCGCTGCGCCGCCAGGGCTGGATGCTGCGAGGAAGAGAGCCACGAGGCAGACGGACGGAGCTGCAGCCTGCAGGGCCAGCTGGCGTCGAGAGAAGAATCTCACGAGAAAATGCGCAACGCGTGCGTACACATGCACGCATGCACGCATGCGCACGAACACGCGCGCGATCGCGATCGCGCGATGTCACATGGTGACGCCCAATTTTTTCCGCCGGCGGCACTGGCCTGGCGTCGCCATCATCGATGCCGCCTACACCGCCAGACCTCGCCTTCTCTTCCTCCCACCAGCCTTGCACCCCCGCATTCCAACTCCACACAACTCACCTTGGGGTTGGTGCCGCCGATCACACGCGTGCCGTACGCGATCGACTGCTGGGCATGGAAGGTTCCCTGCTACGTCAGTACGCGTCGGGGAAACCATACTGACCGTCTTGCCGGTGAAGCCCTGGATGAGGACCTTGGTGTCCTTGTCTGTGTATTGTGAGCCCCGCATCGCGCCGGCGGCAATGGAATGAGAGATTACTCACTGACGCAGATGTTGTGGATGGTGTCAACGTAGGAGCGGGTGACGGACGAGGTCGCAAAGCCGCGCGAGGCTTTGAGGGTGTCAGTTTGTAGGCCAGGGAAGGTGTGGGCGTGAAAAGCAGCGCGTGTGAGTGAGTAACTTACGGCGAGCGAGGCGGGTGGCGGTGCGGAGAGATGAGGAGAGCATGGTTAGTGCGATGGAGGGAGGGGGGAGAAGATGGAAAGGGAGAAGAGAGAGATGTTGATGAAGGGGGATGTGATGGGGGGAAAGATCTTTAGCGGATGGGTGGTTAGTTGTGGGTGGATGTCGGTGTAGGCTGGGCCGGGGGGGGGAGGAGGGGATCGAGGGGAATGAGGGAGGGGAATGGGGATGTAACCGCGCGGGAGGTGAGCCTGGCTGGCTGGCTGCTGGCCTGCTGGGTGGCTTTCGCTGGGTGGGGAGGAACCAAGCAAAGTGAGGCACGCTCTGCTGCAGGGCGGCCTGTTCACCCCCGGTGGTCCGGTCTCCGTCTTCTTGCTGGATATCGGCGACACGCCCGCTCTGGCCGCTCTCTCGGCCCTTCACCCAACCATCTCGGGCGGCATCAATTTCCCCCATTTTCCGGTTACCCACGGCCCGCCGCCCTACTTCCACCCCGCTAGCCATTGCCCATTCTCCCCCGACCAATGCCGACGACCTCGTTGCATCAGCCTGGTCACGTGGTTTTCTCACCACGTGCACTTTAGGCGAGCTGTTTGTTTAGCGTGCCTAATTTAATGCCCAGGCGCGCGACGCGTCGTGCAGCTCATGACGCTGGCACACTGACGCGCCTGCTCTGCCGACATTTGTTGACAGCTCCAACCCTCGGCCTTCCTCACCTCCCCTTGACCCCTCCCCACCGCTATGCACGGCGACCAAGCACTCCAGCTCGTCACTGCCGTGCACCGCTCAACACTTGCCACTGCACCTCAGCTCCCTATCCCAAAGTATGCCCAGAAGCTCGTCCTCGACATCTGCCTTGAGACGCGTCAGCTCGGCGAGGCCATCGCCGTCGCCACAGAAGATGCCCTCAACCTGACCCAGGACCCCGCCCTCATCTGCGCCCTCACTATCAACCATCTCGCCGTACGACGGAACAAGCGCTGTCTCCTTGCATACCTCCACACCCGCGTCGACGGGATAAAGGAGCGATGGTGGGACGCGGGTGGCGCCCTCGCCCATCTCCTCGCCCCGTACGACCCCACCTCGGCACCCGGCGTGGGTAACAACACGGGTGATCCCGACGCGCCTGACCTCCGCTCTGCCTTGAGCCAGCAGGAACTCGACTTCATGCGCGATTACAGCAGCTTGGTGCTCGACTACAAGAGCGACTTCCTCGACGTCCTCGACATTGCCGCGCCCATCGGTCGGCCACCGGGAGAACTCTTTGTTGACGTGCGGGTTGTGCGCGACGCCGGCGAGGTCGTGCTCGAGAATGGCGCCCGATTCGAGTTCACCAAGGGCTCTCGCTTCTACCTTGAACGCGCACTAATCGAGCGGCTCATCGTCCAGGGCTATCTCGAGGAGATCTAGCGCGCTACGTGCGTGTGATGCCACCACCACGCTCGAGGGCGACCCAAGGCTTCCCCCACCGTCGAGCATACCTTGATCATCGTTCCGCATTTCGGCGATCCAGCCACCACAACCTCCCAACCTCCCTCATAGACCTCTCGCTCGCATGGGTACAGTGTATAATGCATGTTGTCACAGTCTACCGAGCATGGTGTCTACGTGTCGCCCGACCCGCTGCCCCGGGCGCCTGCTCATCTCGCGCACTAGCGTCGCAACACTAGCTAGGCGGCGCAGTCAGCGCCACAAGCGTCTTGACGAGATCGCCTCCCTGCGCCGCGAGCGCCTTCTCCGCCTCCTCCTTTTCGATCCCGAGCTCCTTGACCTGGTGTTAGTCATGTCTTGCATTCGCACTGCGAAAGCCAACGGAGGGAACTCACCAACAGCTGGACGTGCTCGGCGTTCATTTCGGGCTTCTGCACGTCGAGCGCCTCCATCGCCTTGGCGGCCTTGCGCGCCTCGTCCCGCGTGATCCGGCGTCTCTCGAGCTCCACGACGGCGTTCTCCATCTTGTCTACTGTAAGCGGTCTGTGTACCAGTGTCCGATGATTATGCAGGTCAAGCTAGGGTCCGGCTGGGCCGAGGTAGGCCAAGCTAACCGGCGCCAGATGAGAGCTAAAGAAGAAGGCGCGCATGGAAGCGCAATCAGAGAGCAAACGCACGCTTGATGTACACGCCGCCGTCGGCGAACTGCCGTCAGCCTTCCCCTACCACTACACTAGCTCACGTCAAGGAGGACCTCGGGCTGCTTTTTGTCGTCGACCATGATTGTTATTGCTCAAAGTGTCGGCCGAGGATGCAATGTTCAAGGTGGCCAAGTCCGAGGCCACGCGATTTTGCTCCCGCCTAGGCCGACCGCTGCGTCATGCAATGTGAAGCTGAGAGTGCAACTACGCACGTCGCCGCTGCATCGCCCTCATCACGAGCGTCTCATCCTCTTCTTCGATCTCCTCTACGTCCCAGCCTTTCAACTGGTTCTGAACGCTCCGTTTCCACCCCCGTTGCGAGCCCCCCTCTCTCGTCTCGCGCCAGTGGCGCTTCTGTTCCCGCACCATGGCCCACCAATCCCCCCTCATCTCCATCCCGCGCAAGACGACAACCGACGCCGACTGGGCTGGCCCGATCCGGTCGACGATTGCGCATTCGTTCGGCGAGTCGCCTGACTCGTACGCGGAGGAGATCGCCACTCTCCAGCGATGCAGGCAGGATGCAGTCCGCGGCGCTGGGTCCGACACGACTGCGCGCGACCTCCTCTACAAGTACTTCGGCCAGCTTGAGCTGCTCGAGCTGCGGTTCGCCGAGGTCAAGGTGTCCTTTGCGTGGTGAGTTAGCTTGGAGTCTCGCGTGTCTCGTGTGGCCTCCCACAATTTCATAACGGCTGGCGCATGCCCGTTGTCTTGTTCCCGCTCGGCCTCTCCGCGACCCTCCACACCGACGACAATCACGTTTGTCATCATTTCCACCCGTGCTCGCGGGGCCGTTAACACCAGGCATGACGCTTTTACGAACAAGCTTACTACCCAAACCTCCCTCGCCTTTGAGAAGGCTTCCATCATTCACCTCCTCGCCAGCGTACTCTCCTCTCTAGCTGCTTCACAGTCCCGCGCCGACCCCGAAGGCCTCAAGCGAGCATACTTCAACTGCCGCGCTACCGCCGGCATGCTGACCTACATCAACGAGAACTTCCTCCACGCCCCCTCGACCGATCTGAGCCGAGATGTTGTGCATCTTCTCATCAACCTCTCCCTCGCACAGGCAACCGAAGTGTTTATGGAGAAGCTCGTGGACGAGAAGAAGGCGGCGGGGCTCATCGCGCGCACGGCCAACCAGCTCGCGACAATGTACACTGCGCTCTCGGACGAAATCAAAGAGTTCATGGGCAAGGGCGTGTTCGACCGGACGTGGATGCGCCTCATTGAGGCCAAGGCCAAGCTCTTCTCCTCCATCGCACAGTACCAAAAGGGCAAGGCCGACTCGGCCAGTGGCAAGCACGGCACAGCGCTCGTGCGGTTCAAGAAGGCCGACGAGGACGCCAAGGACGCGGTGCGCATTGCCCAGGGATTTGCGTGCCAGCTGGACTCTGGCAACGAGCCCACGCTCCCCAACGACGCGGGCACGTCCATCGTCGAGATAGCCAAGGCGCACGCCGCTGTCGTCGATGAGGAAAAGAAGCAGGCCATAAGGGACAACGATCTCATCTACCACGATGTGCTGCCCTCCGAGGCGGCCCTCCCGCCTATCGACAAGCTTCCAGCTGCCACGCCAGTCGTCATCCAGGAGGTGTACCAGAACCCAGATGTGTCCAAGCTCATCGGGCCGGACATCTTTGCCCGTCTCATCCCGCTCGCCGTTCACGAATCGGCGTCGGTGTACTCGGAGGAGAAGGCGAAGCTAGTGCGCGCGGAAGTCGAGCGCGTCGAGCTCTCTGAGGGGGAAGTGCGTGCTGCGCTCGAACATCTCGGTCTGCCGGCTGCCGTGAACGCGTGGCGCAGAATGGCCGACGGCGACGACGCGGACGCGGACGTTGAGGTGTCCTCTGACGTCGTGCGCATGGCTGGCGACATCCAGCGCTCGGGATCGACGGACGCGCGTGTACGTAAGATCGAGGGCGAACGGCAGCGCGTTGAGCGCGAGCTGCAAGAGCTCTCTGGCCAGCTTGACAATGAGAGCCGAGAGTGTGAGCGCGCACGCGCCAAGTACGCCCCAAACTTTACGCAGTCGCCGAGCGGGCAGCAGACCGCCTCGTTCCGGCAGACAATCACCGCGAACCTCTCGGCCATCTCGAACGCGGCGTCGAGCGATGCACAGCTCGCCAAGCTGTGGGCTGAAATACAGCCTGACATGGCTGTGTTGCAGGCGGGTCCTGAAGCACTGAGAGCTCAGGCTAAGGACGTGGCGCTGGGCAAGACGGAGACGGTCAAACCTGCGCCGGGCGAGAGCCTCCTCGATCTCGCCGACGAGGAGCAGGCACGGCCGCGACTCGATGCGGCGGAGGCAGAGGCGCTGCGCTCGGCGGCCAAGGAGGCTGGAGACAAGCTCGACCGCCTCTCCAAGATCCGGAAGGAGCGCGACGAGGTGCTCAAGGATCTCAAGCTGAAGATTCAGAGTGACGACGTGTCCAACCTGCTTCTTCTGAACCGGCGCAGCAGCAACGTCGAGCCGCAGCTTTTCGCGGCCGAGCTCGAGAAGTTCCGGCCGTACCAGAGCCGTCTGGGATCCGCCTTGAGCGCGTGCAAGACTCTGACGACCGAGCTCGAGAGTATCGTGCAGCGGGTCGAGCGCGGGCGAGGCGTTCGTGAGCGCAACCGCGGCGCAAAGGAGAAGGCAGCACGGGTGAAGAACTGGGAACGGCGACTGCAGCGCGCAGGCGCCTCCCACGCAGAAGTTGTTGACGGCCTCGCCCGCGCCGAGGCCTTCTACACCTCAATCGACGCCGTCCTTGCCGATCTGCGCCGCGAGATCCGCTCGTTCTTGGGGGCTCGCGACAGCGAGCGCAACAAGATGGTCAGCGACATCGAGATGCGCAATCGCATCGGCGGCAGCGTGCGCTCGACGTCCAGCTCGGCGTCCCCACCTCTACCACCCCCGGCGCCCGGCCTGTCGTCCCAGCTCGCTGGCCTCTCTCTAGGCTCGAGCTATTCGTCGCCGCCAAAACCGCAGTCACCAACCAACCCGTACGACTTCGGCTCCCTCTCTTCCCTCCCAAGCGCATTCAGCACCGCCCCGACCTCGGCCCCTCGCCCCTCCTCGCCGCCCAAGTCCTACGGCGCTCCGTCCGCCCCCTCGCCGCCCGCAAAGCCCTCGTATCCCTCGTTCCCTAGCGCGCCCAGCGGCTCCCCGTACCCTGCGCCCCCACCGCCTCAGCCGCAGCGGCAGTACTCGTCGTCGGCGCAGGCACCATACCCGCCCGCGCGTAGCCAATACCCGTCCCCTCCCAGCCAGAACGCATCGTCGCCGTATGCGCCGCCCGCCTCCTTTGGCCAGTCGGCATACCCACCACCGCCGCCGCCCTCGCGCCCTTCGTATCCCCCTCCCAGCGGGTACTCGTCGCCGTCCCCGCCGCCAGCTCAGCAACCATCGTATGGAGGGTACGCAGGATACTCGTCGCCCCCTGCACAGTCGCCGGCCTCGCCGTACCCGGCGCCGCCCCAGCGACCAAGCTACGGAGGGTATGCCCCTCCAAGCCAGCAGCCACAGTATGGCCAGCCTCCCCAGCAGCCACAGTACGGGCAGCAACAGTACGGCCAGCCGCCGCAGCCTCAGTACGGGCAGCAACCACCGGCTCAACAATACGGCCAGCCGCCTCACCAATACGGTCAGCCGCAGAACTACGGCGGCTACCGGTAACAAGTAGTGACTTGGTCTAGATGCTGATTATGAGGCTATGCTACGCAGTACATGGATCCTACATTCCGGTCACCCTTCCCTGCTCTGCTGACCGCGCTCGCTAATGCCGACAGGCCTTCCGGGGCTCGAAGCGCGCCGTGCACTCGACGCGCCATGCGCGCCCGCGCCAGCGCCTGCATCGCCCCGCGCCTCTCCCACGCCCGCACTCCACCCCCCGCCCTCCTCGAACACATCGAGTCTCCACTCCGCAATAGCCTGCACATCGACGCTGCGGCGCTGCACGTCGACGCCAAACGACCCCGAGTGGGCGCTGTACCAGTCCTCGGGATCCGAGAAGCGGGGCCGCAGAGGGGAGGGCGGGTCGCGGAGCTGGATCTCGGGTGACGCGCGGGCACTACGCCCCATGCTGGGCGGCGCGAGGTCCTCCGTGAAGCGGGGCGAGAAGGGGGAGATGACGTGCATCGGCGGGGGGGCGGGCGCGCTGCCCGCGCCCTCGCCCCAGTCGCGCCACTCCCCGAACGCGGGGGCGGGGGAGAAGCGGGGCGAGGGCGAGTCCCACTCGAACGGCGAGGGCGCCGGCGCCGGCGCCGGCGAGCGCGAGGGTGAGGGCGCGCCGTACAGCAGCGCCGGGAGGAAATGCCACGGCGAGCGGCCGGACGAGACGGATTGCGACGGCGTGAGGCTGTGCGTGGACCCCGACGAGGGGGACGGGCATGGCGGCAGGCTCGGGGCGGAGGCCGCGGGCGTGCTCGGCGAGTCGAGGCGGGACCACAGCAGCGGCGTCGGGTGGATTACGGGGGGGGAAGGGTGGTGCGCGAGGCGCGCGAGCGTCGCGTCCGCGCGCTCGAGTGCTGACGCGCCCAAGTCTAGCGGCGTGACGGGGCGGACGGGGACGGGGCGATCGCCGCCGATCGCGCGCGGGGTATGATCGCGCCGGTGTGTGGGCGGCGGCGTGCTTGCTGGCGGCGGGGTGATGCGGATCGTCGGCGTCCCGCGGCCGCCGGGGGTGGAGCGGCCTACGCTAGACGCGTAGGCCAAATCGCACGCCTGGTCGAGCGCTTCGTCCGCGTCCTCGTCTTCGTCTTCGTCCGCCGACGTGCCCAGGTGCAGGCGTTCGCGGTACTCGGCAATCTCCCAGCCGAGGCGCTCGTGCGCGTCGGTGTGCAGCGGTGCATTTTCGATGTATTCTTCGTCGTCCGAGTCCCATGGCCACTCGGGTTTTCTGGCGCGGCGATGCGAGAGCGACGGCGAGGGCGGGTGCGAGAGCGAGAGCGAGAGCGAAGAGCGCGAGAGCCGCTCCTCCGAGATTGTGGGGAGGTGCAGTGGCGACAGGCGGAGCAGGTGGTGCCTATGCTCGTTGGCGGCGCGTCTGTGCGCGTGCGCGTGCGCGTGTGCGTGTGCGTGGCGGTGGCTTCCGTCGACGGCGGCCATGGTTGGCGGGGGAGAATAGATGAGCAGAAGTAGAGAGGAGATGAGGATTAGAGGGGGAGCAAGCTAGGGCTGGCGGCCCGGTCTTATCAAGGGCCTGTAGGCTGTCGGGCGGATCGGCCGCTCTGTAGATTGCGACATGGACATGAGCATGTCCAGCCGTCTGCTTCCGCTTCCGCCGTTCCTTGTGCCGCTCGGAAGCGCGTACGCGGCAGACGCTCTAGCCTCTTCGTGTTCGCGGCGGGCGTGTTGACGTCGACGCCGAAACCGCGCCGAGGGCGGAAGAAGTGGCGACGCTCGGTTCTTCCGTGTTGGCATCAGCGTCAGAGAGTGCGGGGCGTGGCGTGGTGAACTACGCCCAGATCTGCGCCCGGCATCGCCAGTCAGCAGCCAGCCGCCAGCTATCAGCGAGAGTGTATCCTTCGTCGGCATCCGGGCTCCGGGGCGTCAGCTCGCGACTCGTCTTGATATCTCCGAAGTGGCGATCGGCGACGGCGGGAGGCGTTGTAGATCTGTAGATCGTGATCTCGTGATCGCTGTTCGATTGCTTGGATCTTTGGACGTCAGTCGTCTGACGATCGCTTGGTCGCGACCAACGCGATGGAGGACCTCCACCTCCCCCATTGTGGAGACCCCACATCCACGTGTCAGGTTTAGCCGGCATCGCCTGGGATCCTTGGCTTTTCCAAGCTGCGCATGGAGATGCCGAGGCCGCGCGGCGATCAACGAGTGATGGGTGATGGAGAGGATGGAAGACTGATGGATGAGTGATGAAGGATGTAGAATGCATTCGATAGCGATGAGCCCCATGGGGGTCACATGATGTGCTGGTGTGGCCGGATGTACGGGCTGGTTGGGCAAGAGGTGACGTCTCGACTCCCACCGCTTTGTATCGTTCATCCTGTTCGCCTGCTCATGCTGCTCAGCTGCTGCGTACAGTACAGTAAATCAAGGAGAGCGCAGCAAGATGGGGGAGGATGGGGGACAAGATGAGGGATGAGAATGAGGGATATGCGGGATGAGAATGGGGTGTGATAGGTGCAGAAGGCTTGGCATTAATCTGCGCATGCCCATTAACAAATCAGAATAGCCCATCCCTAAGGGGGATTAGGCCGGGCCGGGCCGGAGGTGGCTCGTTTACCTGCGGGACAAGTGGGGCCTCGAGACAATCGCGTGGTTCACTCCCCCCCACACATCGCCATTTCGCCATCACCCTCTTCTCCTTCCTCATCGTCTCTCTTGTCTTGCTCATTGTCGCTCCTACTCTACTCGCTCATTCTCTCACGCTGCGCACCCCTCTATCTTTCATAGAGGTACGTACCCATCCCCCCCCCCCCCCCCCCCCCCCCCCCCCTCGTACAATTCCCTCCACAGACATGTCGCCCCCCCCCCACCCCCCACCCCTCCCCTCGCCTCCGCCCCGCCCCCCTCTCGCACC